TAAAAGATTGCCATTAACATCGAAAAATTTTGTGGCAATTACAAATTTTCATAAAATATTCAGCATTTTTGGTAAATTTTTGTCTGGATGTTATTCATCAAACACCACAAAAATTAACCGCTATAGCAAGTTGAACAATAAGGTCACATATGAGAAATAATTGGTACGTAACATCCACGCTCTTACTATTCATATTTACAAAATTTTCCAGGTTATAGGTCATCTCAGTGGCGGCTCGTGATTTTACAAATAGGTGACGCAGGATTGACCGACCCCCCCCATACCATGTAGAGCGCATACACAAAAAAAAACATGAAATAACTTACCTAAATTCAGTAACTCGAAAACAAAGTCAGGATTATCAGGCACTTTTCATTGTTTATATATGAGAGCAATTCGTCGGTCCTTCAAATTAGCAAACTTATTTATAACGTAAAACGGCTGTGACACTATCAGTTCATTTAATAATTCTTTTTCGATCGATATTTTTGCCAAGTTCGTCAACCGATCTTCCGACATGGTACTTCGTAGATAACTTTTGATTCGCTTAAGGCATGAAAAACTGCGTTCTGTCGAAACACTTGTTGATGGAATGGTCAGTATTAAACACAAAAGCTTATATGCCTCCTTGAAGATACTGCGATTCTCAAATAGCGATTCCTTTAATAAGCGGGGTTCCATATTTTGATATTGATCATCGCTATAGATCAGCTGCAATTCATTTTTCAGTCTCTGAAAATCTGTGAATGTATTTGAATAAAACTCCTTCAAATTACTTAGGGCTTCTGTTGGAAATTTTTCTGAACATGTTTTGAACTTCGAAGTGTCCATTAACGTCACAAAATGAAGCTTTTCCATATCTTGGAAACGGGTCGTGATTTGCAGAGAAATGGTATCCAAAATTTCAAAATACAGCACTCTATATCTTTCAATAATTTGATCCCGAGACAATGTTACTCTTGTCCTGCTGTCGCGGTGTTCCGTTTGTACACTTGTTTTTGATGCAGCCAATTCGAAAATATTCTTAAATGTTTCTTCATTTCTCTTCTTATTTAATTGTGTTTGAACACTTTTAATTTGCTTAATGCAATGGTTTATATCAAAAGATTTTTTTTGCAGTGTGTCGAATAGTATATCTGTCATTCCAAAGATCTCGTTAAAAACAACAACCAAAAGCACGAATTCGAAGTCATGGAATTTATTTAGAAATCCGTCGCTCTGTCTAACCGAGGCTTGATCGGAGGTTGGATCATTAATAATTTCAGTAAACACTTGCTTTAAGGAATCCCACTCCTTATTTATAAAACTGATAACTTTAGAATCTGATGTCCATCGCGTAATAACGGAAACAGGTATTCGACGTCCTATTATTGAGTCTGCTACGTTAGTTCGTTTCGGAGAATGGTGAAAAAATGTCGGTAAACCACTTATAGTTGCAAAAAAAATGCGGCATTTTGTAATACTATTGCAACTTTGTTGTAACACTAGATTCATGCGGTGTGCGAGGCAATGAACAAAAACTGCTTGGGGTGCCTGTTCCTTTATTTTAGCCTGAAGACCATTTAACTGTCCGGACATGACGCTTGCACCATCGAAACATTGTCCAACGAGTTTTGTTTTGTAATCAAAATTTTGTAGACACCTTGTCACGAGGTTAAATAATGCTTCAGATGTTCGGCTGCAGCTTACATCATGAAATCCTAAAAATCTCTCCACAAGTTTTCCTTCAAGATTGACATAACGGATTATTATGCTGCACTGCGATTTGTGGGCAATATCGGTGGAATCATCCACCTGAATGGAAAAAAAACTGCATTCCTTTATTTCATTTTCCACATATTCATCAATGCATTTGACAATGCAGTCAATAATTTCGTTTTGAATGGTTTTAGAATTGCCCGCAAATATTGAGGCAATTTTTTTGTAGTGCTCCTGAATGTCTACAGGGCTTATAGATACAAATGCTTCTAGGAGCTCTTTGAAATTTCCACGGTTAATAGAAGTCGTCTCTTCGTTGTGGCCACGAAACGCCAGTTCTTGTTTGCCCAAAAAAAGGACAGCGCGTATTGGCAATTCCATGAAACGTCTATTAAGTTGCACGTTTTCGTTAAACTGTTTAATATACAGCCTGGAATTTTCGCGTAAAGCATCCTCAATAGTAGTGAGATTTTTCTTCAATTTTGAAAAACCTAGTGCGCAACGCATATGATCCGATGATCCTTCATGTTTACGAAGAGCACGAGTCACATTCCCGAAATCATTGAAACCGTACTTGCTCCACAGGGTTGCTTTAACACTTACAATCAAACACGGCACACAAAAAAGTTTATTTAAATAATAGCTACCACATAACCATGCAAACTCACTATACCACGATTTTTTAAAATTTCGACTGTACACTTTGTCCTTAACTTTAGCGGTTTTATTTACATTTAATATCGGAGAAGGTTTTTCGGAGTTTAAAAAGTCTTTTTTATCATCATTACTCCATTGAGAAAACGATTTTTCCAACATAACACAAACCGTATCATAGACAGGAAATATTGTTCAAAACAATGAAAACTAACCTCGACACAATACGATATCGGTAGTAATGCAGAGCAGACTAGACGCAAATTCATAATTTGCTTCACTTGCCTCGGCCAAAACGGAAGCGCGCGTGCCGTTGTCATGGCAACCGTCGTATTTGCTCGTATCTGTACTGGACGCAGCAATGCGGTGCAAATAAAGCTGCTTCAGGTCTCTGTTTCAACACGCCAAATTAAGCGCAAACGTAGGCGCGTTGTTGGTTGCGGGGTTTCTCAGTATTCTGTTGATCGCAAATACAAATAAAGAATGTCCGAAAAATAATTTTTTAAGATATAAATGAATTTTTTTTATAAATTTCAAAATAAAAAAAATATATTTTTTTTGAAATTGCAGGTGAAGCAGCGCTTCACCTGCGTCATGGGGCGAGCCGCCACTGGGTCATCTGCCAATCTAATTAATTGTGCTTGATTTTTTCCGTAGATTCAGAGATACGTTTAACACCTACGATCTACGACACTGCATTGCACCTGCATTTGAATCAACAACAGCTTTTGTAATGTCACGATGAAAATTTCATTGAGCTACGTCTACGTAGGCTGACTTGTTACGACACCGTGAAAATTCGTATGACATCATAACGTCTAGTGGTCTAGCTGCAGGCTACATTTATAGCGCAGTTCTCGTCGCCTATTATTTGCATAATGACAGGCGGTAAAATAGTAAACCCCTGCTACCCCTTGGCATAATGATCTACTTTGAATTCTTAAGTTTGCATGATCGAATTAGAAAAATGCATAGGGATATTTCTTTTTATCTGACAAACCTACGACAATAGACATTGAAAAACAAGTTTTACGTTTGACTTGCTTATGGCTTTTGTTTTATTTTTGTTTGTTTACGAGAGACAGACGCTCTAAGGCCCCTTATTCATATACTGCAACCTGCAACATATATTGCGATTTTAATCGATGGTATATACCTCCTTAGTGTTTATTTATTTACTCTCTCATCATCATCCATACATGATAACATTGAGATATCAGAAAAATGTAAAAATATACAACTGAATTTTAGAGAATATATAATTGTGTTTTTTGGATTCCCTGTAAGAATGAATAATTTTTAGTTAAATAAATCCTGCTTCATGTGGTGGATGTACAGATTGTTAAGGTATCAACAATCAGTAAATTTTCTATAATTATCAGTATTTTCGCATTACGATTGTTTAGCAAAATTGGCTTAATCTGGAATGGTGCTAAATTAAGTACTCCTCATTCCTATCGACGAAAAGTTCTAAATGCTAGTTTTCTTCGAGCTGTGGGGTTGGATAGTTGGATTCAAAATTGTTCAAACGAATTCTTAACACGGTATTTCTAAATTGAAGAGAGTAAGAGCTGCCCATGCCCTATTATTTTTAACAAAACGTAAACATCGATTAATAATAGAATTAATTTTTGGATTTGCCAAACGCAATACCCATCAGTCCAAAATACTTGTCCTCAAGCCTCAAGTGTGTAGCTTTTACTACTTTCATCAATTAACCCTCTTCTTATTTCTTCCCCTACAAACGGATATCAAAGAAAAAAGACATCCCTTGGCCTTTGGAATGGATAGAAAAAGAATCCACCCTCCCTATAAAAAGACGTAATAGTCCTCACGGTTCTCGCACATTCCTCCACTCCACTCTATACACACACACACGTAACCTGCCCTGTCCAGTTCTTCTGGACACCGGTCGCTAGCCAATCACATCACTCGACGTTTCGTCGACCGACATGCGTCCACCGTTGACCAGTGTCCACCTCTGGCCAGTGGCCAGGCGTATTCCCCCTTCCCCAGGACATAAAAAATGAGAGGAACGCCATGCATGCGAAAAGGATCTCGTCAACGGACTTTCACTGCGTTTCTCGGTAACAGGAGAATAGGAGGCTGTGGAGGAGAGCGGAAAACAGTTGCTGCACGCTAGCGAGCGATTGTAACTGGCCTAGTGCTATGTTGTCATGCTTAATGATTTGTCGTGATTTTTGGAGAAAGTGCGTTATTGATTTTGTTCTGACAACCTAATATAGAAAATTGAATAATGAAAGAGGTTCCTTCAGAACAGAAACGGAGATACTGCAGGGGCGGATCTAGAAAATATTTTTGGGAGGGGTTCATATGGTGCATTTGAAATTACCAGCTTTAAAAAGTTCTGGGGCGATTGAAAATTAAAGAGCACGTCGTCAGCTACATCGCACTGCGAATTGAAAAACGCTTTTGTAATTTTTCATCACTAGGATATTTCGGGGAGGTTCTGGACCCACAGCAGAACAGCCCCTCTGGATCGCCCACTAGGAGACGGGTATTCTTGCGGTAGCGTGCTGAAACTCTGTATATATGTATGACGTCTTGTAGATAGTGCTATAAATATGTGACACAAAATATAGTTATTTCATTTTTTCAGAACTATGAGGTGTGGAGGAAAAATAAAATGACTTTGAAAATCATATTTATTATAAAAATGTAACAGTTTTATAAATATAAATAATTACAACAACAAATACACAGGTTGCATTTTTTTGCAAATCCAGCTTTCCGTCATACGTAGGGTGTTAATAACGTACCTAGATAAATTTCAGGGATGATGCATATAAAAAAAAAGTATGCACAAGCATAAACGCGGGGACGCCTCGTCATTAAATCATAGGATCTAACTTTTATTTGAAAATTTGTTTTAAAAAAGTGAAATCCCTTTAGACGGATTTGTCAAGATTTGCTGAAGCTTAGTAGGTACAGACATATCGCTGAAAATATATAAAGTCGAATTAGAAATACGCTCCAATTAATCCAAATTCCTAAGGCTAAAAATTCAACGAGTTTGAACAAAAGGTAATAACTATTGATAGTTTTCATAAAGTGTTTTTCTCAAATAGCATTTTTTCGGCAATAGGTACACTTGTATCTGTCGAATTTTAACAATGCCAGAAGTTAGCTAAAGGTTATCACGTTTTTTTTCTAATAATAAGATTATTTTGATAAAAGTTTGACCCACTGTATATTAAAAACAGAATATCGACTGACTTTGTTTATGTAAACTGGTTCATTTTCAGTCTTCCATCAAGTAAACGTCCCCTAGCGCTTGGGCAGGTACTTTAACAACACTCTGTATTTTCATATTCTATTGCTAAACAATTCTAGTCGATTCATACATATACGTATACATTCAAATCTTCACAGTGAAATTACAACAAATTGTTTGAAATAAGAAACACAATTTTTGCCTTTTTATATTATCAAGTTATTACTGTCGTTAACTGTTTCTTATTGAAAATGCTAATTATACCTATTTAATATTTTCTCACCAGTAAGCACTCAAAATGTTATTTTTTATTTATATTAAAAGCGAGAGGCGTTATATCTATAGACATAGCCAATTTTAGAATAGTCATAGAAAAAAAACGCAAAAATAATGAGTATCTCTACGTTCTTGCTTGTATCATTGATGATTAGATTGACTGTGAATCATATGCCAATTTTTATACTTATCTTTATAACTTTGAGCGTAAATCCAAATCGTTGAAATTGTTTACGTTTCACAATTGTTTATTCATTAATCCCAGTTAATCTACTTAAACTATTGAGAAATTACTGCAGCATGATTGTGCAAGGAATATTCAATCAACTATAAAAATATTGTTTATAATTTATATTTTAGTTATATACACGTTTTACTAACATCATGACTTGTCAAGTGCCAAAATCACGTAACCTGTTTTTTACTATTTTGATCACTTACCAGTAATTTGAATTTCTCCTTATTAACGGTAGGCTGCCGATTCCTAGGCCAAACTCTTTTTATTGATTTTCTTTGACAAATTTCGTGGCGCCCAACGTGGGGTCAATGATATCTTATGAGGAAATTTCTGAGATAGTCGTTAATAATACTATAACATTAGTGTCCAAAAGATTTCAACACAATACTGTGTCTCTGTCGGCCTAGGAATGGGCACTCTATCATTAATAAAGATAAATTCAAATTACTAGTAAGTGATCAAAATAGTAAAAAATGTCACGTGATTTTGGCACGTGACAACCTTTTTGTATTTCGCTTAGTGCCTATCATTTTAGACATACAAGTACACAGAGCCAAATAATTTGATGAATCCTTTAAACAGACTTTTAAAAATTTATTGAAATCTTTTGGACACTCAAGTTATCAACGACTATCTCAGCAATTTCCTCATAAAATATCGTTGGCCCGACATTGGGCGCAACGAAATTTGTCATAAGGAAATCATTAAAAATGGTTTGGCCTAGGAATCGGCACCCTACCGTTAATAAGGAGAAATTCAAATTACTGGTAAGTGATCAAAATCATGAAAAAAAGTTTTCGTGATTTTGGCACGTGACAACCTACCCATTCAAAAGAAACTTGACACGGTACAAAAACATTAGTTTAAGTGGTTATTCCAAACCTGTATAAAAATTACCTAATTTGTTCAAAAACTATGTTCGGCCGAATCGAATAAATTGATTTTTAGCAACATGCAAACCAATTATTTAATACAGCTTTAGATACTGAGATTCATCAATCACACAATACAATCACAGCTCACAAACTTTGGTACAAGATAGTCTCTCCAAGAACCATCTGAAGGATAAACCAACCTAGCATTGAACTCTAAAGCATATATAGCCAAATTCATCGTATGCCCTAATGCATTTCCATACCAAAATAAAATGTTTAAAAATGTTACTTGTGGTACGTTAACAAAGTATAACAAAAGACCCATTGTACCAAATTGTAGTGCAAGAAATGGTAAGAAAAATCCTAACATGTAAGTGAGAATCCATTCGTGTACGATAGCCGAAACAACGAAAACGGTAAGCTTAGCTACAGTTGTGTTACCGTTAGTCAGATAATACAAATCTTTGAAAATATACGAGCGCAACCAATCGTACACTATAACATTCCAAGTTTTGTAATATTGTTGGTAAGTAGTAGACCTCCACCAATCTTTATAGAACATTCTGTCTCCAAATCTCAGTAACTCTGCGAAGAGATTTTGAACGGCATGTAGCATTAAATAGAATGTCGCGAGATCTAGAAGTACAGAAGGAAATGTGATGTCAAACATAAATGCCAAGATTTCCGCCCTGGTGTACTTCCGTTGTCCAAATTCGTCGAAGAACGGGAATACGAAACGATAGAAAACAAAACTATATAGGAAGATGATGCCGACTATGTCTAGAGCTCTGTAGAATACGAAGTCCCAGCGGATCTTATTTGTTCTGGAAGAAAAAAATGGCGTCAGGTAGATTCATAAAAAATCATGTCCAGCGTACGTTAGCATCTTTCAGAGACAAGTAACCACTAACATGAATAACAAAGGGATAAAATAGATCAAGTCAGAATAGGCCTATACAAATTCGTCCCCAGCCATTTGACAAGCAACAGCAGGGTTGCTACAGGAATGACTATGAGTGAGTCAGATAGACCGACGGAAATGGGAGACATGGTTTTTCGTGATGTAGATGTCATACGGGGGATGTCTTTTAAGTTTTGCATATAGAAACATAGTACGCCGAGCGGATCGAACGTCACACTGAATTTAACCTCACTCTTTAGTAAACTTAAATTCAAAGTTTCACAACAATACGTGCAGTGTTCTCACTACAGTGAATTTTTAAGTGTCACCAAGTCATTATAAAAATGGAACTCAACCGAGAAGATTTTCGCGCCATAATTTATTACAACTTCCAGAGATAATTATCGCAACGAGAATCCCTTGATGAGTTACTGTCTGTAACATCAGTCGACAATTTTCCGTTGGTATGGAGAATATTCAAACGTGGACGGGTGAGTCTAAGGCCCGTATCGTCAGTCGTCCCTACAATTGTAGGGCGCGTTTATGGCCTCCTTCATCTATTTGCACAAATTGTGCTTGCTTCTGAGTTATATCATGTTTTATCAGCCTGAAATTTCCTACAGTATAAAAAGAAAACATATCTTCACAATATGAGAGCGCTGACGCTGACACGGGACAAGTGTAATTTAGAAATTTTGGAGAGAAAGAGAAAAGAGGATGACAATCAAGGAGGCCATAAAGGCGCCCTACAATTGTAGGGACGACTGACGATGCGGGCCTTAGTGACGATCCCAGGGTGGGTGCACCAACAACGGCAGTCACCCAGGAAAACGTCGATGCTGTGCGCAAACTCATAATTGAAGATAGACATGTGACATATCGCGAGATTGAGCCGTCCTTGAAGATCTCAAAGACCTCAATTCAAAAAATTTTACATAAAGAATTAGGAATAAGAAAATTAGTTCCTCGTTGGATACCCCACCTGTTGACTGAAGAGCAGAAAGCAGCCAGGGTTAATTGGTGTCAAACAACGCTTGACCGTTTCAATTTCGGAAACTCAAAAAATGTGTACAGCATTGTTAGTGGTGATGAATCATGGATTTACTGTCATGAACCAGAAAATAAACGACAGTCGGCTGTTTGGGTGTTCCAAGGTGAAGAAAAGCCAGCAAATGTCATCCGTTCTCGAAGTGTTTCGAAAAAGATGGTCGCGACATTTGTGTCAAAAGCGGGTCATATTGCAACAATTCCTCTTAATGAGCAAAGAACTGTTACTGCGGATTGGTATACCACCATTTGTTTGCCAAAAGTCATCACCGAGCTTCGAAAAATCAACCCCGAAAGAAGAATCATCCTCCACCAAGACTATGCAAGCTCGCACTCAGCCCAAAAAACAAGGCAGTATTTAACGGAAGAAAACGTGGAATTATTGGACCATCCTCCATATAGTCCCGATCTAAGTGCTAACGATTTCTTTACTTTCCCGAAAATTAAAAACAGACTGCGTGGTCAAAGGTTCCAGTCACCAAGAGAAGCAGTTGACGCATTCAAAAATGCCGTTTTGGATCTGCCAGCAAACGAGTGGAATAAGTACTTCGAAAATTGGTTCGAGTGCATGCAGATGTGTATTAATCTTCGTGGAGAATACATCGAAAAACAATAAAGTCATTTAAAACTACCTACCGTGTTGTTTTATTTCCATATGCAAAACTTAAAAGACATCCCGTACATCGTATAACCATTAACTAACGTATTTTACCTAAAGATAACCAAGCTAATACTATATTTGCGCATCCGAAAAATTATCCGAGATGAAATCAGAAACCGTAGCGTCATCTGGGAGAATTTGTCCCAGCTATATTTCTTCTCTCCACAATAATTATTGGAAGTGTACTTTGAAAAGGTTAGTGTCTCGACGATGGCGCTGCTGATATATAGTTGTATACAGTGCCATCTATGAGACAAGAGCGTTTTTAAAATTTCTTAATTATTATAGATGGCGATATCTCATTTCATCTTGAAAAATTTTCTAGACGGGCATGCGCATAATATTAGGTTGGCTATCTTCAGGAAGAATACGTTAATAACATTCAAAAAACATAATATCTCACATTCGAGATTTTTTTCGATTGCAATACTTCCTCGCTCGTAGGCTTGATAAGTAAATGACCACAAATTGATAAAAGTCGAGGTCATTGGTATTTATGTGGATAACTACTGGATTATTAAAAAATGCACAATAATAATATATCTTTATTTAAAAAAATGGCGCCATGTAGATTGATTCTATACTTGCTATACCTTCGAAACATCTTCTAGTGCAATTTATTTTCCATTTAGTGACATCAAAAATAGGTTTTGTCAGAACCAGTAATGCACTACTTAAGCTTTTCTTGAAACAAATTCTCTGAGATTGCAGCAATAAGCGAATCCGAACACGGAAGCCCAATTTTTTTGGAGCTCTGGCGTAAGCTGCTTATCAGAAATGTTAGATCATTGATTATGATAGCTCTTAATAAATACTTATATGCTATACTATATAATATTACGTAACGTAATCAAATAACATAATAATACAAGCATAACGCTAGTATAGGTAATATTGTGTCCAACGCGCTGCTTGCCTGCTCGGATCGAGTATGAAAGATGCGATATTTAAAGCTATGTACAGATATGTAACAACACCGCGAACCGAACCATGCGACCATCCACAGCGCGCGCATTTTGACGAACAACATTGCATCGAACCTCACCGCAAACCGAACCACGTCGTGCAACCACATCCCGCAACAAAATGACGATCCAATTTTGATGTTTGTCGTTCAGTGAAATACCTCATTTTTTAATTTATTGTAATGCAGGGTATGTTTTGCATCCCACAATAATTCCCCTGCTCTGTAATGCTCTATAAGTTTTCTCCTCCGACCATTCCATTTTTTCTTCACGGGTTCTATCCATTTACTGATATGAGCGCGTGCTCGCCGCAACGGTATCCCTGTCCAAACATGTGCAAGCAACTTCGTCGCGAGCCTTTCCTTGGATGTTACGCTGAAAAACCGACAGAGTCTGGTTCGCACCGAACGGCGAGCTGTAAAGGCGCGTATTCATCTGAGCACGAACGGGAACGAGGCATGGCGTATGTGCAGATGTGGACGTACATCCGAGGCGCGCCACGTTGCGTTCGGCCGTCCGTCGTATGGAGCGAGGCAGTTCGGGAGCCATCCGAAGGTAGTCGGTACATCAAAGACAAATTTTGCCTCGCGCGTTTAGATGTGGACAGTTTGTTTAGTCATCGTACGTTCGTGCCGCCCGCCGATTGGTAAAATATGAGTTGGGACACGGAAAAAACAATATCTTTCATTAAAGAGTATGAAAAGCGCCCGATATTGTGGAAAAAGAACGATAAACATTATTATAATATAATCAGAAAAGAAGATGCATGGAGAGAGATAGGTGAAATATGTAATGAATCCGTGGACGTCTTAAAAAAGAAAATTGATAGTCTTCGAGGTTCAAGAAGGATACTAATCAGGTTCGCGACGGCGTTTTTTTTCGCCGTCTAGACTAGTGCGGTGCGGTTCGTCGCGTGGTTCGGTTCGCGGTGTTGTTACATATCTGTTCATAGCTTAAAAATAACCCCTTGGTGCATGACATATTGACGACTCGTCTGCAGGATATACGAGTATAAAAGTACGCGGAAATCCCTGGTGCGTGAATTAATATACTAACATGAAAAAATGCGATACATCCTCCCCCACACGCTTAGAAACCCCACACCCCATTTTTAACCCCAAGGGATTTTTTAATAATGATCAGGATCCTTTGAAACGTCGAAAAACGATGGATGTGCGTTTTTTATTCCCCTCCCTATACAGTAAAGCTGATGAACGGGTATTAAAACCAAATGAAATTCAAACCATTATCGAATTACGCAAAATATTGTTTATCACAGACTCATTATTAGTTTGACGCAATCATGTTTATAGGAAATAATCATTAATTGCTTAACTAATTATGCGTGTTATTGAAATTTGAAAATGAACTTATTTTATACACGTTTTCGTCATCACTATTTTCATGTCGTCCTATATCACACACATAACATTGGATCCAGAAATAACCTTGCATATGAGAACATTTTTGTTTTAAAAGGATCAAAAAAATTATCTCAGTGTATCGTTTACTTTTAGCCACGGGGCACAAAAACTGGAATTATGCGCTTATAAATCCTAACACTTCAATGCCAGTCCATTAATAATTATTTTAATAAAATTCGGGTCAAATAGATTGACACTGCAATTCTCACGCAACGCAAGTCAATTCGGCAGCACGGCAGTGACAGCACGATACTCATCGACGAGACTGTGACTCCGGTAAACTCAGAGAACATGCCGAAGATATGTCTATCATTCTAAGTTTTAAGGGAAATGTATGCGAAAAAGTCTTTAAATATACCGTTGAAATCAAATTGAGATTTACCCTCATCCCCCAATTTTTATTACCTTACATTTTGTTCAGAAAATGATCATGGGATTCTGAAACGTCGAAAAACGGTTTTTTGCCCTTAGCACCGCCGCCACTGGATCGAGATTCAAAAACTACAAAGTTTTCTCATCTTTTGCTTAGTGACCTGATGATTTAATAATTATCCATCTTTCTCTGTTCGCCAAATAAAACCTCATATCTTGAATTGGGTTTTTACTACTTCGGTGGCCTTTTTCAAAGTACAAAGTACGAAATGTTAGTAAACAGTCAATCCAACATACCTATGTGGTTTCATCTGACGGCCAAAAAATATTGGAGATTTATCAGCGTGAAAGCTACACGATTTGTGCTGTGTTGTACGTTTCAAAATAATATCTGATGGTGATGACCTTACCTAGGATATTCGTCTTTGTATATCAATGTGGGAGCGAAAAGGAAATACAAAAACTTCATAAACTCCACTTTAGGTACAACTTGTTCACTGTGTAGTTTGTATTTAACAAAAGCTTCCGCTTTTGTTCTTACGAAAGAATGGACTTTCATCAACAGTCTAACCTGGAAAAATGTTCATAGGGTAATCAAGAACATTCCAAACGATTATTTATGGACTTCTAATGAAACCCCTAAGCGCGCAACATTTTGTTGCAATATATGGTTGTAACAATGACTACTGTAGCCGATGAACATGGCTTGATATAGCTTGGCCATATCTCGGCAATATTATCTGCAATGTGTAGACACTAGACCAGGAAATTGGTATTTTTTCTAGTAAATTTTTTTGGTGCATCATTAGATTATTGCTTCATAATGATACTGTGTCGAAAACACCGTTCTTACTGTGCAAAGTCAAATTTATTACTCAAGCACTAACTTATAACACTTGCAACTGATTTATGAAACATTTATAACCATGTCGACTGGGCTATATTGACGCCACGGTCGCTGCCCATTGACTGTATCGAGTGTGACTGACTGCTTCCCCAATCTGGTCAGGTATTTAACTTCAATCGATGAATTCCAGAAGCATTCCAGGGACTGCGCGAACCTTGACGGAGTTCTAGAAAGTTGTAGACCGAAGCCCCTTCATGAGGCAGCAATCGCTCATGCCCAGCCACGTAACTCTGGTTGCCTAAGCGTAGATCTCACTTCTGGACACCTGTCGAATCTTCTGGTCGCTATACGAGGGTGTGTCGCTGGTACCCAGTTATACGAAGACCTTATACGAGGGCGTTATAATTTGTTCAAATTGGTGTCATGCTGGGGCTGAAGCATTTGCCGCCATTTCTATAAAAAGGTATGATCTACAATCTCTATGATCCTGCGTAAAAAAGGAAATGATACTTTTTAACATTTCGTTTCTATGGAAATTCGGCATATAGTCAACAGGTTACAAGAAATTTAAGGGCAAATGTGAATGTAATGGTATTTTCGCTTATAATGGCTAAACTAGCAACCTAGAGCGATGAGGAGTACTATCCTTTTTTGAAGAGAATAAAATTCTGTACAGAAAAGGTCATTTACGGTTTTCCGACGCGTTGATGGTTTTTCAAGTACTTTGTCCACGTGTCAGTATACATGCTTTTACGAAGGGACAACTGTATAAGTCATTATCTATTATTAAGAATACCCTTTTAAAGTGAATCCATTTTTTACTGCCACGCGTTAAGTATGGAAAATGTAATATTTTTGGATAATTTATAATATCTTCATCATGAAAACGTAAGACACTCCCTTCAATCAGTCTGTCTATTGGCTATTCTGCAACTGTGTAGCCTCAGAAACCGTTGCAACGATTTTAATGGAAAGGGAGTGATGACATTAACTAAGCTACGAAAGTTACTGAAATTACACAGTGGCGAAATCGCCAATAGTATTGATTAACATATTCAACTGGGCGGAATATCTTAATAAATGCCAATAGACAGACTGATGAAAATATCACAAATTTTCAAAAAATACTATATAATATTTTCCATACTTGCGCGTGGTAGTAAACAAATAGATTCACTTTAAAATGGATTCTTGATCATAGGTAATAATTATGAGGTTATCTAAACATGAAATAATGTATGCGGATAACGTGGACAACGTACGTGACGTGTTTAGTATCTCGCGCGACAGTTTTAATACGAATTTTCAACTTTCGCTTCTTATACTTCAAGGACCATCAAAGTGTCGAAAAAACTTAAAAAACCTTTTTTGTAGCAAATTTCACTCCACTAAGAAATAGCTCATACACTTACATTCTTTGTTTACACATTATAAGTGGAAATATCATTACATGTACCTTTACCTTTAATTTCTCGTAATCTGTTCACTATACGAGAATTGTTGGTAGAAGCAAAATGATCAAGTGTTCAATTCTCTTCAAAATTATTTTTATTGCTTTATTACTTAGGATCGATGGTTTCGAGATTTTTGATCAAAAAAATGCTTCAGCCAGTTTGAACTTATTAGGAAGCAATAAATTAACAATACCACTACAAGATTCACTGTCGCAAAAATTGTAGGATTTCCAGAATTTGTTATGAAAGGAAATAATGTAAAATACTAAAAATATTGCCGTACATTCCCGACTACCCGACTAGTCTATTGTTGCTCTAGAATGCAGTAAAAATATAGCCCATTTAGAAACAGAAGTTCTTCAAATTGCATATAAGGAACTAAATAAAATCAAGGACATACTATCAGCGAATTTTTCTGTGCTGAAAATTCTTAACAAGTGTTTATGAGGTCTGACCATTAACTGTTAACGGTTTAAAACAGTATTTTTATTTAGCTTATAATACCTGTTCAATCGCAATTATAGCTGCTGAAGCTGGTGGCAATTTATAACTGCTGACAATTTTTGAAGCTACTCTGAACGAAGTGATGTAGTAACACGCCAGACAGATCAACCAAAACTTATCCCAAAGTCGAATCACCTTCGCTAAAACAAGCGTAATGTCTTTTGGATGAAATTTATTGCATTATGTGAAACTCACATTTTGGAGAAAGATTCAAACGTATTTTAGCCCAAAACTGGAATAGAAAGAAAATTCCAAACGTTGATGTCATATATCCCAACCACGTTATAAGTGATATGTACAATTTTCCGAATGCCTTGGAGATTATATGGAATCCAAATTTAATCCTGGAAAGATATAAATAAAATAAAAGATGAGAAAATTTAAAAATGTTCCAACTTACTCGTTTGTCCTCAAATAATCATGCGCAATAGTATTTATAAATAGTGCAATTAATAGAGCCACAAAAATGTTATATATAGTTTTTATGTGGGGATTTGACTCTATCATGTCCGTCAATAGTGAATTTCTGATTTCGAACTTCTTTTCTGGGAACTCGAATAGATGTACCGCTTTCCGATGGCTGAAAAATATAAAAAAAATTATTACTACTAACCGATCTTACAAATGAGAACGATTTATAACATTTCAAAAAACTTAAGCATTATACAGGGTAGGGCGGTTTTAATATATCTTCTACGTTTACGTTGTCTTTTGACGTTCAGACGGCCTCGTTTCCTGAGACACAGGGCCTTTTAAATAACACCGCATCATCCAACGAAATTTCTACAGCACAGTAGCCAGTTGAAATCTTACAAGATGTGGTCCATAGAAGAATAATTGTTCATTTTTAGTTCTTATTATGTCAGGGACAGATAAGATAGTTTAAGGCACCGTCCCATGCATGTTTGTCCCACATATAATAAAAAATTATCGCGGGCTTATTGGAATGTGAAAAAAATGGCGTCAAGTAATCGTAAAGGATTATGTTCGGCACAAGCTAGCCCTTTTGAGAAAAAAGGTACCCACCTACTTAGAATATAACAAAAAATTAAATGACCTTAATCCTCCCCATGAGAGAAGTTTCTGCTGGCGCACATGATCGTCGCTAAGAGTAATCCGCGTGGATGACGATATTGATTTTTACATCGTCACACGTATTGACACGCGACTGTTGGAGATATTTCTAAGTTTTGAAGATGAGCGGGACATCTATGATGAGAGAAATATATCTAATAGCTCCGTAGAATTACTGTGCCTGAAGGCGTATAAATGTACCAATACCAAATAATTCATATAATGATCAGAAAACACAAAAACGTCAAAAAAACGAAGTTTGTAAGATTTTCCAAGTCATAGGCTGGTCAAGGATCAGCGGACAGATAGAGAGACCCACGGAAATGATTGATATGCTTTTTCGTGATGTACATGTCATATACCATTCAAAAAACGATATTGTGTTTTCGCAATTACAATACTTCCAGTAGGTGTGGGAAGTAATATAACTCATCTCAGACGAGAGACTGAGAAGCTCTGAGTAGTTTCCGTAATATTGCGATAACTCTCTGAACTGGACATTTTTTGGTAATTTTACAATCTATTGACTAAGATCTATTTGTTCTAAAGTTCACGGAACTTTACAGTACTGTTCGAGTTCATATAAACAAACCTGGGTCAGATATATCCAGACCCAACTATCTATGTTTGCATGTACCTATCATCGCAATTGGTATTATTTTTCAACGCAATAAATAGAATAATAACCTATAAATTGAGTACTCTGGGTCGGGTCGTTGCAAGATAACAAGAGTACATTCTTTTTTGCGACGTACACCGTTACTCACAATGCACATATTTAAATTGTGAAGCAAATAGTGTGGATATTAATTTGAAGGGCATTGTGGAAAAAAATGATTCAGTAATTCTCATTATTTGATGTAAATCTGTTTCACATTCTAGATACAAGAATGGAGAGGTGGTTCTAAGCTGACGCATACGATGAACTGTGCGACTGGCCCCGGGACTGAAGTGGCCCGAAAAACCCCCATCCCTACATAGCTTAAAAAATGGCATCAAACAGGTTGATACATCAATATGTATAACAAAAAAATTAAGTGGGTTAGCCAAACACCCATTTACAATTAGTGCGTATATACTATATACAAGAGAGTGCATCGAGCACTGCTTCCAATTTATGGGCAATTTGGTCGGCCTACTGAGTGAGCTATTCGGAAGCTTGTGACTAAATTTCGAACCCAGTTTACATTATTGGACATTAAACCACCAACACGCAGACGTAGAGTGAGGACTGAAGAAAATATTGCGGCTGTATCCGCCAGTGTTAGTGATGACCGTGAAATGTCGATTCGCCGCCGTTCGCAGCAATTGGGCCTCTGTTACTCCACTACGTGGAAAATTTTGCGACAGGATTTGGGTGTAAAACCTTATAAGATACAGCTGGTGCAAGAATTGAAGCCACACGACCTCCCACAACGTTTCCAATTTGGTGAATGGGCGCTGGCAAAGTTGGAGGAAGATCCACATTTTTATCGAAAAATTGTGTTCAGCGACGAAGCTCATTTCTGGCTGAATGGGTACGTTAACAAGCAAAATTGCCGCATCTGGAGTGAAGACCAGCCAGAAGCATTGCAAGAGCTACCAATGCATCCCAAAAAAATCACTGTTTGGTGTGGATTATGGTCCGGTGGCATCATCGAGCCGTACTTCTTCAAAAACTACAATGGCCGGAACGTAACTGTGAATGGCGAGCGCTACCGTGCGATGATAACAAACTTTTTTTTGCCCAAAATGGAAGAGCTGGACTTGGCTGACATGTGGTTTCAACAAGACGGTGCCACATGCCATACCCTATTGAGAGGCGAGTTCGGTGAACAGTTTATCTCACGTTTGACTATTTCTTGTTGGGCCATTTTAAGGGATAAACCAGCAATGATTGACTCACTGGAAGCCAATATTGAAGCATTTATTCGCGAGATATCGGCCGATATGTTGCAGAGAGTGTGAAAAAATTGGACCTTGCGCATGGACCATCTAAAGCGGAGCCGCGGCCAACATTTACATGAAATAATCTTTAAACATTAAGTTATATCGACCGTTCTATCGACTCAAATAAAGATTTAATTGTTTTTTCAAATTTTTTGTGTTTTTTTTGAAAATCAAATTCTATACCTCTTAAAAAATCACTCGTTACTACTGCCAACAAAATGAGATATACCTTCCCTCACCTCTACAACCCACAAACCTCGATTTTCAACCATTTTCTGAAAATGATCAGGAGTATCTGAAACTTCAAAAATCAAAGTTTGAGTAAATTTTTATTTTTTGTAATTTTGCCCCTAGCACCGCCGGCACTGGACTAATTTTCAAATACGTCCTTCGCATAGTATAATAACCTTATGTGAAGAATTCATCCAAACCCGAGCAGCACTTTCCAAGTTATAGGCGGAGAAAAGATTAGAGGACAGACCGACAGGCTTTCTTTGGTAACTGGATAAAAAATAAAAGCTTCACTATTCACCTTTAATAACATAACTTGAATACATACCTGTTGCCGTTCTTAATTATTTTTTCTTCATGGTCTTTTGAGGCTTCTCCGTTGATAACAGTTTCACATTTCATTTTGTAAATATCTGCAAAAGTACGTTTTTTTACCATATCCTTACAATAAAATAAATAATAAGAAGATATTTTCCCTAATTTGAAGATCGACAGATAGTTCTAGTTGTAGAAGTCAAAGCATGAATTTCCCAATCCCAAAATCGCTAAAAATATTTTTTCATATCATTAACATCATTCATGATTCATTTATTTTTTGTTGTTGTTTATAGTTCATACATACTTGAATAATGCTAGATGAAGGTGTTACGCATCTTGTTGTTGTTAGTCAAAACCAAATGAAACATACAATGACCATATATTGTAAATGCGTCCAACAATGCTGAATCACTATTTAATGGAGAAATGCTGATAATAAATTGCCGTTTTGAAGTTATAATTATGCAGGTGTACGATAATGAGATAAGGAAAGAAAGGATTTCGCTGTTTCAGTCATGCAATTGTTTGAGATAAGGTCAACATTTCAAATTGTAAGACGTTCGACATCAACAAAGCTTCTGGTCCGCACTTGATTCCTGCAGTTGTGTTTTAGCGATGTGCAGTGGAGCTTGCTCCAGTTCTTTCGCGTCTCTTCTCGATATCTTACGAATCTGGTACTTTTCCAGAAAACTGTAAACTTCCTCGTGTCAAACCTATCCAAAAAAGGATCTAATCTAATCCGATCCACACATGCAGGATGTCCGAGTGACAAGCCGATATCTGCCGGTGATCTGGAGAAAAGAGGACGAGAGACCTGGAGGTTATCACTGTTTGGGCAACAATCTGGTACAGTTTAATGCTTCCAGAACCGAGGAATTGATCTGGTACCAACACATCTCGTCAATAATAATAATAATAATAATAGCTTTATTGTCCAACAGTTTCCCATTTATAGGACAATTTATAAACATAATACAAAAGCAAAAAAAAGCGAAAAGAAAACAACAAATGCAACACAGGTATAAATTTGTAACATGAGCTATTGGTCCGAATAATACTTAGCTGCCTTTAGCAGGTAATTAACATTTGTCGTAAATATATCACAGTAACATCCAATTCTGTTTAAGTTAGAGCACATTACATATAACGGTGACTTGAGAAGAATGTTTGTCCTAGCTCTAGGAAGCCCGAATATTTTATGATTGCGAGATGCAAACGTTGGAATACGAAACTTGATCTCTTCCAGGATCATGGGGCAATCAATTAAATTGTTGATCATTTTGTAGCCAAATATTATTGAGGCACAGTACCTACGTTTTTTCAAAGTCAACATGTCTAAGCGACTACATAGTTCCTCATTACTTGTACCTCTCTCTGGATATGTCCCATCAATCCTAAACAGAACAAACTTCATAAACTTCCGTTGTACTCTTTCAATAGCTGAGCTATAGCATTCATAGTAAGGGCTCCAAATAATACTACAATATTCGACTTTGGATCTAACATAAGCATAATATAATAATAATAATAATAATAATAATAATAATAATAATAATAATAATAATAATATTTATTTACTATAGCTTAATAGACTTTATGTTATGAAAATTCCTGCAATTCCTTACTATGAAACCATAAGCCGCCAATGCTTCTGATGCTTTTTTATTTATATGCTGACTAAAAGTTAACTTTTGATCATAGATTATACCTAAATCACGTACATCAGAGCATCTTTCTAGCACACAGACCCATCAATAGAGTACGGATATTCGCAAACATTAATTTTCCTGGTATAGCTAACTATTTTACACTTCCTCACATTAAGCTCCAACTTGTTTTCTACACACCAAGACAGTACAAAATTTAATTGGTGTTGTAGCTTGATACAATCATCAGGAGTATTTATCTGCGAATAAATTTTTAGATCGTCAGCAAAGCATAGGCGTTCACATTCAACTGAGTCACAGAGGTCATTAATAAATATCAAAAACAGTAATGGTCCCAGGTTGGACCCCTGAGGAACTCCAGAATGTGCCAAGTAGGTCTCAGATTGGAAGCCATTATAGCTAACAAATTGTCTACGATCGGATAAGTAAGATTTCATCAACTCCCTAGCATCATCTGTGAAACCAAGTGCACCTAACTTATTTAATAAAGTTTTGTGGTTAATTTTATCGAAAGCCTTCAAAAAGTCGGTATAAATAACGTCAAACTTGCTCATTACTATCAATGGCTTCCGAGAGGTACTGCGTTATTATAAATAGATTTGTGGTTGTTGAGCGATCAGCGACAAATCCGTGTTGATGCAATGACAGCTGACGCTGGACGGCAGTGTAAATGCGACTGTACAAGACTATTTCAAAGACTTTCGAGAACATGCATAATATAGAGATTGTTCTGTAATTCTCAATATTTGACTTATCCCCACACTTAAACACTGGACAGACCTTAGCGATCTTCCAAATATCTGGAAATCTTTTTGTTATAAGACAAATATTAAAAATCCTAGTTAGAACACCAACAAACACTTCCACACAATCTTTGACTATAAAGGACGGGTTGCCATCTAGACCAGATGTCATCTTATCCTTTAGTGATTTAATGGCCTTCCTGACTTCATTTTCCTCAATTGGATGAAAATGGACAAATAAATTACTATTATTTAATAATGGCAGCTGATGAAAAAAACTAGGCTATTTGTTTAGGGCTAACAAGTATTTTTCATTGCATAACCATCTCACCCTCTACAAGTCCCAGATGAGACCTATCCCCGATTACATTATCCATGGCCGGTGCTGTTCAGAGGAGGGCTCTCTGACTGATCGATGACTTTTCTGTGCCTGCCAGACAGATCCGCCTGACTTCGGTCTCCCATTCTAACCGTATCAAACTTCGTAGATCCAGAACTTGTCGATTAGACGGCTTTTTTGACCCTAGGATATCGAGATTGTGGAACAATCTACCTCAAAAGACTTTTCCCAGTTCTCTTAACTTCAGGTAGCTCAAAAATAGGATTAACAAAGTTTGTTTAAGTTCGTCATAACAGCCGCGGTGCCCTGGTATTAAGCTTCTGCTTGCGTTGCTGCTTCAGTATAAAAAAAGCTGGCTCTAGAACTGAGCTCCTCTAAATACTTTCCCTCAAAAATGGCATCAAGTAGGTTGACTCTGCACCTTCCACGCACCTCTGTCATCAGTTCATAAAGGATTATGTTGGGCACACGTTAACTCATCTGAGGAAAAAGTTAGCCACCATATCAAAAAATTGTATGGATCAAATCAGTCAAACAACCTCATACGTTTGGTCTATAGTGCCCAGCCGTCTGATGATGTTGCAATCTATAAATGTATTCCATATCCCACCGACTAAAAGGCAATATTGCTATGACTAACCTCGCTGGCCGCCAGCCACGGCAGCGACACATCGGTCAGACCGCGATACAGGTATATCAAGAGACGCGTGTGATAATATTTATCTATCATTCCAAGTTTTAAGTGTAAATGTACTATGTCTGAAATATGTTTAATAGGCGCGTAGAATGACCGAGGTTGATAGCGTATTAAAATGTTAACACCAAAAAAATGAGATATACTCTTCCCCACCCCCTAAAATCACGAATCCTCCAAATTTCTATCCCTACATAAAAGTTGTAGAAAATGATCTGAAACGTCAAACACGAAATATCTATGAAACCCAGATTTTCCACGATTGCAATAAATGAGGAGGCCAACAAGGAGAATCACACGCGGCTCGGGTTACGAATCCGTCTGTTTATGCTCATGTTCCTTTATTGCGCACATGCCCACGATTGTCATTTTTTCGTCTAAGTTTCGCAATACTCTCTTTCTTTCTAAATGTAGATGTAAAAAATGTATCTATGATAGTACAAAATAAGCAAAACTCACCAGAAAAAATTTGATCTTGGAACACAAAAAATATAAAACTCTAGTCTCCTTAATTTTGTTGCACCTGACCATCAAAATATTAAAGCTCGAGCACATGCACTAGCACATAATTTCTCCATCGGCCGCGCTACAAAAAACATCAGTGATCGCACTGCTTACAGTTGAAACTTGTAGCACTGTTTTTTAATAGTATAACCGTCATATCCATCAAAAACACTAAAAGCCAACAACTTCACACAATTTCGTCTGTTAAATCATTTGCAAACTTTAAATGTTTGGACTATTTCGTCACCTTTGGAGTGACGTAGTTCATTCATTCAACTGCGATTAAGACTTTGATGGACGCTCGGGATCTTCACTGAGTATATAGTTCGCGACAATAAAAATGAGTGAGTTATGTTTAAATGATAAATTGGAGTAGGTAGTGTTTTCATATTGTTTATCTAGTTGGAAAGATATTTACAGCGGCGTGACAAGTGTATTTGAATAAAATATGGAGTACCAATGCCTAAAGAGGTTAATGATACAGGATGAGTTTTTAGTTTGTAATCGGTCGATATCTCCGCTAATATCGAAAAGTAATTTACATACATAGATTATACGTAAATATATGCTCCTTACTTGAAACATTTGAGGCTCTCTACAGGGTGGTTGATAACAACGCGGCAGTCCAAACATAATTTTTTTTACTTCCTACGTCACTGGACGAGGAAGTATTGCAATCGCTAAAAATATCGAAAATGAGATATTTTTCTGATGTTATATGAAATGTACATACATCACGAAAAATGTCACTCATCTCTATCGGTCTGTCTGCTAATCATTGGCCCGTCTATAACTTGAGAAGTACCATTCGGATTTTGATTAAATTTCCACACAAGGCTGCTACTATACGAAGGACGAAAAGGCTTTGCAGTTCTTGAAAATCAGTCCAGTGGCGGCGGAGAAAAAAATCAAAAAAAGGCAAAAATAAAAAACACTCCAACTTGGTTTTTTGACGTTTCAGATGGTCCTGATCATTTTCAGAAAATTTTTGTAGGGGTAAAATTCGGGGGTTGAGCGCTGTAGGAGGTGGAAGAGGGTATATGAGAATTTCTTGATCTTAGAATAGTTATACGCTTCCAACCCCGGTAATTCTCGGCACCTATTTGCCATTTTTCACTCAGCATAGATTTCCCCATACATTATCCTTTAAAACTTGGATAAATGCTTTCGATCCGAAACTTCTACTATCTAAGGTGAAAGATTACTCGCTTGCAGCTATGCCGAGGAGATATGGAAAGGGACAACGTTGCCAGATAGACGGTAACTACCGGTAGGACAGGAAAAGAATGTCTATGGACTAATTGTATCGGCCCATTTAACCGACATAATGCATTTAATTGCTCCTTTGTACGTATTCGTAACTGTTGCATAATAAATGCAGAGTTAACCTAGTTGACACCATTCTTTTTTTTAATGGAATACCATATATATTTTAGTATGTTCTGAAGAGCCTCTCAAAATAAAGAAATTTTGTCAAAAGGCACTCTACTTTGGCAGATTTTAAGTCAGGCACTTTTATGGATAGAGTAGAGAGCTTTTAGTCAAATATGCAAAATACCTCATAATTTTTCGTTGTTTTGTGTATCGTCTACACAAGGTGTTTATAAACGCAAAATGTACCTTACCTCAAAAAATTCGAATCCAATACTCTTTATTATTAGGGTTTTGTGATATCCAATTTTATAAGCAATTAAAACAAATAATAATCCTATCGGTCAGTTCAGTGACTTGACAAGTGACTGCTTTCATATTTCAATTTCCTTGTGATTCCCAAAAATATTTTAATTTCTTGCCATTTTTGAACTGACGCCGCTATCTTTTCGAATTTTCGTGAGAGTTTTCTGTATTTGTCGTCTGTGTTTCTATAGTCAACGCCAAACAAAGTGGCGTGCACGTCATCAAGGTCGGTGTGTTGAAAAAATTACATTGTTGCCAAACTTTTTGTAAAATAATAAAATTTATTATTTACATATCTAGGTTTATAAGCAATATTAACCTCAAATGAGAACAAAAATAATAGTATAATAAAATTATAGATCTGTACTTGCATAAGCATTAAGTATGACAATTATTGATCAGATGACACTATGAAACTACCATATTTAATTGATAGCTTAAAGGTACTGAATAAAAATCCAAATGGGGTCCTCCAAATTTTATGTATGGTATTTATTTTACAGAATTCATACAGAAAAATGCATTCTAAAATTAGGTAAGCTACTGGTGTAAGCTTTTTCTGTACAATAAAGTTAGTCGGAGTTTCTTTCTTCAGCGCTGTCTGAATCTGAATCTTCATCACTCTCAAAGTTGATTATTAAAGGTTCGATGTCTGGTCGATCAAAAATTCGTTCTCTTTCATACCATTTAAAAATTTCTTGCTCAGTATGTCGAACACTATTTTTCCACATGTCTGGGGTAACCGTTTGTAGCGCCTCGTTCCACATATCCAAACAGTCTTTTTCACTGTTACCATCTCTACCAATATGTCTGTTATAGTAACCTTTTGCTATGCCCCAAATTAACTCAATAGGGTTAAATATACAATGGTAAGGATGCAGACGAAGAACTTTGTGCCCATGTTGTTCCGCCAATTCATCAATCACGTATATTTTAGGTGGTTTGTTTCTAAAAAAGCAGTTATTTTAAGAATAGGAATAAACAAAAGAAATATAAACTGTCGACCAAAATATATATAATTAAGAAGCATTATGTACCGAGCAACAATACTCAATAGCTCTGTTTTAAACATTGTGTTTAAAAATGGTATGTTTTGATTTGTCAACCAGTCTTGGATATTTTTTTTGTCCATGCATTGTTGGGCACTTTGTTCAATATCATGCTGTGATAAGGGGCGTTATCCAGTATAATCATAGATGGACTCTCCAATTTTTCTAATAACTGATGTTGAAACCATTTCAAAAAATTGTCCTGGTTCATCTCTCCATGGTAATCGCTCAATTTTGTTTTCGAAGAAAATATCGCTTCACTACCCTCAATAAACCCATTTTCATTTCCAGCATGTAACATAATGTATCTAAAATATATTAGTTTTAAATTTTATAGTGCAAATTGTGTAAAAGTACATACCTTTTACCATCTGTTTTAATAGCTTTCACGCTTTTTTGGTTTCCATTTTGCCAAGAGCGACCTATGGTCCCATTTTGAAATATCCAAGTTTCATCGAGGAAGACAAACTGGTATAAGGCCTCAACCTTGGCTTGATTGTATTGCCTTAGAAATTCCACCCTTTTCAAAGCTATACTTGGTAGTTCCATGAGCCCTCGTCGCGGATTGTCCTTAAGCCACTTAAATCCAAGATCTCTAAGCAACCGCCTTAAAGACGTGGCACTACCATCAAATAATGCCCTATCTCTTAATCGAGACCATAAAGTTTGTATCGTAACTTGTTCTTCTGAAACCATGTGTAATATGACATTATAATTTAGTTAACAAATTAATGCAAATTTCTGATAAGTTATTGTAATAAGATCTTACTTTTGTGATACATATTATAGATCACTTCTCGAATGGCACTTGTATCCAATGTCGCTGTGTTGGTTACACGTTTAATATAACTCCGCTTTTTCTTGGGCGATTCTAAATTTGCATCACTTTTCACACCCTCGGAAATACGACTAACTGTCCTTAAACTAATTTTTAAAGCAGCAGCAACACGCTACAAAAAATGAAACAAAATTTCACTATTATTAATATACATTACATATAATTATTAGTAACCTACCTCTTGAACAGCATTTAAAGGCAACAAAGGCCCGTTGTTGTCCCTTTCTTGCTCAAAGTAGTGCATTAACGAGGCCACGAGTTCCTTACACCGACTATTTAACTGTTTTTGCATCTTTATATACCAAAATTGCCTTTATCTACTCGTAAAATGAATAATTTTGTTTTGAAACAAACAGTTGTTGATTTAGAGTATGCGGGGCCAAAGGATTTATAAAGATTTGAAATGCCACAAATTGATTCAGTGTCAAAATTAATACAAATGTCAGTTCCCAGTTTAAATAAGTTTCAAGGTGACAATGTGTCAACGCTGCGAAATCGGTTTAGTGCGTTTACATGTCGATAAGTGATTGGAGCGTTTGCAAAACATTTTATTTCGCATAATGCGTCTAAATTTATCAGAAAGCAACTTATGTGATATTTTAATAACAATGTTTATATGACTATTAACCATAATAAGAGAGTAATGACCATTTTACAATTTATATATCACATTAATATGAAACTGCAATAGAGCAATTGTTTGTGATAGAAACCTAGGCATTAGGTCGGGGAATTTTTATCGTGATGACGTGCACGCCACTTTGTTTGGCGTTGACTTATAGTTTGTATTATTTAATCTTCAAGTGTCACTTAAAAATTTCACAAGTACCGATCGCCCGGATCTATCCATTATTTCTTTTCTTTAATAATAAATACGCAGCAATTGCTCGCCCTCGACGCCAATGAAGCAAATTTCGTGTTTCATCCATTATAAAATAAACTATAGAAAAGTTGTTTTTATGTTTTTGGAGTCTACAGGTCTAAATAAAATTGTCACAAATGAATAACAATACCCTGAGAAAGGACAGAACGAACAAACAAGCTTAACTATAGGTATCAACATACCAGAGTACAGGGTGTTTCAGTTTATTGTTGCATAACTAAGATTCGATAGAACTTTTAAAATTAATGCATAAAGTTTATATAAACATGGGTCGAAAAATGCGTGGCTTCCGAACTACAGGGTGTTTAAATTTACTTTCTAAAATAGTTTTTTTCAAATATTTCGAACAATATTTGATGTATAACAGTGAAAATTGGTATACCAGGGTTTTTTGGTACGGCAAAATGAACCATGGGCATAGTTTTACTGTAGCCGCTAGAGGGCGCTCTCTACTGTACCTGTAGTGTATTAAAATGACCGAACATTTTTTCTTAGTGCAATTTTTTGCTTTTTGAATAAAAAAACTGATTCTTCGCACTTTTCTGCATAAAAAAGCTGTTCTGTGAGTTTTCGTTATAGTTAGCCGTTTTTGAGATATTTCGATTTTTAAGGTTCGATGCATTTTTAATTATTTATGGGAAAATAATATTTTTTTTACATTTTCGATTTGGGCATTACAAGTAATTAAGATGATCGTTTAGATTGTGTTTTTAAACACAGCAATAATTCCTAAATCCAAATAAACACAAAAAAAACAGAATATTAATTTGTTTAATTTTCCAATATCATTTTTAACAAATTAAATTAATTATTTACAACTAAAATGCTATTGGATAGTTAGGAGAAACATACAAAATCTAAAGTAGTTCCTCGAAATGTAAACCCAATTCAATTCATAATTCACATCTACGAATGATCGAACGTGGTATAGCATTATTCAAATAAGGCCTTATTTCATCACATGCATTCCTGATTCTGTCTATTAGCATATCTCTTGTGGTTACGGGAGTCTGGTACACTTTTGAGCTGGACAACCATCAAGCTGGAACCAGGCCAATCTTCTTAAATCTAACATAACATCATCCCACATATTTGCATGTTCAGCCTTTAAAAATTCCAAGAAGGTCGCAGCATTTAACCTTGCAGGCAAAAGGTAGGGTCCAAATAGTCGATTACGGTAGATACCTATCCACACGTTCACAGTAAATTCATGCTGAAAATTTCTTTCCCGAACTGCATGCGGATTTTCATGCGACCAAATATGTTGATTATAAAAATTTACCACTCCACGTCTAGTGAAGCATGACTCATCGGTCCATAAAAACTCCCTATTATCATTAGTTCTATCAAGAATCCACTGACAAAATGTGATTCTTCGTTTTCCGTCCCCTGGCTGTAGTCCGTGCACAGGTTGCAAATGGTAAGGACGTCTATGGTCATTTCTAAGAACACGGTGAACATGGCTTGCTGAAATTCCCAAGTCACCAGAAACTCTCCTAACACTTGTGGTCGGATCTCTATCAAACTCACGCAGAATCACACGGGTAAATGTGCGCTGACGAACATTTATGTTTTGATCCCTTTGGAGATTTTCAAAACCATTTTCAATTATTTGGCGATGCACTCTTGCAAATACTGAGCGAGTTGGACGTCGTCTGTTTGGAAATCTTCGTGCGTAATCTCTGGCTGCTTCTGCTGCGTTTCCATTTACAAAGCCATACACAAAATGAATATCCGCTAACTCTTGATTGGAGAATAAAAATGGCATTTTTATAAAACTTACAAAAAAAACCAGGTAAAAGAAACTAAATTTCGTGCATTCACAATTGCAAAAAAACTATATGCCCATGGTTCGTTTTGTCGTACCAAAAAACCCTTATATACCAATTTTCACTGTTATACATCAAATATTGTTCGAAATATTTAAAAAAGAAACTATTGTAGAAAGTAAATTTAAACACCCTGTATTTCGGAAGCCACGCATTTTTCGACCCATGTTTATATAGACTTATATGCATTAATTTTAAAAGTTCTATCGAATCTTAAAGTTATGCAACAATAAACTGAAACACCCTGTATATGCCACCGAAAAATAGTAAATGTTCCGAAAATTATTGCGAAATTCGTCTCTACATGAATTTTCAGCATTTGCGAGAATCAAGTTCGAGAAAATTAACTGTAAGGTATGAATAATGGCAAAATCGGTGCATTTGATTTTGTGGATCGCTCTTTGAAAATATAAATAATGGCAAATTAATCGATTGTGAAAAGTAGACTCAAAACTGGATTAGAGAGATCAATTTATAAATGATTTTCAAGAAGTAACAAACCTTTAGGACCTTGAATATAAAATGATAATCTATTCTTCACCATATGGGCATACGAGGCCTAGGCACAGGGCTAAATGCCTAAAAATCAAACGAAACTACAAAGCTTTTTCGTCCTTGGCATAGTAGTAACCTTGCGTGAAAATATCATCAAAATCCAAGTACTTCCCATGTTATAGACAAGCCAAGGGTTAGCGGATATATATAATATCTAACAAACATTTCGTTTTCGAAATTTTTCGCGATTACAATACATCCTCACGAGCGTAAGAAGTAAAATGTTTCGTATACTCGTAATAATAAAACGCATCAACATTCGATTCCCATTCCTCGATTAGTTAACAGTATGTATTGTGGAGAGATGGTCATTTTTTATTTTGTCAACACGTTTTTTGTTGAAATGATATAGAATTTTCTCGAAAGTTTCTCAAAATGGGTGCAAACTTGATCAAAGCTAAAAGCTTTTTTGTTTTTCAGAGAAGTTATCTTGAACAACATGGTTTTCAAGACATGTTTGAAGTTTTTTCCATCGTCAAACTGGCGACTACCTTATCTTATAGAAAACTGCATAAATATAAACATTTCATACTGATTGACTTGTTTATTAGATACTACATAAAACAAAATGCGAAGTATAAAATATTTCCATGAAATATTGAACATTCATTTTGCGAGCAAGCTTTGAGATTACTTTTCCAATTATGTATCTGCCAATTAGATACATTAGCTTCTTTTTGTAACATCATTAAAGATATATATGTTTACTTCTATATTATAAAAAAAATGTAGTGGGGTATTGAGTAGCAGACATGATTACCAGCAGGGGACGATTGGTCGTCTTTTCTATTTTTAAATGTTTCCCCTGGCTTAATTTAACCTCCCCCTGGATTTGTTTTATACTCCAAACACCACGAAAGCCTAAGGCCTAAACACTCATGGAGCACTGTCGGGTCATAGGGGGATACAGGGGAAAGGAGGAGGACGCCACACGGACCCTAGCGAGGGAACACGTGTGAAAGCAACATGCACACATTCTAGTCCCGCCCACCAGATCCGCCGGGTGGTACTTCCGCATTCAACAGTCAGAGACCATCTACGGACAATCACAACATCCATAGCCAAGAGAAAAATTCTCTTGGGACGGGAGTCGAACCCGCACAGCGCACGGCAATAACGTCTACCACTACGCCACCGCTGATGCCCAGATTCCTGATGAACTAAAATAAAACTGGCGTTGTTAATTTTACCATCTGTAGATGTATCCCAGAAGACAGCATATTGCTTAGTATCTCTTTAGTCCCTTTTCCTTGATACTCTGTTATTTGACGTGTTCACGTTTTGTGATTTGATATTAAAATTATAATCTTCACAGTTTGGCTTGGCGCTTTAGTTTTAATTTTAGTATTTAATATTTCAACAGAAAGAAGCAGTATGTGAGTATACTGTCAACTGTTTATTGGTTAGGTTCATTATACATATATACCCTATTTCACGAGTATCCATCACGCTTTGACGTCTACTGAGGTGAACAGCTGATCAGCCAGTGACATTTTTGTGTTAGTCTGCAACGTTGGCAATAATGAATTGGGTATAAGTCTAGTAAAACTTGTTTGTGGCATTTTGTTTTTATATGCAAATGAACTTTTTTAAATGAAAGAGCTGTTAGCTGGTACAAAATGAATCTGTAGCGTACAAAAAACAAAACAAAATACGGTTTGACTACCTGGGGTCGACGGATCCGTCAAAATTATGTGACCTGTGTCGATATGGGGAATTTTGAGACATTACTACATAATCAGCTGTCACTGTATTGTGATGCACACTCGTGAAATAGAGTATAAATTATGTTTTGGTATTTTTCCCCTGAGGTTGGTATCACAGAAAGTTACTATGTGTTGGTAAGCTTGACTTGAATAAATTTGATCATGTAATTTCCATCCTGTTTTCTTGAAGAAATTCATCAATTTTTATGACAATTTATTCGTAGCGTATAAAGCCATCGCACATTTCCAAAGCAGTAAGGGTAATTCGCACATTTCAAGTTTGGGAATTGGGATGCTTAGGAACTAAAGGATACCATCGGTTTTATTATTTTGGCAGTCATAAAGTATTTGTGAGGGCTCTAAATATAGGGTTCTATGTCCAAAAAATTCCAGTACTCAGAAGCACTGTGTCATCATTTTTCTTGCTTTGCTTTTAGATATCGATATGTGTATAACATTTTTTTGGATGATTTTTCAAACTCGCAGATAGTATTCTCAAACGTATCGTACGAAAATATATGCATAAGTATTTATTTTGTGATGAGTCACAAAGTATATAGAAATATGCGTTACTTTGCTTCTCAAGTACAGAGAATTAAGTTTTCGTCGATTTTCCTATCGGGATACTTTTTTATTTATTTCCTTTTCTGGAATTACGTCGATTCAAAAATAAAAATGCATGGAATTTTCCCGCTGGAATTACGACGATTCAAAAATATTGAAAAATGCATGACTTTTTGCCGCAGCAGAAGTAAAATTTTACGTTATTTTTTTGGAAAAGCACGCTTATGCTATTTTTAAGTGTCTAAATTCTCTCAGGTAAGCACGAAAAAGCAAGTTGCCATTTTTTTAGGTTTAAAATTACATTCTTTCAAATATTATTTGTAACCTGACCCTCAGTAATTCTGGAAAAAATAATCATTGCCTGACTGGCTTTGGAAATAACAGTAGTGATTTGTGTTTCAGTTTATTTTTATATTACACTATACTACTCTATCAAACTGATTCATTTCCATTCATCAGAGACCCACGAAGATTTACTCTTCCCCGTGCTAACAAAAATGACGCTTTCTTCATCATTGATTCTCCTTTTGACACTTTGTAGGGCTTTCAGCACTTTCATTTGAAAGGTGAGTTTTTGGTCTTCGTCTAAATTTTGCACAGATGGTAAGAGGGAAACGAAAAACGCCATATCTGGATTGATCTTTGGTATATCGCTTACATCGACCATTTCTTCGTATGGTGAAAGTAACATTTGTTTGTTTGAAGTCTTGATTGTGACGTCACACAGTGTAGAGGCGTCTCCTACATTCATGTCGCAAGTAGACCTAAAACATTTGTATGGTTATTGATGTTTAATAATGATTAGAAAAGCTACTGCCGAAAATAGTATGTTATTATGTTTATGCTTGGAGAATGTTCAGAATTTTTTGGTATGGTTATTGATGTTATGATTGTACGTAGGTGGTAGAGTGGCAGAGTCCGTGTGGTGCCCCCCCCCTCCCTTTCGCATGTATCCCTCTATAGCTTCACGGTACTTATAGGTGTTTAGGCCTTAGAGCCTTAAACCTTCGTGGTGGTTCAAGTATAAAAAATAAAAGGTATCTAGAAAACCGTAGGGCTGAAAATAAGAGCAAGGATATGTCTCTTTGTTCCCTTATCTGAAGCTTCAAATCCTGTTCTTACAAATAGTGATACTTACTCGTTTTCACTTTCCATTAAAAATTTCAACTGGTCATAATATCTATACGGTCTCCTAGTTTTGACGGCCCATCCCGCTTCGAAGCTCTTTTGTCTGTTGAGTTCTTTGATGAAACTGTCTCGAACATTTCTCCATTTCTTTTGGGTTTCCTGCGCTACAAAAAAGAATAAACGATTCAGTACAACTTCGTATATATTTCCTACGTGTTTAGTCAGTGATAGTAGTTATTTATGTATATAGGGCGCAAAGTACAAAGTTCCGCAGGGGTATTACGTATCTTAAAAAGTGACATTTCTTCGGTTTTTCTGATATTTCGTAGGCCTTTTGTGACATGACGTAGGTTTTTCTACAAGATGTTAAGTTAGCACAAGCTGTGCACTTGTTGTAACCTCGTTTTGTAGCTGTACGTATTGCTTTAACGTCAGCGAACACCGATTATAGCGAGCAAACGTGGAATGAACTATTTGCACACTAAAAACTACCTAGTCTATAAGATCTTTTTCTTTTGACGTTATATAGGTATTTTGTGACATTATGTAAGTTTTTCTACTAGATGTCAACTTAGAACTAGCTGTTGTTCACTTGATGTGTTTTGTAGTTGTATCTGTTACCTAAACATCATGACCCTTCAGCTGCCAATGTTTGGCTCTTTGATGTAACATCTGCTTTAGAGATGGCATTATTGGAAATCTAAGCTGTACGTTGTATATATAGGTACTACAGCTGGAAGGAAACGGCAGTGCATGGGCGCATAGTGAGGATTTCTGTGCTGATAATCTGTGTTGATTATTACAGACACAATTCCTTTAGTTTCTTGTCACAAATATATTTACTTGAATGAATGCTTCATCCTGGAAATTACATATTCGAATTTGCTGAATTTCAAAAATGAGAGAGATAAAAAAGAAAATCTCTGCTTCGTGAGGTGTATTGCAACTATAGTCAAATACCAGAATTGATGACAGTAGCAGAAGTCATCGTGCGCCACTGCTTTGACGTGGTACCTTTTGACTACACCGACGTTTGCCAACATTTCAAAAAGAGGCGCCGCATTTTCAAAGGCCTCCGCGTAATAGCAGTGTCGTACGATGAGTTTCGCTACTGTCATCAATATTGGTATTTTACTATAACAGGCGAGAAAGTGGGCTATAGACATGAATATTTATGGAACAAGATAAGATTATTACATTTTACGTTATTTTTTTATTTCCATATTTTCTGTCACATCTGCTCAGACTATCTCAGCATTTTGAAACAAAAAAAAAGAGAGAACTGACTTGCCGCTTGTAGCATGATCGTTAAGCATGTCGTGTCGTTGAGTCATTCCTCAATAGATGACGCTTTTGCTGGCGCTCATAGCGAGCAAAAGCGGAATGAACTATTTGCACACTAGGAACTATCTCTCTCGGTTTTTTGACATTATATAGGTTTTTCACGTAATAACCCTGCCGATTCATAGATATTTTTTTTAATTACCTAGATTCATTTGAGTTTCGGGTGCATATTCCTCATAATCTGGGTAGACAGCATGCATAACTTTCTGCCAGGCCACTTTCTTCGCCTCAGCATCCGAGTATCCTTTGCAGGAGGAGTTCCAAAGACATGGCCTGATCCTCACCTCTCTGATTATTCGCTCAGTATCATTCATGCTTGGAATTTAGGCGTATTCTGCAACGAAATGGGTATTATTGAAAAAAATGGCATCAAGTACTTCCCATGCTACGCTGTCATCAGTTAATAAAGGATTATTATTATAAGCAAAATATTTAACTACGAACACGTATATCACAAAAAACGAACTAAATGTTTCAAGTGCGATCCTGAAACTTCTGCCCTGCCCTTAATGAAAGTATCGACGATCTGGCAACGTCAGCTGTGTTATGCTGGCCAACTCCAGCAGTGTGGCGGTAAGAGATCAGGCGGCAGTCGCAGACGTGATTTTCTGGGTACCTACCAGCACGGGTATTATGTATCTTGAAAAGTGACGTTATGACGATTTTTTTACATCATATTCTTTGTGACCAAGATAGAAATCAGTTGCGCATCCACTTTTTCTTAGTCAACGCGGGCGCGCGATGGTGATTTCCTGTTTTTGAAAACACAAAAAAAAAAACGGTAAAAATCGTCGTAATTTATAACTCTGAACATAACCTGTGTTCAGAATAAAGGCCAACATATAAATAACCCGTCGGGCACAGCTAATAGATACATATATATATATACTTCATTGGCAGCATATTCAGTAATAATTTTCTCCAGTAGCAAAAAAATATCACTGATTTTATACACATGCATAATCATCCAGATACAATCTGACTATTCAATCTACTTTCTTTATTTCACATCTTCTCTACATACTACTCGGCCTCACAGATATATTGTAGTTGAATCATTCTTCCATAGATCATAGCAAACGAGGAATCAACTATTTGCACCCTAAAAACTACCTAGTATGCAACATTTTATCGTTTTTTTTTTTGACGTTTTATAGGTTTTTTACATAATAGCCGTGCGGGGTAAGTTCGAAGCGTATGGCAAGTCAGGCATCCAGGCTTTAAGTGCAAATGAATATGATATATGTATATGTACCAGCATGGGCGTCGGATTAGCAGGGTTGAAAGCATAGTAACACAGACAAATAAATGATATTTGCTCTTCCCATCCCCCCTACATCTCCAAGTCCCAATTTTAACCCAGAAAACAAATTTTCCGAAATGATCAGGAGCCTCTGAAACGCCAGCTTTTCGCCGCCGCCATTGGACCGATTTTCAAATTCTACACTTTCCCAACAAGTTCTCGTGCCGATTAACGTCCCTCCCCCCTGAGAAAAATTCCTGCGGGCGCCCATGAACAACAAATATATTACTTTACCTGGAAGCGTTAAGATTTGAGATTGCGTAGCTTTCAAATTCAAATCAATTGCGGAAGTTGGGCTGTGTTTTATGGTTGGTGGCGGAAGTAGTCCCTTCAACTCGCAATGCTAGAATAATCGGAAGCAAACACACTGGTGTCTTTTGAAGGCGATTAGTTTGAAAAAAACTGTATGTGAACTGCAAAGAGGAATGAGGGTCGAAGTGTTTGGATGATAGAAATATTACTAGTTACTTTCTACGATAAAAGAGGTACTATGACACTTACAGTACTATAACAAGGAAAAAGTTGTCTTTTCGTAACGGTCTCTACGGCACTCCCGGATATTCGTTGGAAAAATTCTTTACCTGCATCTGCACTATACAATGAGGGTCGAAGTATGACTGCTTGAGTGCCCTGTGGCCTGTGTGCAGTGATGCCACCGGCCAGTAAAGGAATTATGGTACGATGTTGCCAGAATTATCAATTTTTCTTCAAAATTATGTTACAAATAGTGTTCCTTTAAGACAAAAAATACACATAATTAATATAGGTTCTTTAATGTAAAAATCTCATAAAAAAAATGGAACATTTGGGAAAATCAAACAAACTCTCGAAAAATACTACAAGATATACCTAACTCGAAAACATAAAAAACATTATTCAGGTTCAAAATGAATATCAACAGTTTCATTTTCATCTTGAGCGACATGTTTATAGGAAGTTATTCTATTAATCATATTTTGAGTAACATTAAACTTATAACATTCACGATTTACACTTTGAGATGCCAATAAAAGTGAATTTACTGAATCACTGTACAAGCGATTTCGGACATCTGTTTTGATTAAATTTACTTTTGAAAACATTCTTTCGCATGCGGCATTTGAATGAGGAATTACTAATAAATCTAATACAAAATTTCCCAATTCTTTAAATACGTAAACATCAGACATGTCGTGAATTTGGGAGATTTTGTACCAGTATTTATCGATTGATGTTTCATCCTTTATTTTATCACTGAAATTTGGTTCTGACTGGCAATACATCCGCCACTGATCATCAATTTTTTGTATTTGTTCAATATCTTGAGGATCTACAATTCTGGGTAGTAACTTAATTAATGGAAAAAGCGATGCTGGTTTTGGTTTAGAATACCCTTTTTCAAATACTGATATTTTTGACAAAATATTTTCATTAAAATCAAACCGTTTTTTCATTTCATTTGCAGAAGTTATTAAAAATTGACGGCACCGCATGTAGAAATCTTCTTTTTCCTTTTGACTTAATTTATCAATGTTCTGAAGTACGCGAACACCAAGGTATATCTGTTTCAAGTCAATGAACTGACTAGCATTGTTGGGATCGATTTTATCTATTTCGGTTTTATGAATATAATTTGGTTGTAAATAGCTTAAACAAATTTCTTTATAAGTTTCACAAACTACATCATAAACGTGTGCAATTATGACACGCTCACTTTGAAAGTATTCATTTAATTTTACAAATTTTGGTAAAATCCAATGAAGAAAAAAGAAGAAAAGTTTTGTTTCCATATCATTAAGTCTATTGGCAACAACTTCTGAAGCTTGCAGTCTATGTTTGGTCCATTCTTTAACAAAATATAATTGAAGGGGATTCCATTGCTCAATTATCCTTTCCACTACCATAAGTAATGAAAGCCACCTAGTTTGTGAAGGACGTAAAATTTTGTGAGGCTCCACATTACAAAATGTCTGAAATTCTGTAAATTGTGCTTGCCGTTTGGAGCTATTTTTAAAGTAACCAAAAATATTCCTGGCTAAATCTTCACAATGACGGGGCAAAACTTTACAAGCCTCACTGGCACAAAGATGTAAAGAGTGGCAGATGCATTTTTGTACTATAATGCCAGGAAAATTTAGTTTTAACCTACTTACTACTGAGTTATTGGCACCAAACATAGTGTTACAACCATCAGAACCAAATCCTATAATATTTTGGAAAGGTATATTGTTAGACTCAAATAAATCCATAATTTTTTTATAAAGAACTTCTGCAGTCGCCCCTGTATTTGCTTCATCTGGATTTTGATTTGAAAAACATTGAACCAAATTTAAAAATTTTGTAGTTACCTCATTTGTTTTTTCACTAAAGTACCTAACACATACACATATATTTTTTACTACACCTATGTCTGTAGATTCATCTACTAAAATGCTAAACTATTTTGCTTTTAGTTCATCGATTAGTTCTTCAAAATGAGATTTGGCTAAAACATGTTTTATAACACCTGTTGCTTTGGTTCTTCCCATCTGCATTCCTTGGGCAATTTTCGAATATGTCTTTTAATAAAGGAATCAGATGATCACACAGCTTGATGGGTAGATTATGCTCTGATATTAATGCAGCAATTTTTACTTCTGCCCTACTCACTTGACCACTAGCTTCGTTTTTATTAGAAAGCATAGTAGAAATTTTTGGTTGATTTTTCACAATCACCTTTACATTTTTTAAATGTTTAGCTCCCTTACTGTGATTTTTCAATACAGTTAAATCTGCTTGAATTTCACTATCACAAGCAATACATTTTGCTCGAGTGGGTTTTTCTAAAAACAAAAATGCATATCATTAAAAGTATAAAATGGTTTTATGTTATTTTTTCTACCTTTAACAGCTTTCAACCATCCTTTGAAATGAGGATTGCTTTCCCATTCACATCTATATTTTTGTGGTCTATTTTCTCGTCTGTTTACGTTTTTAAACTTTAGTCTTTTTGCCTCCCTTTCTGAATCCGAAGAATCGGAGTAATCATGATGATCCCCTTTGCTGGTACTGGCCATTTTATTTCACTGTTTGATCACATCAACACACATTAATAAGGACTCATTCGATCAACTACTCTTGCTCGTATTGAAAAAGAAACAATGAGGATTAGGGTATTCCCCTGCGTAGACTCAAATTCACCGAGACTCGAGTTCCGTAATATTTACATAGATGGCGGTAAGCTTGATTTTTATTCTAATTCCATAATAACCATGCTATTAACTGAAAGAGGTCAGCACTAATAATTATTATCCTTTTTGTTACGTTGCTTTGGTTGCATACAATTAGTACCAATAATTTTGAAAACATAGTTATAGGCTGGGAGATGGAAAAATAATATGTTACAATTATCAATTATGTTACATCTTTTTATTTACTGTATATTTCAGTAGAAAATATGGTACAATTTGATAATTATGTTACAAGTGGCAACACTGCCTGTGTGCCGTCCGGTCGTTGCAGATCGCAGCCGGCTGCGGCTGGTAACAAAACACGAACGACAGATGTTGCGGCCACCGTCGACGGTTGGGAGTCACATCGGCTGCTTCGCGGCGCCAACACGGCGGTGCGGTGTCCGTTAAGCCCCAACGAATTCGAATAGAAAGGAGCCAAGGCTATTATGTTTACATTGTATTGTGCAATTCTAGTTTTGGCTTAATTACCTACCAAAGTGGCAAGGAAATGCATCGGAGTACTTTGTTTTCTCTTTATTAACGGAGTAGCACATGAACAATTCTACTTTATCCTACCCACAATCACGCCGAGGGGATTCAGCTCTGCTACAAGTATGCAGGTAATCTGCACACTTTCAGCATCTTGTTTTGACCCAGGTTAAGCTTAGGGTAAAGACGTCGAGGCAGATCAGATCCAAAGAAGCCTGGGGTTGGATTATTTAGCTGCAAGAAATCAGCTTGTGACAAGGCTTCAGACCACCCAGTGGAGATGTGTTTTGTTTCTGGTGCTTAGTGGAGAACCTCTCCCTCATCCATGATAACGAATTGCCACATGAAATTGGTCGGCACGGGTATTATGTAAAAAACCTATAAAACGTCAAAAAAAAATCCATGTCATCTTGCCGACTAGGTACTTGTTAGGGTGCAAACAGTCATTCCACGTTTGCTCAATAGGATCGTTGTAAGCGTCCATCTATGGAGGAATGGCTCAACTACACGTATACACGCATTGCTGCTTGCATATGTTATGTGAAGCCGAGTGGTCTATAGTTTTCATCTCTGAGAAGAAAGTTGGTTATACGGTTGAATAGCAAGATCGCATCTGGAATCTGGATGATTATTGTGTGTATTGGTCTAAGTGTGTATAAAATCAGTGATATTTGCTGTGTGAGAAAATCATGACTGAATATGCTGCCAATGAAGTATATCTATTAGCTGTGACCGACGGATTATTTATATGTTGTCCTTTCGGAAGAAAGGTTATGTTCAAAGTTATCAATTACTTTTCAAGATACGTTATACCCGTGCCGGTCAAAATTGAATTGATCCTAACACTACTGCGGAAGTCGTTTCAGTATTCGGTTTCGATGAGCAAATGCCCTGTGCAGAGCCTTTTCATCCCCAGTTATTTGTACAAGATATTTCGCACCCTTTCTTCCTATATCCCCACGACGTCAGCTATCTTATTCATGTCTTCAGATGTAATTCGTCGAAAAACGTCGTAGTAGAAGTTTTCGTTGGTTTCACGTGTGTGTACGATTTTTACTCGCCATCCTTGTCGTGAGTCATCTTCAGACGTGCGACTACGTTTAGGTTCATCAGAGTACTTTCTTAAATCGAATGAGCAGAATCTAGAAAGAGATAGAAGCCGGCTGGATAGCGAAAGCTCATGACCTCGATACCTAACAACGCTGACGCGGCAATCTGCCGCGTTGCCAATATTTGTTACTCCAGTTCCTTGAATTAAGATGCCTGTTGAAAATATGAGTTAGTTTATATTCTACGCCCAAATAATGGTTTTATTTTGGGCGCACACATTTTTGAATTGTGAATTGTGTCGAATCTGTTTAGAATCGATTCTGGATAGATCCTTACGGCGCTACACTTTCGGTCGAAATGAAAGTTCAGGTTCGCCACAAATTTTGCAACATTGCATCATTGGTTCGCTTGGCAACACCGCATCCCGTACATTCCAAGGCAAGGTTTCCACATCCATGAGCATAGATGAGCGATTTTGGTCAGAACCTATCTAGCGCTAATTGGGGAGTGTCGTTCTGCTTCAAAATGGTTTTCACATGCGTACACGCAGGCAGTGGTAGTAGTATTGCGTCATGGTACTTGTTACGCGACAGTCAGCGGTCAGGGCTTCTATCTCTTTCTAGCATGTGTTGATACACACTTCTCGTGCTTCTCTCATACACATTAAACCCAAGCGATCAGACAAATCTGGTTTTCCCTGTGTGTGGTTTAATTTCCAATTTCATGTGTTACTTTGTTTTTTCTCAATAAATGACCCATTTTACCAATGTCAAATAATAACATTTTTCTAGCTAGCTAGGATTCGGCTTTTCAAGAATGTCATTTTCATGTTTTCAACCACATTATTATACTAAGTGACATATAAATCCGAACACCCAGTTTAAATGGTTTTATTTTAATAAAAGTTGGTGAATGTATTAATCTTACTGTACAAGTGAAAAAATTTTCAGCCTTATCAGTTGGACATTCCGGTTTTTATACTGCTTTTTTTTAATTCACTAACGCTCTAAAAATGAATATTTCAGCCGCAGTAAAGAATCAACGTTGGCGGATTTTGGTTCTTGACATCCTTTACGATCGGTTACGATGCCTAAAGTACGGAGACCTGTACGATTTCGTCAACTTAGTGAGTTTGATAGGGGCCGTATAGTGGGACTTTGGGAAGCTGGACCGTATAGTGGGACTTTGGAAAGCTGGACTTTCTTTTCGGGCAATTGCAGTTAGAGTGCAAAGAAGTGTAGACACTGTGGTTAGGTGTTGTCAGGCATGGCTTCGAGAAGGTCGTACGCAAAGAGCAAGGGGCACTGGACGCTGCCGTAGATCAACAGACCGTGAAGATCGCCGCCTAAGATTATAGGCCTTAAGGTACCGTTTCTCCACTACCAGGTCCATTGCAAATGAATGGTTTGCAGAACACGGAAGACCTATTGGCATGCGAAGTGTTTACCGACGAATGAGAAGTTTTGGTTTGTTTTCATACCGGCCACACTGGGTCCTCCCTTTAACTCGAGAACACCGACGTAATCGCCTTGAGTGGTGCAGACAACGGTCACTCTGGGATCAGGAATGGAACAGTATTGTCTTTAGTGACGAGTCTCGATTTTGTTTAGGCATGCACGATGGTCGTGCCAGGGTTAGAAGGCGACGTGGTGAAAGGAGGAATCCACAGTTTTTTGTTGAAAGACATGTTCATCACACTGTTGGAGTTATGGTTTGGGGTGCTATAGCTTATGGTTCCAGGTCACCTTTAATCTTCATCAGAGGTAACATGAACGCGCAGCGTTATATCCACGAAGTTCTAGACCCCATCTTTTACCCTATCTTGACACCCTGACAGATCCAACTTTCCAACAAGATAATGCCCGACCACATGTTGCAGGAGTTACAATAGACTTCTTTCAACATCATGATGTCACATTGTTACCATGGCCACCAAGATCTACCGACTTATCCCCAATTGAGCACGTGTGGGATATGATGGGTAGGAGATTGTTCAATTTGCAGCGTCCTCCTCAGACTCTAGAAGCACTTCGAGAGGAGTTGCTGGTTGCCTGGAATGAGATACCACAGGAGGACATTGACCACCTGATCAGAAGCATGCCTAGGCGCGTTGAAGAATGCGTAGCACATCAGGGTGCATCCACACATTATTAAAGGTCAAAGGGCTTTAAAGCAGTGCAATCATTTTGAAATTTTTATCATTTACTTATTATGCTTCATTAAGTACTTATACAAAATTTTATTAAAATAAAACGATTTAAACTGGGTGTTCGGATTTATATGTCACTTAGTATATGTAGGGTGTTACGGAAATAGCAATATCGCGTTAGGCTAGTCCATCTCCCTGGTGATATATGGAATGACATCTTCATGCGAGGCTAAAACTGGTTGATGCACTGAGAAAATCTCGTTGAGTTACACAATACACAGTATCATTCAGATGTTACTTGGAAAAACCTATTTCCAGTCACGTCCTTTAGCTTTCCGTATCTCCGTAGAAGCACCTTATTGTGATACATAAATAATCAGACATGACAGCAACATTCGGCCGAAGACAAATTATAATCCAAAATATGGTAAAGCCGGCTCTGTCAAAGTTTTGCCCATGTCGAAGCCACCTTCTCACTTTGCTCCTGTTATCCTGTCACATATACTCATGCTGCCACCTGTGATACAAAATTTTGAACTCACAGAAGAAAACTGCTTTTGTTGAGGTCTGAAGTTGAGATATTCACAGATAGACGAAGACGAATATGAAAATGACTGTCATAACAACATACATAACCTATTAATTTTGTTTTATTTATGTTTTTTGTTTTTAAATTACTGTATCAATGGATACAGATGAGGTAGAATTTTTAGGTGAAAAACAAATCATAACAGTAGTACCCACCTTCAATAGCCCTGTTTTACATTTAATATCCGGAGATGTGGGTCCCTTCAGGGCTGGTTTGCCCACTAACGTCCCTATGTGGTTGGCGGTACAGTTAAAGCAACGCCAACAGGGTAAAATCCAAGCCCCTGACTGGATGGACATTGATCGCTTAACAGAGATGAAAGAAAATGAAAAACAGAGTCAGTAAGTTTAGTATTATCCATGTTTACTTTCAAAATAGGCCATCATACTTTTTTAGAACCTTCACAAAAATGCCGAGTGATCACTATATGGTAGAAGCTAAAATACTTCTAGATTGTGCTTCAGATGATATCCCAAGGGCAGATGAAATTAGGACAATCATTAAAGATATATGGGATATCAGAATGTCTAAAATACGAACTTCAGTTAATAAGCTGATAAAAAATGCAGATTCTTATGCTGGACTGGATAATTTGACTGTTATGGAAATAAACTCCATTAGGCCTATACTTCCTCATGCTCTTGATCAAATTTATAGGATAAAGGCTGTAAGTTTTTCTTTGCTTGTGGTTTATTTTTGGATTATACCCCATTCTAATCTCTGCACCTAAATGCTTCAAACACTGCGCATTTTAGAAGAAATATGTTTCATACAATGCTTGTAGGTAATCCCAATGTTTGTCTAGCCAATGAAATCACATACAGTAATGGACAAAAGTATAGATAAATTAATATTGTGCTGTATTTCTTTTTTTAACTTGTTTTATTAATACACCAACCTGTATACATAATTCGTTATAGCTCACTTATACATAAATAAATTCATTAGACTCCCTTCAATAAAAAAATAATTGAAAAAACTATGAAGGACAAAAATATATAGACAAAGCAAAACAATTATAGAAAAAAGAAGCAAAGTTCATTGAATTATAGAAAAGCAACCATGTTTGTGTTAATATTTTGTAGCATAACCATTATTATCAATCACTACTTGGCATTGTCTCGGCATAGATTGTAGAAGTTTCTTGATATAAGATTCATCAGTCTGTCTCCACTTTTGCTCTAAAGCAGCAAAAAGTTCATCCTTGTTTGAATAATTTTTATCTTGTATTTGCTTATCTAAGTATTCCCACAGATTTTCAATGGGATTTATATATATATATATATATATATATGTATATATATTATACAGTCTGAAGGCCATTTGAGAACTGGTATTTATTCATCCAGAAAGAATTTCTTTGCGAGATTCGAAGTGTGCTTCAGGTCATTATCTTGCTGGAAGATTGATCGTAAGGGCATATTGTCTTCCATATAGGGTAACATGACATGCTTTAGTATGTCTGTGTATACAAACTTATCGATAATGCCATCTAATCTATGTAAAGGTCCCATCCCAAGCCCCAAAAAGCACCCCCAAACCATAATAGACCTGCCTCCATGTTTGTCAGTGGGTAAAGTGTACTTGGGGTTCAATCTTTGTCCACTAGGACGTCTAACGTAATAAGCACCATCTGATCCAAACATATTGAACTTGGATTCGTCACTGAATCATACCCTCGCGACGTGCAAATAACTTCAAATCATTTAATCGTTTGCTTACAGTTTTCGTAGAAACACTGACAATTCTTTTTTTCTCGATTTCTGCTTCTATTTGTCTTGTGGTTTTAAACGCATCTTTGGATGAAATTACTTTTATTAATCTAACTGATCTAGCATTTAGTTTTCTAGGCCGACCACTTCTTTTAGAGGCTTCCAAGATACCTTTTTGTCTATATTTGTTCAATATTGCCCAAACTGCTTTATGCTTCACCTTCAAATTTTTGGCAATATCGACTTGACATTGACCATCTTTGTATAACTCAATGATCTTAGTTTTTACATCAAAATAAATTTCTGGACAACGCGGCATGGTCTTAAAATCACTCAACTCATTCCACAATACTTGATGAACACAAACTAATCCTGACATGAAACTGCACTAAACTAACGTTGAAAAGAATTTGTCTACATATTTTTGTCCCTCATAAAAAAGTGCTTATATTCAGACTTGTATTGTGTTCAATGCAGATAATGTAAAAACAAGGAATTTAGTTTTTCTACTAATAACGCATTTGTTTATGGAGCAATGTCGTATGAATTCGTTTTCTAAAGGTATTTAGGTAAATATTCATATTGGTCTATATACTTTTGTCCATTACTGTATGTTTGACATTTCACTACTTGACCAATTTTCAAAAGCTAGAAAGCATTTTCGTCCCTTTATAGTAGTAACCTTGTTTGAAAATTTCCTTAAAATCCGAGCAGTACTTAAGTTTTAGAGGGGTTCAAGGATTAGTGAACAGACAGACGGAAATGAGTGACATGGTTTTTCTTGATTCCCTTTGACAATTTTGCTTTGCTTCATCCCCACAAACCTCACAACTGTGATGGCAAACATTTTTGTTAGAGAAAATTGTTTTCCATTAGTTGATTTGGCCTTGAAATTACCTTGAATAATGCAATGGTCATTGGAGGTGAAATTCGCTCTTTCCGATTCCGATGTGAAATCGGTGGTTCAATTTGAAAATATTCACTTGACCTTGAAAAGCGTAGTCACCAGCATTTTTCCAACTTAAAAGCCTACAACTTTCATTTTAAACTTTTTTCTAGAATGCACAGTTTTAGAAAAATTTAGGTGGGGAAGAAAGTGAGACACAGCATATATGTATTTTGAACTTACTCCACTGTAGTAAAATGTTTATAGAGTATGCAATGCTTGAAATAATCTTTTTTAACAAAATAGAATCCCTTAGTTACTAAAATCAACAATAATGTATGTGCTCATATTTTTTTTGTTCCAGTCAAAAAAGCTCAGGGTACCATCTCAGAATTCAACAACATTCCATACCAGCAGCAGACCTTCCACATCATTCTCTTCATGATGAAAGGATTATGAAATTATATACTTTTAATAGCTAATTTCCAGTTGAAATATGTGTTAATTATTGAATGTGAGTGTAAACAAATAAACATGATTTTTTCTGCTAAATTGTTTTAATTTAAAGAGAAAGATTTATGTAGACCTTTATGTGAGATGAAGAGAAAAATGAAACGTTTTGAGGATTCTCCCCCCCCCCCCTGGAAAATTTGCTACCCCTCTGCTCTTCAGAAAGTTTTGTGGACATGTCGTACACTCTCACATAAAGTTATCACTTGTTGATGATCATCGGCCCCCTGAGAAATATTCCTGCGCGCGCTCATGCTGGGCACCATATAGCTTTGAATCACCACGTTGTTAGGGAAATGGGGACAAAGAGCCATGAGATCAGACATATCGCGCCCAGAAGCAGCAGATATGTGGTCTATAATCAGCTCCTATGTGAGCCCTCCAATATGCCAGAAACTGTCTACTTACCTTGCTCAACTCTTCGAAAATTCGTTAGAGCATTACCTTCATAATCTGCAGTAACATTTCAATGTTGCTCCAGTTCCTTGGTCAGCTATTTAAACAATGCTATAATTGTTTTCACAATGTAATACCGGAAGCTAGTGGATTATCAAGCTTGCAAACCCCCATCCCCACCCTTAGTGGCATTAGTGACTAGTGGCGCTATCTACATGTGCCGCCGGTAAAACCGCGGTGCACAAATCTAGTACACTATACAAAGGGCAATATAAAAGTTTTGCAATACAGCTTTATTTGTTGACTTAGCTCAAAGTTATTTCTACTACATTTAATACACTTCTCCATCCGCCAAAACCAGTCCTTAACGAGTCTTCTGCTCTTCCGTCAGACTCTGCGGTACCCTGAGAGCATAACGTTTCCTTACGTGTAAATGATCATGCAGAATTGAATGAATTGCTGGTGCATGAAGGTGTAAGGTCTCGTCTATCTGTTGGTATGTCACTTTCCGGTCTTCGTCAAGCATTTTCTTCGCAGCAGTAATGATTTTTCTTTGATACTGACGTTCGCGGCCTTCCCCCTCAGCGTCTTCCAGAGAAAAATTGCCCCTCTGTACCACCTGAATATAGGCGTATGATGAGAACGATCATTCTTTAATGCAAGCGTCATTTTTTCTAAGCGCTGGTATATGCTTAACCTACGCGTAAAGTTATACCGTAAAACTGCCCTTATCTCACTAAGTGACCACGATGCCATAGTCCGTACTTTATACTGTCAATACGAATGAACAACTAAATCAACAGACGTGCTGCTGGCGGCTACTATGCACTCATGGACATGTCTCAACACGCAGCCGTTTCATATTGCAAAACTTTTATAATACCCTTTGTATTTGGAAATGACCTATTTTCCTAAACTATGCGGTGAAAGTAGAGATATTTAGATATTGTTTAATAAAGGAATGTGCGGGGTTCCATATAAATCAGAATTACAGAAATATAGGTTATAAAATAAAGCCATTCTAAATAATTCATTTATTTTATTTATGACTTACATCGATGAACCACCGAGGTTAGGTAAATAACCAGCAACTTCCTATACAAAACAATTGATCCTTTTTTAACAATAACCCAGTATGGAATGCAACAAATTATGCTTAAATATATATTTTCAATTTTATATCATAACTTTAAAATAGAAAAAAGGTCTGCTGTTTTGTGTAAAAATGTAAAATAAAAATTACCAGAATCGTAAATCAAAACCATGTTTTATGTCTAATAAAAAACTGAACAAGATGTATAATATAAAAAATACGTATTAGGCGCATCGAAAGATATACTTTAGGAAGTTGTTTGGGTTATCATTACTGTAAATCGAGCATAAAAGTTGGTAGCTATTAAGCAGTGGTATATTTATACTATTATGTGAAGTAGAAATTGTTTATGAAGATTGCAATGGATAATAAGCTAACAAATGACAATCACCTTGCATGTAAAATAATATAAGTATATATGATATAAAGCGGATCTATTCTAGCAGCTACAAAACAAAATTAATAAGGAAGGTTTCAAAAAAACAGGGTCGAGACATTGGAGATAGCGACAAAGTATATTTTTTCGGTCTTGTCCAAAAGTTAAACAAAGTAAAAAAAGGAGCATGTTACATTGGATTTTGCAAGTTGTTGAAAACTTCATTATTCCTATTTAAAGTCATTATAGGTCCAATGCTCACGCTGCTCAACCCGCCTTACAGTCCCGATTTGTCGCCATGTGACTATCACATGTTGGGGCCACTTAAAGAAGACCTGAAAGGTCACCACTTTGACGACGACGAAGGTGTGGAAACGTTCGTGCACAATTCGCTACTGACGCGACCAACTTCATCCTTTGATGGGCGAATTAAAAAAACTTCCGATCCGATGGGAAAGTGCATCAATAAGAGAGGAGATTATGTAGAAAAATAAACTATATCAATAAAGTTACTAAAACAAAAGTCCGGTTCATATTTGATCCACCCTCGTACTTATCTACCTCAATAAAACCATGCTTCAAATGCAGCTTCATTAAATTTGTTAACATAAAAAACAAATAGCGTTGCCTTACAGTCTGTTGTAAATACGTTCAATTCAAGGTCAAAAGTAGGCTTAAGTGTAACAGATATGTGAAGAAAAAACACATGATGAAAATGATGAAGTGTCGTGTTGCCTCCATTGAGTTGCTCAAACTACCACAGGGATGTCTTAGGGGACGCTTGACTGTCAAGACGTCTTCATAGTAAGGCAAAGCTAAGTTTTCACGAAGCAAAAAGACGACAGCCTGGCACAATTTCGACCTCTCGTGACTCCTGTCTTGACTAAGGACTGTAAGGTGAACCAGCGACGGTCGTGGACAGTTCACGCGATCACGATTCATTTTATTCCAGCTTCTGATTGACAGTTGTGCTCTTTTGGGTTCAGGTTTTATTGGCAAGTTAGCCAAAAGGTTGAGTCACGTGGGGAGATACAAAATAAAGTTTTGTTGGATCAAGAAATGGATACTTGAATGAAGAAGTTTGGGACAACAGAATTTGGAAGACGCTGAACTAAGAAATGAAAACCTTGAAGATTGAAAAAAAATACTACAAATGTCCGAAGTCCAGGTTGATTTCCTACTGGAATGCGTTTCACCACACATTTCAAATGCAGATTACGATGTGCCTTGCTCTCGACTGACGTGTCCAGGCTTGAAACTTGAACGTGTCTGATAGAGGTACTTGTTGGATAAAATGTCAGATAAAATGCCGGGAAGCCTTACATTTGAACTGGACCAAAAGGTGTTTATGCGGAATGTTACTTTCACGTCTTTTTCGAATATTCACATAAAAAACTTCATTTGAACAATATAGTAGGTAAAGAGATAGATTCTGGGCCCTATCGACCTGAAGATTTAGCTAAGATGATTTGACCCAATTTACCTTAATTTGGATTGCTCAGATTTGAATACCTTCGGAGGTAATTTTCATATGTAGTTTCGCCTTTAGCCTTTGCAAAAGTGTCATATTCTAAGAATGAACCTGTCCTCTGATGATTTATGTGAAAAGTTCTTGTAGTGTAGTCTAGATCTTTCAACATAGATTATCTAATCTGTTCTAAAAAGAAAATATAGCATTTTTTAAGATGGAATTATCGATATTTCCACAATCTCTCAGTCTGTTTGCAAGTGTTGCGATGTCGCGATGTCAATGATGTTACTTTTCGTGTACGAGTTTTATCACCGATTTCAAAAATACGGCCACTGGAAAATGTACCGTCCTAAAGTATATCTATTTTTGCGTCTGATACAATACATTTACGCACTAAAAACTGCTTTTAATTCGAAGCATATTTGGTTTGAAAGAGGAAACGCGGCACTGGGCCATTGGCGCAAAACTGCGCGAACCGTTTCTGTAGCATCTCCCTTAACTGCAGTCTTTTCTCGTTCACTTGTCTACTATTGCTTTCGAATTCTCTAACTTCCTCCGGTGTTATGACGCACGTTTCGTCGTCTTCATCTTCACTATGACACTGAAAATTAATTCTACAAATTAATAAAAAGGAAAGAAGACAGGAAACAATGTGGGAACATTAACAATAGAATAAGTGAAAATATGGCAGTTAGATGCGGAGCTCCACAAGGAACCGTATCAGGACCAGTGCTGTTTAATTGGCATATTAATGACCAAAAAAGTTAAAATACGATGAAGAAGTTATTGGTTTCGCAGACGATACGCCAATTATTCATTCAGACAAAGATTGGGTTTCTTTGAAGTTCAAAATTGTATTGGATTTTCAAAAGGTTAAACATTTTTTCACGGAAAGGATTTCAACAGTCAATTTCAATAAAACATGTTTTATTACATTTTCTTGCGAAAACAGATTGCAAAAACTTCAGTTGATAATCTTAAATATTTAGGGGTATTCACAGATAACCATCTTCTAAGATGGAATATACACATTGAAAATTAAGATACCTTATTCCGAAAATCAAACATTTCAGCAGTTCTTTGAGCGAAAAATATCTATAGATGATATATCGTGCCCTTGCTCCATTGTTACAATCTTACGGAATTTTAGCATGGGGAGAGTCATGAATAATTATTATAAAACACTTGAAATAGTGCAGAAGTGGACACAGAAATGTCAACCCACAGAAAATCTTTACAGTGAATCTCAGCTTTTCAACTACCAGCAAATATATTTTCATCATATAATAAAATTTATATTTAAAAAAAATTGTTACATTCTATCAGCCACAACCATCAAAAGCGAACCAAACATCTGCACTTATCCCTAGACTAAATAAAACTTTCAGCCAAAGATCATTGTACTTTCTATGCTCAAAATTTTATAATGTTATTCCTGCAAACTTTAAACATATGGAGTGTAAAAAACCTAGGCTACAAATCCATAAGTTTGTAGATATTAATAATCAATATGTTATGTGATAATTTGGGTTAAAACCCAAGCACAAGTGGGTATCTTATGTTTATCGGACACTACCGTTGTTATTTATATGGAACTTTGTAGTTGAACCAATAAATATTCTTATTTGCAATAGGTAGTCAGCAAATCAACAGGTGTATGTTAATTTAGCTACACCCAGATGTCGCGCAAGATTGCAGTGTGCCAAATTTGTAAACAATTGAAATACGTCAGCACAAGTGCTATCCGCATTAGTTCCTTGTTCTGCCTAGACACGAATACCTTACTGATTTAAATCCAGGAGTGTATCTGCATCTGATGGAAAAAATATTCTGATTCGTATTTTTTACATAATTTTTTCGAGCAACGGCGTGCTAGCAGGTTTTGCTTCAGACTTGGGCACAGTGCAAAGGAAACGCTTGCTAAACTTCAGCAGACCTAGGAGATAGTGTTTTGTCCAGAGCCCAGGTTTTTCGGCGGTTCAAGGCATTTTTCTGTACGTTCAGATCGTCGGTTGACAGTCTGAATGGCCGGGGAAGCATTACATTTGATTCACACCACCGTTCATCAGATCAAGAACAACGATAATGTTCCTTGTCAGACAGCAATGTCAATAAAGGAGTTTTTGGTCAGTAAAAACATTCATGTGGTTCCTCAGCCTCCTTATTCGTCTGACTTGAGTCCTTATGACTTTTTTCTCTCCACGAAGTTGCAAAATCCTACCTCAAGGGAACGCATTGCAGTATCGGAGTTCCAGCACTGCTATGAGGAGCGGAAGAACCGTCTCCAGAGCTTTGAGGCTTCAGTAGGAGGTTATCTTGAGGGTATAATTATAAAATTGTAATAAAATTTGCACAAGAAAAATTAAAAAATCGGTCTCATTAGTTAATTTACAGACCTCGTGCATCTGAGCTTGTTCCCATTAGTTTTCCTGTGAATCGATCTGCGCTGAATGCCGGTAAGCGAAAACCTGCTTGCACTGCGTAAAGCATCTATTAAAGTAGGCATAGCAAGTGAAAAATCGCTTACCTCCAACATCTCCTGCAGACTCATCTGCAGCCCGTTCCCACCATACGAAAGTCTACAGTGAGACGTTGTCACATAGTCGTCATGATGACAGCACGCTTCTGAGCAGGCTAGCTCCGACCCCGCCGGAGAACTGCTCAGACTGGACACCAAGGAGCCGGTGTCGCAACAGCCGTTGTTGTTCTCCGACGAGTAGCCGCAGTCGTGCGAGTTGCTGTCACTGTTTTGCGACCCGGCCGTCGAAGTGTACCGCTGCTTCGCCGTCGCGCACTGTGACACGACGACAGTGTCCACTGGGTTAAAACAGTTGCTTATCGATCTGGAAAAAACACACTATTATTAGGACAGTCTTCAAAAAAAAAAAAGGTTCAAAACTCCTTATCCAAATGGAATCGCCTAGCTTTTGAACCCGGAAAACATTGAAAAACGAAGTTTGATGCTGTTCTTTTGTTTTCGCTCATAATTACACCGCTACTGGATCGATTTTCGAGTAATATAAATCATTTCCATGCTAGTAAAGATGAACAAAATCAGGAGTCAATATCAAGCAAGAAACGTGGAATAGGCCAGGTCCTAATAGTTATCAGAAAAATATAAAAAAAAGTCGTGTACCTTTCAAATTATAGGCTCTTTCGCAAGATTCGGATACTTTTGGGCACACCCGTGATTGCTCCTATTTAAAGTATTGAAGTACTCGGCACGGGTACTACTTATTGGTTTTTTCTGACATTTTATAGGCTTTTCCACAAGATATTAACTAAGCACTAGCTGATGGACACGTGAACTCGTTTTGTAGTTGTGCTTCAGTTATCAATGTTTGGCTCTGATGTGATGTAAAATCCGTTTCTGATATGCCATTACTTGTGGTCTAAGCTGTAAGTTGTATACTATAGCTAGAATGAAACGGCAACAGATAGGTGCATAGTGAGGATTTGTGCGCTAATAATATGTTTTGATGATAATTCCATTGGATTCTTGCCTCTAATACATTTACTTGAGATTCAAAGCTAGAAATTTGTTGCGCATTCACTTTTTCTAATCCATTCTTGAAATTACATATGCAAATTTGCTGGAATCAAAAATGAGAGATATAAGAAAAGAAAATCCCTGGTTGGTGAAGGAACAGGTAAGAAAATATGCTAGACAGGAATATTTATGAAAGTGAAAAGGTTATTACATTATTTTTTATTTCCAGTCATTTAAATTTTATTGAAATTTATTTTGCGATGTCAATAGAAAATACAAATCAGCGCCTAAATGTGACGCATTGCGAAAATGTTTGATGTATCATTACAAATTGGTGGCGATTTCTCGTAGAGCTCAAAGTTTTTGACAACACAAAAAAACGGGAAAAATCGTAATCTAAAACTTTGAACTTGTTTTTAGAAAGAACAACATATAAATAACATGCCGGGCACAGCTAATAGATATATTTTATTGGCAGCATATTCTTAATAATTTTCTTACACAGCAAATATCACTGATTTTGTACACATGCAGACCAATACACATAATCATCCAGGTGCGATCTTGCTATTCAACCAACTTTCGTCTCAGAGATGAAAAACTTTCGTCTCAGAGATGAAAACTGCGGACTACTCGGCTTCACAAACATATGCAACAAACAATGCGTGTAGTTGAGTCATTCCTCCATAGATGGACGCTCACAGCGGTCATAGCGAGCAAACGTGGAATGAACTATTTGCACCCTAAAAACTACCTAGTCTGCAAGATGACATTATACTGTTTTTTTTACGTTTTATAGGTTTTTTACATAATACTCGTGTCGGTCTTCTTCGGCTGCTTGTAGTACGATGTCTGAGAGTAAACGGTGCACATTCACAAAAACTCGGTGATTGGGATGACAAGCAGCATTTGACTGCAGCACTAGTATTGCATCTACATCCCATATACATGAGGTGTACGGTATGCAGACGTGGTGGCACTACACAATCATGAGTTAATAAAAGTGGCGTTACTATCTGTCTTGCTGGCACGACATAGAATGGCACTGTCCGTCATTCCGTCTAAGAAAAAAATTGAAATTTGTAATAATAGGAACTAAAAGATCATCCCAGGGGGCAGATTTTTCCGTTTTTTAAGCCTATAGTTAGAAAAGTACACGACTTACATTTTTTTATATATTTCTGATAACTATTATGACTTGGCCTAACCCTCGTTTCCGGCTTGATGTTGGCTTCTGTGACACCTTGTGTACTGGCTTAACTTTAAAAAGGCAAAATGATCACTTGTTATTTCGCAAAATATGGATGCGCTCTACTCAAGCCTCAAGCCAAGTCATCGTTGGTTGTCAGAGCTGTCGGTAGGACCTTAGCTCTTGCGTCATAGTGTCAGTTTGTAAGTATGTCAGGTCTGGTAACCCGGAAACCAGACAAATTTAAGAAAAAAAGGGAAGAAAACGAGACCAGGAAGGAAGAGATCAAAGAGGAAGAAGACACACTTTTAGGACAAGTAGCGTTTAGACATTGTTCAAATCACTTGACAGATTTTGATGTGGTTTAAGAATATTTGATTTTTGTAAGGATTTTGTAAAAATGCTTTAATATGGTTGTTCTGAATTCGAGAATTGATTTTGATTACAGTGCGAGCCGCGGCCTTTTGTGCTTGCGAACTTGCTCGACTGTGAAATTTACTGGCTCGCGCAACAGAGGGTTGGTGTGAGATGCAGTCCCTTAGATAAGGGACACTGGGGTCTCTGTGAAAAGTTTCGTTATACACATACCATGGAGTGTCAGCAATAGTGAGCTACATCCTGATTTTCAGAACCTGCAGATTTCGCATGTGTTTTGAAAATAAAACACCAAATCTTACAAGTGTAAGTCATTGCTGGTCTTATGACAACCTTATAGAGCAGAATCTTGTTCATCAAACTTAATTTTTAATGTTTTAATAATAATGGGTAAAGCTGTCGAAACATAATTTGGAATTTAGTTTTTAACGATTCAATATGATTCCAAGTCATCCATTTGTCCAGAATGACCCTGAGATATTTAGCGCAGCTTTCCCATGTTATAAGTAAATGACCTATTTATGTTTGCTGAGGTATGACCTTGTCAAAATAATGTGCTTTCGTGATTTCCAATATTCAACATTCATATAGACAATACTCGAGGGGCGACAGACACACTGAGAGATACCAATGTCACAGAACAACAATTGTTGATGTTCTTCTTACTGCTGATTGGGCTGTTTTTTCAAAATGCTCCTGACATTAATCTCACCCTTAGCGATTAATGGCCCAAAAATATCGAAGAGAAAGAACGCTTCCTACCGAAGTTTTTCACGGAACGACTTTACAAGTTGTAAGTTTCACTGCATCTTACAAAATCAATGTAGCTTTTTACAATAAAATAATAAATACATCATTTCAACCATTTCTCCAATCGCTCACCTAGTATCACACTTGCATCTTCCCATAGCCTCTCTATCAAACTTGCTACTCCTTTCGACTTGCACTGTCGTCTCCTCCTCTACGCAAGTAGCACCACCCTCTTCACCACACTTGCACTCCCCTATCGCTTCCAACCACCCCTCCTCCTCTCCCACCATGCAACCGCCGTTGTTGATTGGCTTGCCGTTACCGTTCAGACGGCGGTCCGATCCGTCAACGGCCTTCGGGCGTCGCCCACTGCACTCTTCGCAGCCAATCGCGTCGTCGTCCTGTTTTCCGCCCTCTTCTAAATCGGCACATGAGCACTCTTCCTCCTCTACACTATGGGTTGACGTGTCTTTGGAACCGGCATCAGTTTTTCCTGCTTCGACAAGAAATCAACATCGTTAAATGAAAATACTAATAAATCAATACAGATAATTGAATCAAGACTGACTGAATACTAAAATGTAACAACCTATTGAGGCGGTACACAGAAAAATCCAAATATTACTGACGAGGTAATGTGTTCGAGGAGGTAAAAAAGAAAAACGAAAAAATGTCACATTATCTATGTAATTTGGCCGATATACATATCGGAACGGTCGATCCCTAGTCAAATAGCGAGTCCTATGAAACTGCCCCCTACCTTTTTTCCTCTTCCTCTTGATCTTCTTCTGCTCCTTCCTTTGCAGCCGTTGTCGCTCCTCCCTCTGCAACTCCTCGTAAAGGATCTCCGTCTTTGAGACGCCTGTGAACCGTTCCACGGCCGATTCGAAGTTCTCGCTGAGCGAATAGACGGCAGCGGCGGCGAACACGCGGCACGTGCGCTCCTCTTCGCGCACACGTGTCGCCACGCGGTGAAGCCGTTCGTACACGCATATGCCCAAGCAAGTTAGAACCTCCTCTTGAGCGATTTCCATTGTCTTAGCGTGACGCTCGCGTCGACTGAAACAGAAACGGTTTTTTAGATATTGTTCTAATAGAGTAAGATCCCAGGGTTACCAGACATTAACTATTCAATATAAAATGTATATGTATGTGTATTTACTATGTATGCTTTGAAAAGGTTTGGCTCAGGATATCAAAGGTCTTGATCTGGATCAAAATGGACCGTAGTAATGGATCTAATCGATATAGGCGGTTTTTGTGTGAGAACGGCCTCAATCCTCATACTAAATCAAGAAATTCTTTAAAAATCCTCTGGTTTAGCCACAAAAACATATTTTTTCAGTTGATGCGGAGATCAAAACCTATGATCTGAAACTGCATCGAAAATTGGCCAATATAAAAATAGTTTACAGGACAATACTGGAGAAAGATGACATGGTGGACCTTCAGCGGGACCTTGATGGGCTGTAGCAGTGGACACAGCTTAATCACTCGTATCTGAACTCTAATAAATGCTTTTTCATGTTTTTTCAAAAGTAGGAGTAGAATTTCAACTGGCTATAGATTAAATAATGATACTCTCTCTTATAAGGCTACCGCTAGGGATCTTTTAGTGCTTTTCTCAAAGTCAGTATAAAGGGCATTCAGATGCTGGGCTTTGTTTGGAGAAACTGTACGTGTTTTTCAATCATCACCTTCCGAATTTGATATTGCTCCTTGGTAAGATCAAATTTAGAATGTGTCACAGTAGTATAGTCCCCTCAGTACCAGTGTTATAAAGATAAGATGATTTAGAGAGTGTCCAGTATAAATGTTTACGTCTTGCAGCATTAAAGAGGAACTTAAACTTGATGGAATATCATAGAGCTGACATGTTAGAACATTTGCGTTTACCTACATTGGAGCATAGATGCTTGGTCTTTGATGGTTGTTTCGCTTTCAAGATTTTATTGGGGATCACCAATTGCGAAACTTTGTTAACATAAATAAATCTTAATGTAACCCGTAGAACATTGCGTAGTGATTAAGTTCCATCCCACAACCTATGGTTCAGCACTCTTCACTCGATAGAGCATTTCGTGTTATCAATTTAGCTCAGTCTAATATTGACATTTTTACCTGTACACTCTCAGGCTTTAAAAATTATCTTTTAAATTTTGATTTTTATAATTGTCTTGTGAGCTTGCATGTTGAAAATGTTGTTCCCATTTTGTGATTTTATTTTGTAAAAATGGGGTCACCCGTAAATTTGGTAGATAAAAGAAATAAATAATGCCTAGATTGATATGACATCAATTACCGAGAGCTTTATTAAAAAGAACAGTGTATTACCTAGTTGAGAAAAAAGGATTTATTTTTAAAAATGCATCAACGTGTCGATTAACGATCAAATTGCCGTCTAATGTTTAAATTTGTAGATATATGAACAAGTAGTAGTAGTAGTAGAAAGATTTATTTAGCACATTTGGCTACATAAACAGAACAATTGTAAACAACTTAGAACAAGTAAATTCAAGCCATATGGTGTATGATGTAAATGCTGGGCAAATTATAATTGTAGATTTAACAAGTGATTTCTCAATTTTACTTTACATTTTGTCAAAGTTTTCTGGTCTTTTATCTCCGAGTATAATTTATTATATTCAATCAACCATTGATGGAATACAGATTTGTAGCATATGTAATACTTTTTGGTCATTAAATGGAAGTCATCTTTATTTCTGGTATTATGTAAATGATGGTCGACATTTGATGATGTTAAATTAGTTAGACTTGATGGAAATATATTATTTTTTACTTTATAAATGAATATCATTACAAGATATTTGATAAAATTTTTTACATTGAGCCATTTTAATTTGCTAAGCATTTGCCTAATTGGAGTATATTTATCTTTATTTAGTATTATTCTCATGCACTTATTTTGTAAAATTTGCAGTCTTTCAAAAATGGAATTATTTGCTAAATATAGAATAGTCGAACAGTACAAGAAATTTGGAAGAATGATGGTATTATAGATAATTTTTCTGCTATATGAACTCAGACATCCAGAAACTCTCGATAAATATCCCACTTTACTACTAATCTTATTTATAACTTTTTCATAATGAATATCAAAAATTAATCGACAGTCAACAAAAACTCCCAGGTATTTAAAATTTTCTACGAATTCAATATCTTCACCATCAATATTCAGTTGAACATTTGTACATTGTTTTTTTCCGATTAACAAGGCTTTCGTTTTACTTGCATTTAATTTTAGTCTGTTAGATGCTAACCATTTTGAGACAAGCTTCAAGTCTTCATTTATATAAGAGATACCAGACTGAATATTTTTAGTACTTATATAAATCATAGTGTCATCGGCGAAAATTTGAATTTTGCATTTTTTGACTATGGCAGGTAAATCATTTATGTATAAAATAAAAAGAAGTGGTCCCAGGATACTGCCCTGTGGAACACCCAACGTATTTTCAATTTTTGATGAAATAGTGTCATTAACTTTTGTAACTTGCATCCTTTTACACAAATAATTTCTAAACCAATCTAAAACACTTCCTGTTATACTAACAAAATATCTCTATCATTCGTTTCAAATGCCCTCTTCAAATCCAAAAGTACTGCTATGACAACTTCTTCTGAGTCTATGGCTCTTCTCCAATTCTCAGTTACCAACTGGAAAGCTGTTTCTGTGGAATATTTTTTTCGAAAGTGGTGCTGATTCTCGGTACTTTCGCGTATTCGTTACTAACCGTTACTCTTCTACAAAGTAATCACTTACTGTATTCGTTACTTTGATTACTATGAGTATAACTCCAACGGAACCGAATGTTGTAAGAGGATAACCTTAAAATTTGCAAAATTTTTCAGGCATAGTTTATTCAAATCTTCCGTGTTTAATGCAAACATCGTATCTTCAAACTCTATACAAAACGAGATGGGTTATTATAGGATAGGGTGTCATAGGTCTCATATGAGTCTAAAAACTGAAAATACTTTCTATTTACTAGAAATGCTTAAAAAGCATGTCTTTTAGTTAGAAAGATGATCTGTATATGGGCTTAACAAAATTCGGTATGGCAAGTAGCTTTTCGAAGCATTTCAATTAAGCATGTGCCAGTATAAAAAATTCTACGTGGAGCATAGTCTATACATATTATTGGTGGTCATACTGAATTATAAATGTTTAGCAAAATGAGGGACAAGTAAACAAGAATCAAATTGACATAGTTTTATTATTGTGGTTTTCGTGAACGGTGCTGTTACCCTGATGTCGCTTTTCTGGCTCATAATACTGCCGAACTTTGCTCCAATGGTGGACATAGAATTTGATCATTGTTTTCAAATCTGGAGTTTCCAAGTTTCCTCCCGAATGTGGAATGTCTGGCAACCCTGATGCATGAGCGGCAGCGCTACAGTGATGCCTAAGGTGGCAGAAACCAGAGTTGCCACTCAACGATTGTACATGAACCGGGTTCGGGTACGGAAAACAGAGTAATCAAAGTAATATTTTAGTGCTCGGATTGATACTCGTAACTTCTTGTATCTAAGAGTAACGAGTACTCGAGTAACAAATAGTTTCTTTTCCCACACCTCTAATATGAACCAGTGTTTTGCACACACATCCTTTATGTATGCAAAGTATTGACATCTGACAATCATATTTTTAATGAAAGTAATTCAGTATGCATATAATTAACGTATGTTTCTTGGGGAAAAGAAAGTAAAATACACAAAAAATCTTTGTCATACTTGAAACCAGGACTGCAATTCATTGGCTCAGCTGTCCAGTCACAGAACTGTACAGTGCTACTACATCAAATTGTTCAAAGAAAAGTCGTAAGGCTGAAATCGCGGTAGATCGACAAAATAAACATTAGATTAATCGTATGACACCCCATTTCGACTATTTTAACTGAATTGAAAAATAAATATTAATAGGTTTAACTACTATGAAACTAAGATCATTGAGCTATACAAAGATGGTCAACGTCAAGTCGACATTGCCAAAAATTTGAAGCTGAAGCATAAAGCAGTTTGGGCAATATTGAACAAATATAAACAAAAAGGTATCTTGGAAGCCGCTAAGAGAAGTGGTCGGCCTAGAAAACTAAATGCTAGATCAGTTAGATTAATAAACGTAATTTCGTCCAAAGATCCGTTTAAAACTCCAAGACAAATAAAAGCCGAAATCGAGACAAAAGTAATTGCCAGTGTCTCTACGAAAACTGTAAGTAGAAGATTAAATGATTTGAAGTTATTTGCAAGTCGCCCGAGTAAGAAGCCGATAATCTCGAGGAAAAACCGTAAGGACCGATTACAATTTGCACGGTTGCATCTTGATTGGAGCATCTGTGACTGGAAGAGAGTATGTTTCAGTGACGAATCCAAGTTTAATATGTTTGGATCAGATGGTGTTCATTATGTTAGACGTCCTAGTTGCAGTGTCACACGATTTGTTGAACCAGCCGTTGGACCCTGGTTTAGGAACTTTCACTGTGTGAGGGATGTATTCCTCTATTCCGACGTGGATAATTTCGGTTATCGAAGAACAGACAGCCGACGCATCCGCGTCAGTGAAACAGACATCTCTCCAAGGAAAGCTAGAGAAGAAGTTTCTGAGCCCCTCCCAGTCGGCATGTCCGTAATGCCAAGTTTTGCGGCCTGTGCGAGTTTCTGCTGCCACAGCGATTTCTGACCGAAACCTAACCTCCACAACACCGTGATCTGAGTTACCCAGGGGGTACAGGACAGCAGTGCTGTAAGGGACAGGATGCGTGGTCAGAAAGAGATCCAGCAGGCTACTGGCGTGTGACGAGACGCGGAGGAAAAAAGTAGGGCTCGTCACCAGCTGGGTCAGCCCTTGAGTAAGAGCGAACGCTTCGACTGCACGACCTGCTGCATCGGTCTTATTTGAGCCCAACCAAAGCTCATTATGGGCATTGAAATCACCGAGAAGAACTACCTCTGAAGCGGGGTGATTGATGTTCAGGAAGTCGATCTGGACGGCGAGGTATTCGAGTAGGTCATCCCAGTTATGGTTCGAGGGAGAGCGATAAAGGCAGCAAATAAATTTGGGTGATGTTTTGGAGCTGAGGCGAAGCCACAGAATGTCCTTCCGGTCTGATTCCAAAGAAAGATCCCTGGAGCAGGAAAGACTGCTGCGGACAAAAGCCACAACTCCCCCGTTCTTTCTCAGATTCTCGTAGTTTGGGAAGTTGAGATGGTTAACCGGTGCAGTCTGTGCGATTTTTGTCTCCACCAAGAAAAGCACGGCGGGACGATTGGATTGCAGGTAGTGATGAACAGCATTAATGTTGCTGTTGATCCCGCAGATGTTCGAAAAACAAATTTTATCTTCGATGTTGTTCCCTCGAGCCCACCCTCCACCCAGACATTCTGAGAGTGGAGTGAGTTTACGTCCAGAGTTCTTAGTGCTCGAGGGATCCATCATCATTAATTTCTTTGTTTGGTAGATAACCGACTGCATAGCTTAGGTGTGGAAACATGTGGACATTTATAAGACACCCTGGGAAAAGCTAGCTCGGTCGACTGGTCCTTGTCTACCACCTTCTTTTTACGTGTTAGCGATGTTAGATAGACCTAAAGTGGCCCGTTGGCGGACTTGTACCGCCACCCGGCAATCGGTACTGAGGTATTCCTTAGCGCGTGCACAATCACTTGGCCGGGAAGAAGTTGTATACTGGATACAACAACTTCCGGAACAAGCATTTGCCACGGCCTTCGCTCAGTAGGGCTGAGAAACTAACCTTTTTAAAATATATATGTATATATATATATAGAGAGAGAGAGAGAAACAGTTGTGACAAATTATCATAGATAATTAGAATACATTGATTTAGAGGTGAAAAAGGTTAAATAAAATGAGATTAACTTAAACTTTGATGGTTGTTTTTATGCATAGTGACTTTTTAGTGAGGGGCCAATCAATAACTGTTATTATGCATGGTATCTAAAAAAGTGAAATACAAAAATTATAGCCAACAACATGCTTCTAACTTAAAAAATATTTATATCTAACTTCGTAACCACATCGTGAAACATAATTTTTTTTGAAATAGAAAGCCATACATTTTATTGCAGATTTGGATAGTCCCTTTCGAATGAAGCAATTTGATATATCATAGGATTTTATTTCCAAATTGTTGAGATATGAAAAAGAGATAAGAATACATACCTTCCAAGCAGTTCAGGTTCGGCACGACTGATTAATTTAGTTATATATTCAGTCTTAGTTTGTAAATGAATATGCTTGTCAGGCAGACATCTTTTGATGCCTGCATATAATGATGAGACATATCCTTTTTCTTTTGTTGGGTCTGGCTCTTCCACCAACAATGTATATGCTGGAAAAGAATCCCCATTTGACCATATCCATCTAAATAGATGTGTTTTTAAAGACACTATGCTACCACAATGTTAAGTTTCTGATATTCCACAACATTAGTCCCACAATATGCAGAGAATGATTGAGATCCCATATTCAATGTGTATGGGCAATAAGAGAGAGAAATATGTATGGTAGAGCAAGGCACCAACAAACTGGTTCTGCAAACTGTTGTGGTTGTTCCTTTCTGTATTGAACATATTAAATAATTGATCTCAATGATTTCCTGCTGATGCTGTACTTTCAGCCACAAAATAAATGCAACATATTTTTGCTCATTTTCAGTAAGACCTTTTCTAGTTTTTTCTTTATTTTAATGTTTTTTCTACATTTTTAATGATAGTAACTGATTGTAATATGATGCTTCATTACCCCAACTTAGAGATACTCTGTGGTATGACTTCACCAGCCACACAGGTAGCAATATTTCCAATTATCAAAAACTGCAATTCAATTTGGGTATAATTTTATGTTAAATGTTTATTTTGTGCATAATACAACATGTGTCCTGTGAACAAGGCTCCATCAATTTGTATTACAATATACATGGTCTGTAAATTAAGTGATGAGACTGGCAACAGAGCTTTCGTTCTGGCAACACTGGAGACGCCAGGCTTGGAGGGGAGACAAGGGAACATATGATCCGCATTCAGTGCAAGTTTGAATTCACTCGAGTTATTTGGTTGTCGGTAGCGACTTTTTTTTGAAACAATTTTTCTATTGTGTTCTAAAAATGAGTGACATTAATTTTAAGCAAGGATGTGCTATCAGGTTTTGTTTCAGACTTGGACATAGTGTAATGGAATGTCTTGCTAAACAGGCCTATAGAGATAATGTGTTTTGTCAAGAGCTCATAGTCTTCAGTGGTTTAAGGCATTTCCAGAAGGCAGAGAGATGAAGCAGAAGGCCTGGATCTTCAAGAACCAATAAAAATATCAACAGAATCCTTGTTCTTGTGCATTCAGCTCGTCAGTTGATAGTCAGAATGACCAGGGAAGAGTTAAATTTGACTGATACCACAGTTCATCAGATCAAGAACAACTGGGTGTTGTATCACAATAATACTCCTTGGCATACAGCAATGTCAATAAACAAATTTTTGGATAGAAAAAACGTTTGTGTTGATCCTCAGCCTCATTATTTGCCTGACCTGAGTCCTTGTCCTCTTCCCAAAGTTGAAATATCACCTCAAGATAACCCATTTTGGGACAGCTGAAATTGTTTAAACAGCTGTAACTAACCAGCTGAAGGCTATTCCAGTAATGGCATTCCAGCACTGCTATGAGGAGTGAAAGACCGGCTCCAGCACTGTATAGCTTCAGAAGGAAGTTACTTTGAGATAAATAATATAAAATTGTAATTATATTTGTATAAAAAAAATCAGTCTCATCACTTAATTTACAGATTTTGTATGTCTGAATGCACTACAAGACAATCATTTTGTATAAAGGGCATGAGTGAATTTAACTATAAAAATACGTAAATTGAAAGTATCTTGCAGTAATATTAATAAAATACATTGGTTTAACCCTGACTTACCTTTCAAAACTTTCATCCTACATTCTCCACAAAACCTGTGTTTCCTCAAGTATGTTTCTAATGTGGTGTGTAAACTTGATGCTTCTATGATGCATACCTCCTTTTTGCAGTGTGGCTTCATGCAGTCCCAGACATCTCGCCATGCTGGAGTCAGGGGTCTACTGCGCTGAGAATCTAAGGAATGTAACAAACACCTGACACTTTTTTTGTTCCTTTTTGGCTGAGTTTCGATCAGTTTGGCTAACCTTGCACTGAAAAGAATATTTATATATTATATAATGTACTTGTACAATAGAAGTTTTCAAATATTCTACTAAATATAAATAAAAGTTTTAAAATATCTACTTACGCATGATCATGAAAATAGACCCAACTATTTGATAAGCTTGCTTTTCTTCCTTTATTGTAATAATCCCATCAGATCTTATCACTAGAGGGTCCAGTGTGGGATGACCAAATTTGTACAGTTGATAATACAGTCTATCAACACTAAAACAGATTTTCTATATAATGTATTTGAATAAAAGCAGTCACATAGAACATTATACAAAATGGTTTAATAAGTTATATAAAGCACAAAAATAATTTGTGAGTGTAAGATGCTGGGGCTTGCAATGAGTATCTTACAGGTTAATATAAAGTAATAGAGTAGCTAATGCAAACTTTGAGTTAATGCTTATATAAGTAACATTTTTACAAACCAGATTCATAGTAATGAAAACAATATTGTATGTTGTAATATTATATTTCACATTTTATAAGCATATTTTTCTAGCTGATGCTCTAACTTGTTCAATTATTCTTTATAATTTATTAAGAAATTTTTCTTTCGGAAAATACTAAACAAACATCGCGAATAACTCACTGGACGAAATTGACAAGAGAGGAATTGAAAATATTTATTGGCCTTGTATTTCATATGGGTACCATAAGACTAAATAGACTACAGGATTACTGGAGAAGGCACAGGGTATTCAATATTCCTGTGTTTTCTACCTATATGGGCAGAGACCGTTTTATGTTGATTTTAAGATGTTTGCACTTCACTTCACTAAATTCTTATTTTTTGTTCAAAAAGTATGAACAGCCAAGAGCATCCTTATACGAATACCGACTTCGTGTACTTGAGTATCTACTTCCTGAAAAACAAGGACCAAATCCCGCTGAAAAACGAAACACAACAGAACATAAACCAGAAAAAATCCTCAAGCAGGAGGGAAGAAGAAACATGCCCATCGAAAGTTCACTAACTGCTGTAAAAAAAGATTCGCAAGGAAACCATTTTTCATTGCCCATCTTGTCCTGGAAAGCTGGCCTTGTGTTTCGAGCCTTGTTTTGTGGAATTTCATAAAAATAAGTAGTTATGATTATGTTTTTAAGATTATCTTTTATCAAATGTGAGGTGTCTTTAGACGCCCTCCGCTCCTAGCGAATATTTTTTAGCAGGAAGCTGAGGATGTCTTAAGACTTCCTAGCTCTCACGGCGTTATTTTTGAGTTTTTTTATAAATGCATGGGTTTTTCATTTTTCTATCATCCAAACTGTGTATTATTTCCAAAAAAAGTATTTCAGTTTCTGAGGTGGGTATCCTCATCCCAGTTTGCAGTCAATGTGTTAAATGAAAAACATCAAAATTAGACAGAATAAGTGTAATCCTGTTGTTCTTAAGAATGCAATAAATTTTCTTTTCCAAGGAAATTTATGAGGAACTGGAAAATGGGGTGACCTACTTCCCTGCTTTAGTGACTTTGATACTTGAAATTTTCCGAAAATAAAGCACCTGTTAGCAAGTTTAAATCCATAAAAACACTGATAAGTATTCATCAAATGGGATCTTACCTTCTTCGGCACCCCACACATGGCACATTTTGGTTTAAGACATGCATCAGTTCACTCTTGGTGATCTGGAGAGCTGCTTGTAGCTCTTGGGGTTTCAAAATGCTCCATTTTACGGCAAAATCCTCTAGATCTTTTCCCCGTAGTATTTGATTATCACAAACGATTCCAGAACTCTTTACATCCATCACAAGCTGCAAGGGAGCAAAGTCAAAAAAATGTATTTCTCAGAAGACGGGTGGTGTATGCAATATAATGGAAATCGATATTAGATGTTATTTATATGTTATATTGAGGAATGATGCATTACCGTTAAATTTTCATCAATAACAAGAGGTAGCTGTCTCCTATTGAGTGGCTTCGACGGACGATACACATCCACCAGTTTCGGAAGTTTTTCCTTATTCATAGCAAAAACGCAAAGTATATATTCCCTACTAATTTCTAGATTACAACGCTAAGCGATTTTATTAAACAATCACCATTTGAAACTATAAATTCAATGAAAATACCGCAGCGTAAATGTTAGAAATGAGAACAGCCTTTCGGATCTCTCGGATGGGGAACGTTTGACATTTGCTCGACAAATTGACATTGAAATTGCTGTCAAATGACGTCAATTTGTCAATGGGGAAAATCGAGATCGTAGTACGTTCATACTACAGTCTGAGTGCGTTCCGCAATTATCACCTTCTGACAATTTCTAGTCAACGACTACAGATAGCGCTGATCCAGCTAGTTGTTACTCAGATCTATGGTTTGCGAGTTGCATACTTTAGGGTTTGAAGCGTCAGCGCCATCTTTATGCTTTTGGCATATGCCAGAATAGACTACGACACTGTTCCAGATGTGAGGTTGCGGAAACAAGCAGCTAAAAGTGCCTTTCAGTTGTATTTCCTGGTGGTGCATTCATTTACACCGATGCATCGAAGTCGGCGTCAGGAACGGGATGCGCTCATTATATTCCTTCAATAGATATTTTTTCCATGTTTAAACTACCAAATGAATTCACGATTTTTTCTGCAGAAGCTATTGCTATATTCCAAGCCCTACAGTTTGTAGAGGACCACAATCTTGGTAACACGTCTATATTCTCGGACTCCCTCTCTGTTGTCAGTAGTTTAAAAAACGGCAGTCCTTTCGATATGCAAAATATACACTTATTCAACATAAGATCGAAAATAAGTCAGCTAAAACAACGAGGCCTCAGGATTACACTAGTTTGGGTGAAGGCCCACTCTGGGATAATACACAACGAAAAAGCTGACGATCTAGCAAAGATGAGTATAACATCTGGAACTAAGCTGGACATACCCTTAAGCATGCAAGACAATCGAGTGATACTTAAAGGTAATTTGCTCAAGCGATGGCGCAGTGAATGGATAGAATACTGTTTTACTAATCCTACAAGATACAACCTCATACACCCTAGCCTGCCACGAGGATACTGGCACGAAAATTTCAAAATACCCAGAAAATATATTTCTTGCATCACCCGTGCGAAAATAGGACATGGTGTTTTTCCATCACACCTTGCAAGATTAAATTTGGTCCCATCTGCACTGTGCGATGTTTGTGAAGTTTATGGTGACTTGGATCACTGTTTCTTTGGTTGCGCTAAATTCCTGGATCACTGCAATGCACTCTACTCCGATTTGGTGAAATCTGGCATATCTGCCCCCCTAAATACATCTCATGTATTTTCGCTAGGTAGATCTGATGTGATCATTCTCGTTGTTAAATTTATCAGAAATTCTGGCATCAAAATATAACAATCGTATTTTAGTTATCCTCTGTTTTTTGTACCTTTATGTATAAATATATCCTTCATATCCGTGGCCTAATTGTTGTATGTGAAAAATGCCCTGACGGGTCCCTGGGCGAGAAGAACGTGTGTCCCTGTCTGACCCATCCTCTCTCCTACCCCTTAGAGTTGCAAAGGTTTAATATGTAGTTATGGTGTGCTTTAGACACGAATGTCATCTGAAAATTTGTGTGTAATGCTTAACCCCCGCCCCTCCTGATAACACTTTCTTAGTTCTTCTATATTAACTTTTTTGTTTTTCATCCAGAGTGGAGAGTGTGCATTAGAAGAAATTTAATAATCAATTTCTCCCTACTGTTTGTTAAGTACTTGCTCCTTCGCCCAAATACGACTGTGTCACCAAAATGTCTTTCCTGCAATACCCTGATAGCTGAGGGGATCTGCTTGCTACGTCATTGCCATTTTACACGTCTTAAATTATATATGTGTGTATGATATAATAGATAAATACTTGATTCTGGCTAATGGGGCAATGTCCTAGTGCCAAAAAAAAAAAAAAAGTTGTATTTCCTCGATTACATCTTGCTCCAAAAATACACTAAAGATACGGCATAATCTCTTTCAACAAGCTAACAAGCCGCAAACCATGCTAGCGACATGTGGTTGCAGCGGTTTAAACAATGTGATAGCACAACGGACGTTGCGCCGTCGCTCCATAGGTGGCGCTTACGGCGTGTGGGCCATCCGATAGATTGAAAAGCTCGAAATGAAGTCCAAGGAACTCATCTTATCGCTCCGCTTTAAGAAAGAAAACACTGACTCTCTTCGCTACTTTATTAATAATATCTTACAAGCATTGAAAATCACAGATCAATGTAGTGAACATGTACAGTGAATGAATGTTTTCATTATTTGAAAGTCTCATATTTGCTGCAACATACAGGTGCTGGGAACAGAGTTTTCCTCGTAGCCCGAAGTGCCAGCCACTGTTCTTGATTTGGTACATACATTTCTGCAGGCATTAGTTGTGATTTTTCTGCGTCACTCACTTCGGCAGCTACTGAAATAAAAACGATTAAATTTTTATTCGGAACTTAGGAACTCCACTAACCTTGCTATTCAACTACAGAATAATATATACGCAGTGTTATTGTATAAAGCTCATCAGCTTCTTATTTCGACAGATTACAAACTTTTGCTTCCAAAAGTTTATTCTGAATTATTTACTTTTGTTCTTTGAACGAAAGGAGGCAAAACTTTGTCCCGCAAAGTTAAAACGTAAGATTTCTTGCAAAAATGTGACGTGAAAGTTGATCTCAGAATGTAACTATGTTATGTGGGCTACGTGAGTCAGATTGTCGCGTTCTATCGGTATCCGGAATCATCCTATTGACTGATTCAGTCAGCGAGAAATGCAGTTATTTAAATGAGTTGTCTTCCAAAATGATGACTTACCAGATGCTTTTCTCTTGTGCTTGTCCGCCATTTTGATTTTCTCTCCCGGACATCTGAGAAGCAATCGCCCGACACCTTCACATCTCTTCAATATTTCGTTCTTCAACAGCTTTGTTCTCATGGTCTCGCTCACAACGAGACAGTTAGACAGCCAAATAGTGACGTACGCAAAATCGCAGAGCAGTTGACAAGCCCCTTGTTCGCTGAATTTTATTTTATTTGTGTAGATATGGTCTAGCCAGGATTCACATAGCAATGTGAGAATCATGTTGGCAATATCGTAGTCTTCAGTGGCCTCAAGAACAGGAACAAGTATCTGGTCTGCAAATTAGGATAAGGCCAATAAGTGAAATCTTAAGTAAGTAGTATAGACCAGAACTGTTAATCAGTTGACGCTCAGCTATTTGATAAGTTAGGAAACAAATATAATTTATAAAAATATATTCACAAAGCTTGCTTACTCAAATACTTCTCCACAAAATCGCAAGGTTTCTCAGATATTCCCTCAATAACAGTCTGTTTCCAATATGACGGCTTCGGGAAGATCATTTTTAAATTAGCCAGACATATAGTCCGACATACACTTGCTAGCCCTTCGACGCATTGTTGAGGAGTTTCCTGAAAGAGAAAAAAATAAACTATTTATGTTTCTTTGACACTAGTAGTCTTTTTCACGAGTATCCATTAAGGTCACCCTCGTATAGCTCTGGGTACCAGCGAAATACACCCTCTTACGTCAAATAGAAGATCTAACAGGTGACCAGAAGTGAAATCGACGCTTGGGCACCCAGATTTACGCGACCATATAGGGAGCATGGCCTCATTTCTGGATCGTTTGCGACGCCATTGCGAAACTTTGATACGTCTGGGGATCAATCTGCCGCCATCTAAACCACTTCCATGTAAGTTGGCAATCACGCTGGAATGTTTCTCGACTCGTCGATAGGGGAATTATTACCCGACCAGATGGCGAAAGCAGTCAGCCACAGTTGAGGAGTGTCAACGATCAGTTCAGTAGATATGGTTATAAATACAGGGTGTTTCAGTTTATTGTTGCATAACTTTAAGATTCGATAGAACTTTTAAAATTAATGTATAAAGTCTATATAAACATGGGTCGAAAATGCGTGGCTTCCGAAATACAGGGTGTTTAAATTTACTTTCTAAAATAGTTTTTTTTTAAATATTTCGAACAATATTTGATGTATAACAGTGAAAATTTTTATCCAAGGGTTTTTTGGTACGACAAAACGAACCATGGGCATAGTTTTACTGTAGCATCTAGAGGGCGTTCTCTACTGTACCTGTAGTGTATTAAAATGACCGAAAATTTTTTCTTAGTGCAATTTTTTGCTTTTTGAATAAAAAAACTGATTTTTCGCACTTTTCAACATAAAAAAGCTCTCCTGTGAGTTTTCGCTATAGTTAGCCGTTTTTGAGATAATTCGATTTTTAAGGTTCGATGCATTTTTAATTATTTATGGGAAAATAATATTTTTTTTACATTTTCGATTTGGGCATTATAAGTAATTAAGATGATCGTTTAGATTGTGTTTTTAAACACAGCAATAATTCCTAACTCCAAATAAACACAAAAAACAGAATATTAATTTGTTTAATTTTCTAATATTATTTTTAACAAATTAAATTAATTATTTACAACTAAAATGCTATTGGCTAGTTAGGAAAAACATTCAAAATCTAAAGTAGTTGCTCGAAATGTAAACCCAATTGTTCAATACACAATTCACATCTACGAATGATCGAACGTGGTATAGCATTATTCAAATAAGGCCTTATTTCATCACATGTATTCCTGATTCTGTCTCTTAGCATATCTCTTGTGGTTACGGGAGTCTGGTACACTTTGTCTTTTAGAAATCCCCACACAAAGAAATCTAATGGATTTAGGTCAGGGGATCGTGGAGGCCAGGCGACTGGTTCTCCACGGCCGATCCATCTTTCTGGATAATTTTCGTCCAGCCAGTTTCTAACTATTCTGGAATAATGAGCTGGACAACCATCAAGCTGGAACCAGACCAATCTTCTTAAATCTAACATAACATCATCCCACATATTTGCATGTTCAGCCTTTAAAAATTCCAAGAAGGTCGCAGCATTTAACCTTGCAGGCAAAAGGTAGGGTCCAAATAGTCGATTACGGTAGATACCTATCCACACGTTCACAGTAAATTCATGCTGAAAATTTCTTTCCCGAACTGCATGCGGATTTTCATGCGACCAAATATGTTGATTATGAAAATTTACCACTCCACGTCTAGTGAAGCATGACTCATCGGTCCATAAAACGTTACTTAAAAACTCCCTATTATTATCAGTTCTATCAAGAATCCACTGACAAAATGTGATTCTTCGTTCTCCGTCCCCTGGCTGTAGTCCTTGCACAGGTTGCAAATGGTAAGGACGTCTATGGTCATTTCTAAGAACACGGTGAACATGGCTTGCTGAAATTCCCAAGGCACCAGAAACTCTCCTAACACTTGTCGGATCTCTATCAAACTCACGCAGAATCTAACGGGTAAATCTGCGCTGACGAACATCTATGTTTTGATCCCTTTGGAGATTTCCAAAACCATTTTCAATTATTTGGCGATGCACTCTTACAAATACTGAGCGAGTTGGATGTCGTCTGTTTGGAAATCTTCGTGCGTATTCTCTGGCTGCTTCTGCTGCGTTTCCATTTACAAAGCCATACACAAAATGAATATCCGCTAACTCTTGATTGGAGAACAAAAATGACATTTTTATAAAACTTACAAAAAAAAAACAGGTAAAAGAACCTAAATTTCGTGCATTCACAATTGCAAAAAAACGTTTCACGTTTCAACGGACAACAAAACTAACTGTCAACTAATTGACGTTTAACCTTATTCTGCTTTCAATTTCAAAAATATTTGCAGGCACAGCCTACTTCTAAAAATTATCGAGATACTGACTTTTTAACGTTATTTTATCATAAATAATTAAAAATGCATTGAACCTTAAAAATCGAAATATCTCAAAAACGGCTAACTATAACGAAAATTCACAAGAGAGCTTTTTTATGTTGAAAAGTGCGAAGAATCAGTTTTTTTATACAAAAAGCAAAAAATTGCCCTAAGAAAAAAATTTCGGTCATTTTAATACACTACAGGTACAGTAGAGAGCGCCCTCTAGCGGCTACAGTAAAACTATGCCCATGGATCGCTTTGTCAGACCAAAAAACCCTTGTATACCAATTTTCACTGTTATACATCAAATATTGTTCGAAATATTTAAAAAAAAACTATTTTAGAAAGTAAATTTAAACACCCTGTATTTCGGAAGCCACGCATTTTCGACCCATGTTTATATAGACTTTATGCATTAATTTTAAAAATTCTATCGAATCTTAAAGTTATGCAACAATAAACTGAAACACCCTGTATATCATATAAATTGGTTAGCAAGTTTAGGGTAGTACATTTATTTTGTTCCTTGTTTTCCTCATTCGTTTTTTACATATTACCACCTACTTACGAGTGACATTATTGTTTTTGATGAAGGGGGGCGTAACAAAATTTACTGTTGGAACCTCTGCTCTAGAGCCAGTACCTTCAATTTCTGCATATTCTCCTTTACTTCGGAGACTAACTTGGCTCTCATCAAAGCACAAACTTGAACATGAACATCCAGTCCCCCCTTTTCGATCTCAAGCGTGTGATCAGCCAGTCTCATGTCGTTCAGCTGCTTCATACAGTCGGCTATGTCACCTTGCGTTACTTTGAAGAAACCGCGCACGTTCCAGACGTTCGCCATTTTCTTGCTTTCGTTTATAGACCACAGTCTAGTAGTATGGATTGAATGATCTGAAACATGTACATGAGTTGGGTCTGTGTGTTTCACTGGCCGAAAAATAAAACTACATATGGAGGATTGAAAGGTTTCGGATCGCTTTTGCCTCCTTAAAATATATTGTCACGGTCATTGTACGTAGCGAGAGCGAAATTAGACTTTGCTGTCATCGCTCAATTCATTCAAATAGGTCCATACAATTAGTTTCCAGTCCCCACCCATCTGATAACGTCTAAAAATGTCTCATCATTTACCCTACTGACGATACTACAACGTTCCAGAGTTACGATGAGTAAGCCGAGGCTATCTCTCAACAGGTTTAAATTCTATTTTCGTTGCGCTCGACGTGGGTATCGAAATTATCACCAATATCATTCTAAGTCTTAAGGTCAAATATACGGAGAAATGGGTGTGTCTGAAATACACCTAAAAGGTGCGTATGGTGCAGGGCTTAGGAACGTATAATTTTAAAAGAAAGGTTAAGAAAATTTTAACACGCTTATGTTTTTACACTGTTGAGTTTGTGGATTTTCCTAAGAATCACACTTAGATGTGTCGTATGTTTGCTATATTCTAACTTTATCTTTTTTTCGGTTATTCCTACCTTTGTTCTGATGCATTTAAATAAGGACCATTTGTACTGTATTGTGTACGTACACAAATATTAACGTTAAAAAATTGATATATACGCTTCCCCACCAACAATAAATTAAAACATAGTAAATGACACATACTGTATTCTTAGAAGCCATATAGATGCTGTGTTTTAATTTACAACCAAAGCAATAGCATTGGAAGATATTATAAGACATACACTTAATCACACCAAATTCATAATATTCTTAATTACTTCGTCGGTCATTTAGTATATTTGTAAGGATACTGTAAAACATTCTTTTAGGTTGTACACACATAAGATTATGTATACCAAACCCGCTGCCTAATGTGCGATAAACAACATGGCGTAGTACTTACTGTGTTATTAATTAATAAAACTTCAGTTCAGACCATTCTGAGGTAACAGTATATTCCTGCTTTACTTATAGATAGGAGTCCTCGGTAAAATTGATGAATTAGGAAATATGATCCATTTTAACTGGGTACAAACCCAAAGCATTCTTTTGCCTTCAAACATTACAATTTTAGAAGAATTACAACACGTTCTTATCGCTCCTGTATAATATGAAAGTAGCAGATACTAGCTTCTGGCTTATGACCGCAGTACTAGGGTTACAATCGTATAAATATACTCGTACCAACCCAAAATAATTGAAATATTCCCTCCCTCACCCTCTTCAAACCCCCATCCCTAATTCTTCACCTCTCAAAAAAAGGTCCAAAAAATGAACAGTAGCCTCAAAATGACAAATAACAAAGTTCGGGCGATTTTTAGTCTTATTTGGTCTGTTTGCCCGTAGATCTGCCGCTACTGGATCAATTTTCATAAACTTCAAAGCGTTTTCGTACTTGGCATAGTGGTACCCTTGTTTTTTTTATATACTCTAATCACCACGAAGGCCTAAACACCCGTGGGGTACCGCGGTACTATAGGGGGAAACACATGGGAAAGGGGGGAGGCCACACGGACTTTGGCGAGGAAACACGTGTTGTGTCAAAGTTTTATGAAAATTCCAAGTCCAACGCCTAGTAACATGGTTTTTCATCATGTGCATCTCTGTTTATTTACTATAATATACTTTGAAAAGGTTAGTGTCTCTTAGATGGCGCTATCTATATGCTCGTATATGCTCATATAGTTGACTTCAGCGCCCTCTATGAGACACTAACCTTTTTCAAGTATATATAGTAAATAGTGAAACTGCTGCGGCAAATTCTCATATATGACGCTACGGTATAATATGAATTTTTCGGACGGGAATATAGCATTAAGTTGGGCTATCGTCTAGTGGAATACGATAGTCAATGCTACAATACTGGGCTTACCTAGTCTATGCAATACAGGAATTTGTTCTACCAACGGGAGCTCATTGAGTGCTGCACCCATGATCCAGTCTGGTGTCGTTTCGCACTGATTACAAAGAGTAACAAGCTCTTGCAATACATCTGAGAATAACCTAAAAAAGTAGATGTACTACTTGATGAAGTAGATCAACCTAGTACCTCTAAAATATCTTACAAGTTGCGGCTGAGAGCTGAGATACTCTATACCTTAGCACAATAAGTCATTCATGAAATGAAGTAATGAAGTCAAAAGTGAAAGTCCTTGATCTATAGATAGATCATGCAACTCAGCTTACCTTCCAGTGTCAGGATGACAAGCTACTTTCGATGCCACTAGCGCTTTTCTGAAATTTTGGTCCCAAGAAGTTGAAGTCACGTGTACACCTAACGCATCAGCTAAGCTAGCGAGTGCTGACAGTATCACAGGAGGTATATCAGCTAAAAGTTTAATTTATATAGTCCGTTTTGCACAAGAATCAACGTCAGATCATCTTGTACCATCTAAGGAGTATACAAAATACTTTTCAGATATCCAGCCTGACTTGCCGCGACAGCTGGCTCTTATGCATGAAGGTGGGCTTTGGCGTAGAAACTTAACACCCTGTATATTCATGAAATTCACCCGTACCTGTTGGGATAAACTGCATTATCCACTCTCTCAAATGTTGACTGGAATGAGGGAGTCTTGCCGCCAGAGGTGATGAGGCCCACCACAATATTACGTGTTCCAAATAATTACTCACTTCACCCCATAAAATTTGTTCATAATATTCCAAAGCTTTGTTCTGTGCTTTGGTATTCAACTTGACAATCCCTTTAAAATATAAAATATTTTTAGATTACCACTTAATAAATTGTTTACATAAATTAATCTTTAATAACTTTTCTACAAAACCCAACACAACACTCACACTTCTGTAAGGTCTCAAGTCCTCTTATTAGACAATTTCTGAACATGTATTTATATATAAACCCATTTTTCTTAGTTTTAACAGATCTCCTAAGCGCAGGCGGAAGCTTAAATGCCAGAGTACCGCGGCTGCTATGTAAAACTTGTAAATCCGATTTTTGAACTGCCTAAGGTTAGTAGAACTGGAAAAAGCTTCCTCTTGTAGATTGTTCCACAATCTCGATATCTTAGGGACAACCGGCGGGTCTGCCTAACAGGCACATCTTACAAAGGCATTATGGAGGAGAGCTCTGAGGAGCAAAGTCCATTGGCGTAGCGGTAGACGAGAGCTAGATCGACGACGGCCCGCCGCGCCGGTGCGAAAGGGTCCCAGGGCTGTCCGTTAAAGAAGAGTCATCGATCAGTCGGACAGCCCTCCTCTAAACAGCATCGAACATGGATAACTTAGTCAAGGCGACAGCACAAGTTTGCATAAGAGAGCAGCATGGTGATCTAACGCTTTCATGATATCAAGGGCATCGACACGAGCTTCACCATAATACTGGATCAGTTTACTCCACAACTTCATGACGTAACCTAGAAGGTGCCCTGTCGATCGCTGGCGCAGGTAACCAGCCTGTCGTTAATGAAGCCGTGACATTGGAGATTCTGCACCTCTCCATCAACTTACTCTTTTCAAAGTATTAAATATAAGTTAGATCAATGATTAATGTAACTCCAGCAGCATATCCTGTGGTTTTCATGTTCATAGGAATCCAATGTCTTACCGAATCAAACCACATATATGATCCCCCATGTTTGCCTGGTCATGCAAACCACATGTGCTTAAAATTCTTGATTATTGTATACTTTTCTGTTCCAACGGTGACTTTCTTCAGTACAAGTGACACTTTTTTGACAATATATTGTGGTTTAATTGACCAAACATGGGAGATAGATAGATAGATAGATAGATAGATAGATAGATGGATCTTTATTTCCAACAGGTACAATCACCCAATTACAGGAAATAGTTCAAAAAGAAAACAAGAGCAACACATAATCCTAGTACATAAAAAAAAACACAATCAAATTAATAATACAGGTAGATCAAAAAGCCAAAATATTAAAAAAAAAAAGAATAACTCTAACCGCAAGAAGGTCATTACATGCCATGGGAAATGGCAAGATAACGTTGTTTAAAGTCATTTCTAGATGAAGTATTCACATCACAAGATTCACCTAAAGAATTGAAGTTCTCACACATAACCGTGACCGGCGATTTTCTCGAGATATTTGTTCGAGCTAATTCGCAGTAAAATGTTATTTGGTGACGCAAATTGCGCGCAGGTACATGAAAGTTAAGCTTACTTAATATATATTCACATATGACATCATTGTGCAAAACATCATAAAGAAAATTTAAACTACTTATAACTCTCCTACTATTTAGCGACATACAGTCAAATGTATTCATGAGTACAGAATAATCACATCCTCTCTCCGGATATTCGCCTGTCCACTTGAAATGCAGAAATTTCAAAAACTTCCTTTGTATTCGCTCAATACGGCTTATATGAACCGAATAGATGGGATACCAAATTAAAGAACAACCTTCCAATTTAGATCGAACGTACGAAGAATAAAGAAGTTTCAAAACATGTAAATTGGAAAATTGTCTACTGTTTCGGATGATGAAGCCCAACATTCGGTTGGCTGATGTTGTGATATTATTTATCGACATGAAAACCACATGATACGTCTCAGATGTTACATTGAACCATTACATGTTATATTTCTCTTCATTGTACGACATTTCGACCATCACTGTGGCCTTTAAAAGTGTCGTACAATAAACAGAAATTTAATCATGTATTTAGTTTGCGTTGAGTTATATTAGGTAAATGACTCACCAGTGTTTTTACATCTTCTGACACCATCCGTGCCTAGCATTTCTGGAGCATTCTTTAATATTATCTGAAGTACTCCTATTACCCTTCTTTCTTCATGGAATATAAGTTCCTCCAAATTTGCGAAGCCATTCTCATTTTTCTCAGATATTTCTATACCTGGTTCATCAAGTCTTTCATAGGACTGATGCGGAGTCATATGTTTTGTGAGAGTCCTTCAAAATCATCAAGTCAACTACGAAATAAATTGGTGTTATTTCTAAGCTCTTACATATATATTTCCAGGCTAGAACTGTCAGATCCATCATCATCGTCCTGCTGATAGCTCTTATACGTATCCAATAAACAGTCGATCAGTTTGTGGCAACAAAGTTCCGCCCTGTTCAGAGCAACAATTTGTAGTAATCGGGTTACCGAAAATTTCCTCATTGGGAACATGATACACGGACATCCATTGTTACATATACTTATGTCGCTTTTCAGTTCATACTTTTTGTCTAGGTTGTAGAGTTTGTTGAATGCTAAGGATATTCTGAAATAAAAAATCTAGAAAATATAAATATCTGTCATCACGCATTTTGATCAACTGGGTTAAGGTTCTACGTCGCTCATGGAATGAACAACTTTACGAAATGTGATCATGTCTACTGAATACAATATTGATAGCAGTACATATAGTCTAATCATATTAGCAAATTTCCCCGAAATAATTGTAAAGTCTGGTTTTATTGGTGCAAGTTGTTCAAGGAGGTATTTAAGACATAGACGCATAAAATGGGTACACCAATTTTTTTGGGAACACTTTTTATTTGACAACAAAGAATGCGAAAATGTGTTTTTTGGGATTCAAACGAAGGTGTTGACAGGAACAAAGCAGATGTGTCTATAATCTTTTGTTGCGAATTACTCACAAATACGAAATGTTTGAATTTGTAAACGTAACCCATCCTTTTTTGCATAAAAGTAACATTTATCTTCCGGAATGGTTTGGCGATTCATATCGGCAAGGTAAACTAGTGTATTTTGCAATAAAGTGCCTTTTGAACTAACCCTGTATATTGCTCAATAGACTAGTAGTGATGGCCGGAAAACAGGTGTTTTGGGATAAAAAATTAGGAAAACTACTTGACCAAATATCTGCGAGAAACCATCGTCCCTTTACCAACTAGTGCAAAACCTGCAGTTTGCCTCGGTTTTCGGCTATAACTTTTTTGCTACTAGCCGGATCTTTTTACGTGTGGTCTCACTTTGTAGGTCTCATAAATACCTAAAAATCCTACATGAACAGTTTTTTCGTTCCTGTCAACACTTTCGATAGAATCCCAAAAGCACACGTTTTCTCATTCTTTGTTGTCGAATAAAAAGTTTTCCTACAAAAATTGGTGTACCTATTGCGTCCATGTTTTGACCACCCCCCTTGCAGCAATAAATCCACACTTTACACTTATTTCGCAAACCAGGGGTATTTTCGTCTAATATGATGTTTACCTTATAGCAAGAATAAATAAGCTGTCTCCATAGATCAAATACAGAGAACAAATTTCTTGAATTATATCTTGAATCAAGAATTGTAGCTTCAGCTTGCCATTCCAAAGTGATTTACGATTATTTGCGAATTTCGCAAGTGTTAACGGATGCAAGTCTTTCATATCCAGTTGTTTGAATATTGATTCAAATTTTTCCGTCATAGTCTCTATGGTGACTGATAAATCTTCAATGTCCTACAATAACATATACGAACTTCATAGTAGTAAATCTTTTTAGGAGATGTCTTAGCGCATAGAAAGTTGTAGTCGTCACCGTTCTTGGTGGGTCAAAGTAAGACTACCAGTATCCCTTTATATATCTCCATCTCCCTCATATATACACATGCAACCTACCCCTATGTGTGAACGTTTATTCGGTAAGTTCAAAGACATACGGTTTTAGATGTGTCTCCGTCTCGAAAACTTTGTCGTTACGTATGAGTGCCCTTCAATAATATTTGTCAGAGTGACAACTTACTTGATATCGGCGTGCAACTTGAGTTGTCCTGTTATCAATCTTCAATACAAAATTGCACAATGCCCGGAACTAAGATCAATGGAGAAGGCCGACAGCTCGTGCTAAATTTATTGTCCAGGAGGTGAATAAATACAGCGGTCCCCTGTTACCTACTTCATGCGTACAGGATAGAGTAGCAGATGCGCTGAAGATTAGTCTGCGCAGTGTTCAGCGAATAAAATCAGAACATAAAAAAAGGTTTGCCCATAGTAACACCTGGGAAACTCACAAAATCAAAAAATGCAAGACCGATGTGTGAGGCAGTCAAAACAGAAATTATGAATACTCGATCTGTTTACTTATTTCATATGACGTTGATGACCTAACCGTCAAGAACGGTGACAACTATATCTGCGTACATCTTAACAGGGCAACGAAGTAGTTTTAGCAGAGGAGTTACTTGTACGACCTTGAAACACAATATTGATACTCACTGATGCCTGGAATTCATTCTCATCTATGAGATAATTCATCCTCGTAGTATGTCTCATGTTGAACTTTTGCAACAGTAAGTTGCATCTGTTTATAAGGCACTCAATGTTGCTTTGCAGATCTCTGTATTCTTTGAACAGTGTTTCGTATTCAGCTAGGTTAGGTAACCACTTGGCCAAAATTTGGGTATGGCGTGACATGATACTGCAGTTTATCAAAATCTTCGTTCAGTTTTCTGACCATATCATTCAAGATATTTTTATTCCGAGAACTATCTATAAAAGAGCTTAAACGTTTTACTTTTTAGTTTGTTGGATGGATAATAAGTGTTTATTTGGTTGTCATGGTAATTTGAACTACATTGAAAGGTTTATATTAGTACGAGCATCGTGAGAAGTTAGTATGCAAAATATGTATATCACAGCTTTGCCTCAAGAGTATCAGTAGAAAATGAACAAATTGTTACTTTATGCCAAGTAACTATTTTTTTTATAACATTGGGTCCTATGATGCATTACTGTTTACTCATATTAGCCGAAAATACCCCTGGTTTGTGGAATAATTGTTAAGTCGGGTTTTATTGATGCAAGTTGTTCAAGGGGATATTTAAATAATGGACGCATAAAATGGATACACCAATTCTTGTGGGAAAACTATTCGACAAAAAAGAATGAGAAAACATGTTTTTTGGGATTCAATCGAAAGGAACGAAAAAACTCTTCAAATAAGATTTTTAGGTATTTATGAGACCACACGTAAAAATATACGACTAATAGTAAAAAAGTTACGGCCGAAAACACGAGGCGCGATGCAGGTTTCGCACTTGGTTGGTAATGCGACGATAGTTGCACGCAGTTACTTGAAATTATTCATACTTCTAATTAACGATAACAAAATTGAAGTCGATTGGTCAAGTAGTTTTTGAGAATTTCTAATTGTTTATCCCCTTCGTTTTTCACATAAAAATAATAATTATCAATATTATTATAACTCGTGTATTTCGCTATAAAATGCCTTTGAACGAACCTAGTAGTGATTGCCGGAAGACAGGTGTTTAGGAATAAACAATTAGAAATTCTCAAAAGCTACTTGTCCAATCGATTCCAATTTTGTTGTGGTTATTTAGAAGTGTGAAGCCTACGGTTTTGAAGAATTTCATGTAGCTGCGTGAAATTATCGTCGCATTAGTAACAAGAACCATAACCTGCATTTTGCCTCGGTTTTCGGCCATAACTTTTTACTATTAGTCGGATCTTTATACGTGTGGTCTCATAAATACCTATAAATCTTATTTGAAGAGTTTTTGGGTTCCTGACAACACCTTGATGTCGAATAAAATGTTTTTCCACAAAAAATTTATGTGTCCATGTTTTAAGTACCCCCTTGAACTAGCATTAATAAAACCAGACTTTAAAATTATTCCGGGGAAATTTGCTAATATGATTAGACTAAAACCCAATGAATTCAGATTAGATAGGAGCAAGCCTATGATGTGTATGCCTCCAAAATGAAAGGATATGAGTGCATACTACAAACGGAGTTGACATGTTGCTTTTTTGACAGTCCTGTCATTAATTGTGGTGACGATTGCAGGACATGGTACTTCTTGCATAACTTGTGAGGAGTGGCACAAGCCTAATAAGGTAGATCTTTCCACTAGTATTATTTTGTCAAATGGTAGTCAAATGAGTGAAAAGTGTGCACTAAAACTATGCAATTTTGTCGATAAACAATGCAATGTAAACAAGTAGGCTTCTATTCTGTTCGTTGGTACAACCCAAATCCAGTACCAAAAAAGTATGTGCATGTGTCTTCCAATTTTCATTCCCTTATAAGAAAGGAAGACGCTAATGGAAATTTTCTTCCACAAAGTCTTTTTTCTTGAGAATATAAAACTAATATACAAAAATGCAAGACATTTTTTTTGTTGTTTTGTTTTTATGTGGCGAGGAAAACTTCCGAAGTCTTAAAATTTTTATTTTTCAATAATAATACAATTACTATTAAAGTTCAGGTAAATAGCAATAATCAAATCTGATAAAACACAGATTTACGCAAATATACTCTGAAGCTTATTACAATGGGTATACGTATATCACATGAACAAAAACGCAAACTAATACATTTTAAAGTATCGTTAATCTAAATATCGCAAACATTTCGCTTAGAATGCAAAAAACAACAATCTACAAATTTTATAATTATCGAACATACAAATAGTTAGTTACCCAGCTAGCTACTCAATCAATTTTACATACTTTTCACTCTTCTTTCTTTTATATAATTTCATTACATGATGAATAATATGCTTAAATATGTAGTAAAAGATCAAAAATAGAATTATGTCGAGGACACCTAGAATAAGAATAATATCAATCATACTTCTTTGGTACCATTTCAAAAAAATTCCAGGAGATTGTAGGTGGTATGCTCCCTTATGACGGATAACATACTCCACCCAGTATGTTGCCCTATCTAGCGGTTTTGTTTCTTGGTCCTTGATTATTGCAGACTTGAGTTCAGCATTCGCTTTATACCTAGAACAAGTTATATGCTGGATAGGTAGATATAGTGAAAAATACCGGCCTTCAAGTGAATCTCGTTTTCATTGAAATACCGACATAGTAGATTGTGCATCACTCTTCAGCTAGCAAATCAATTGGCGGGATACCAGCTACCACCAGCAGCGCGTCGATCGACAACGTTCTGTAAGAGCAGACCACGCGCACCACTACTTTTTCGATTGCTTCTGAGCATCAGTTGCCTATACAGTAGCGGACAAAAGTTTGGAAACAAATATTAACATTATTATGAACTATTTCATACCTAAATTGAAATTGTGAAGGAACAGATAATATAAATATTGAAGTCTAACTTTGGCTCCCGCGATTATTTAAAAAAAACACAGTTTTTGTAACGAGAAAAGTATGGAAGCATTTCAGTTTTTCCGTATTTATTCATTCTGATGTAGTCTGATATTGCATGCGGTAAATATTGACATCAGTGAGAATAGCAAATTTTCAAAAGATTTAAGAGGCAAAGTAATTGAATTATTTAGAAGTGGTGTCAGAAATGTTTACATTTCTCAAAAATTAAAAATGAACAAATTAACGATTTAGAAAATTATTAGTAAGTATCAAGAATACGGATCTACAGCAACGCGGCCCAGGAGCAGAAGACAGAAAAAAACCGATTATGTTTTGGATAGCTATATTAAACGTTTGTCCCCAGAAGATCCTCGAATGCCAGCCACACGGATTTTCAAAAGAATTGTAGAAGAGGATGCCGAGAATCTTTCTGTCAGAACAGTGCAGAGACGTTAGGTGGATTTTGGGCTTTTTGGTATGCGTCCAGTGCAAAAGCCTCTCATTTAAAAAAAATTGTATTGCTTTTCTTGAATTTGCTGAAACTCATCTAACTTGGACAGAACAACAATGGAATACAGTTTTATGGAGTGATGAAAGCAAAGTTATCTTATTTGGATCTAACGGTACGGCATATGTGAGACGTCCAATACGAAAAAGATTCGACAAAAAGTATCAGTTGTCAACAGTTAAGCATGGTGGAGGCAACATTATGGTTTGGGGCTGTTTTTCTAGTCCTGATCCGGGTCCAATTGTTAAAATTGTTGGGAATTTGGATCAAAAACTTTACAAAGATATTCTTAGTGAACACGCTCCCTTTTGCTGAAGAAGAAATGCCTGTACGATGGACATTCCAGCTAGATAATGACCCTAAGCATACCTCAAAATTCGTAAAGGACTGGTTAAGACTAAAAAAGGTTAATGTTCTTAGATGGCCTTCGTAATCCCCGGACCTAAACCCTATAGAACATATCTGGGAGCATGTTAAAAGACAACTGAAAAGAAAAAACTTTAAAAAATACGAACGATTCATTTGATTATGCAAAAAATATTTGGCAAAATATCCCAGCAGACGTCTGTAAGAATTGGTGTTTTCTAACGGGTGATTTGTTAAGAGGTATAGGATTTGATTTAAAAAAAAACAGAAAAAATTTGAAAAAACGATTAAATCTTTATTTGAGTCGATAGAACGGTCGATATAATTTAATGTTTAAAGATTATTTCATGTAAATGTTGGCCGCGGCTCCGCTATAGATGGCCCATGCGCAAGGCCCAATTTTGGCACACTCTCTTCAACATATCGGCCGGTATCTCACGAATAAGTGCTTCAATACTGGCATCCAGTTCGTCAATCGTTGCTGGTTTATCCCTGTAGACATTATCTTCAACATGGCCCCACAAGAAATAGTCCAACGGCGTTAAATCACACGATCTAGGCGGCCAATTGACGGGCCCCAAACGTGAGATAAACTGTTCACCGAACTCGCCTCTCAATAGGGCCATTGTTTCGTGTGCGGTATGGCATGTGGCACCGTCTTGTTGAAACCACATGTAAGCCAAGTCCAGCTCTTCCATTTTGGGCAAAAAAAATGTTTGTTATCATCGCACGCTAGCGCTCGCCATTCACAGTTACGTTCCGGTCATTGTCGTCTTTGAAGAAGTACGGCCCGATGATGCCACAGGCCCATAATCCACACCAAACAGTGATTTTTTCGGGATGCATTGGTAGCTCTTGCAATGCTTCTGGCTGGTCTTCACTCCAGATGCGGCAATTTTTTCGATAAAAATGTGGATCTTCTTCCAACTTTGCCAGCGCCCATTCACCAAATTGGAAACGTTGTGGGAGGTCGTGTGGCTTCAATTCTTGCACCAGCTGTATCTTATAAAGTTTTACACCCAAATCCTGTCGCAAAATTTTCCACGTAGTGGAGTAACAGAGGCCCAATTGCTGCGAACGGCGGCGAATCGACATTTCACGGTCATCACTAACACTGGCGGATACAGCCGCAATATTTTCTTCAGTCCCCACTCTACGTCTGCGTGTTGGTGGTTTAATGTCCAATAATGTAAACTGGGTTCGATATTTAGTCACAAGCTTCCGAATAGCTCCCAGAGTAGGCCGACCAAATTGCCCATAAATTGGAAGCAGTGCTCGATGCACTCTCTTAACCGAGCATGAATTTTGATAGTAAAATTCAATAATTTGCAAGCGTTGTTCGTTCGTAAGTCGATTCATGGTTAAATTATAGACCAAACTGAACAAGTTTGACAATGACACAAGACACGATTCACGCGTCATCTGTCAAAAACAGTGTTGCCAAAAAGATACTAGCAAAAAAATCACCCATTATAATCAGCAGATCTCAGGCAGTGTTGAATGCTAAAGGCTATGCTACCAAATATTAGCTGAACAGTATTTTTTAAATCTTTTTGTAGAGTTATTGTTTTTAATTTTGTAATAAAAAATATGTTTCCATAATTTTGCCGTCTCATTTTTGATCATAAAATACTATGAAGGTATTTTAATGCTAGTCAGTAGTACAACAGCAAACACAAATTATCGTTTGTATCCTCAAGACTGTAAGCAAACTATAAGATGAAAAAATAGGCCTTAATAATAAAGAATAAAAAAATTGCGCACTTTTTAAAAATTACTAAGAATTTTTCCAAACTTTTGTCTGTTACTGCATCTCTTTTTCCTCAAGCCTTGTTATAGATACTGCCACGCGTACCTTTAGGGGTTATTGTTGATTTAGGTAGGCGTTTAAGCAAGTAGTTGTTAAAATACTCACCGAGGATTTAAAACCACCTCATCAATAGCTCTTATTATATTCTCCTCTGTTAAATCGTTATTGCTCAGTTCCACTGCATACTTATTTTCAACCGCAAGTGCCATGTTGGTTTCTTCCACTAAGTCTTTCGGTATTCCAACGACAGGTACTCCAAAGTATGCAGCATCGATTAGGTCAAATAAGTTTCCATTTGTTATGAATGCTTTCACGTTTTTGTGAGCTAAAAATTACGTATTAATAAATTGCAATGTCTCACTAACGATCAGCAAGAATTTACCTAAAACGTTTTCTTGTGGAAGGGAGCTTACAAGTTTCACATTGTCTGGCACTGAACACCCACTGCACGTTATATCTTCTAAATCTGAAAAAAATACATGGCTGTGTATTATAAAAAAATTAAGCCCACCTCTACTCCGAATCAAACACCATGAACGCAGCCCAAGTTTTAGCGGATCACAGTAACACTATGGAAAATGTCACACGATCAATATTTACTATCGTATCATCAGGATAGCGTCTGTAAATTGCTTGGTAATGTAATATCGTACACAGTAATGGAATGTAGATTGACAGTTGAAATATTACTCTTGAATACTGTGGAACTTTATTTTTAAAACGTCCAACTTATTACAGAGTCATGTAATGACACTTGATGACAGCACAAAGTACACTCTGTAATAATTTACTAACGCAGCCCAGTATTTACTGATGACTCCGTCAGTGTCAGTAGACTTCTATGTAACCTTATAATAATTACCCTTACACATCCAGGATACACTGATAATAAATATCACGAACCATGATAAATAATGACGGATCACATTAAACACGGATCGTGTGACATTACGTGTTCCACATGGAACCACTTCTTTTTATTTTATACATAAACGATTTTCCTGCCATAGTAAAAAATTCAAATGTTCGCCGATGACACTTTGATTTAAGTACCTACTCAAAACATTCGAACTGGTATCTCTTACATGAATGAAGTCTTGAAACTTGTTTTAAAATGATTAGCATCGAACTAACTCAAATTAAATACAAGTGAAACGAAAGCTATGTTAGTTGGAAAAAACAATGTACAAATGTTCAACTAAATATTGATGGTGAAGATATTGAATTCATAGAAAATTTTGAATGCCTTTGGGTTTATGTTGACTCTCACTTAAATTTTAATACTCATTATGAGAAAATTATAAACAATATTAGCAGTAAAGTGGGATATTCATTAAGGGTTCTTGGATGTCTGAGTTCATATAGTAGCAAAATTATCTATAATACTATGATTCTTCCAAATTCCGACTATTCTATACTTGCCTAATAATTCCAATTTTGAAAGATTGCAAATTTTACAAAACAGGTGCTTGAGAATAATACCCAATAAACATAAATATACTTCAATTAGACAGATGCAAATTAAAATGGCTCAATGTTTTATCAAATATCTTGTGATGAGATTCATTTGTAAAGTAAAGATAATATTTCCACCAAGTCTAACTAAATTAACATCATCAACCATTTACATAATACCAGAAATAAAGATAACTTCCATTCAATGTCAAAAAATTATAATATACGCTACACGGGTCGATAAATATAACAAATTACATACATAGATAAATGATCAGAATACTTTGACAAAATTCAATTCAAAAGTGGGGAATCGCTTGTTAAATCTACAATTATACTGAGTGGCATTAGAAGTGTTACACCCCGAAAAAATAATTTCTTCAACTTGTTTTTTCGGTATCATAATGACCGTATTTAAAGCATGCTGTGGCAACAATGTCAACGTTTTATCTTTGTTTTTGTTTACCTTTGTTAAAATGTTCTCTTAGTTTCTGTGAAGAAGGCAGTTTCTAAGAGCTGAGTAGTACAGATATTTTTAGTTATTGCCCTTTCATTTACTAGTGTTAAACATAACAAAGTGTCTCGAGTTCGAATACGTCTTAATTATCACCATGTTGGCGACTTTGACAGGGGTAGAAATATTGCCAATCGAGATGTTGGTTTGTCCTATCGCGAAATTGGTCGCCGTGTTAATTGTACTGCAATGGCGGTAATGCGTGTCGTGTGTGGATAGAAGAAGGTAGAGGAACACGAAGAAGGCCAACTGGTCCACCGAGGCGTACCACAGAGCGTCAAGATATATATATATATACATGGTGTAAACGTTATGATAGTCACTATTTAAATGGGTGATAGAGCGAGTTAAAAGAAGCAAAAAGTTTCATATAACATGGGGGTCAAAACGGCATTTTTTAGAGAAAAGCGACTTTAAAGTAAAATAAAATCTGACAACGCCACAATGCCAGACGCAAATTACGACGGAACGCAGTGTAAATAAAGATGGAGTTTGTTATTTTTGGCTCTTAGGTATTATTTCATTATTTAATAATGTACTCGTAAAATGCAAACATTTAAAAAAACGGATTTACCACCAACTGTCTCAGCGCTTCACCATGTGTGTGAAAGTTTATTGAACGTACTAAAAAAATCCACTTATGAATAGGGAACACAATTTTGATACCTACATTGTTTTTCTTTTTAAAACCCACACTGCACTTTTTTGTATTTACAGAAGGTGTTCAAAATGTCGTCCTCCACTTTCGACACAGGCATCATTACGACGAACCCAGTTTCTCCTTACTGAAGGTCCTTGAAGTTGTCCATTTATTATTTCAGCCGCATAAAATTTTTTTTCGCGAAGTTGTGCTTCAGTTGTTATTGGATCAGCCCCATAAACCATCCCTTTAAGTTCTCCCCAATACCAGAAATCCATCGGATTGAGGTCAGGAGATCTTGCTGGCCATTTTCGAGGATCAGGAGCATTTCGACCGATCCAGCGATTTGGATAATGTGCATTCAAATACTGAATGACGACTCTAAAAATGTGTGGTGGTGCCCCGTCATGAAGAAACCACAAATTCTGTCTCCGTTGTAATGGCATGTTGTCTAAGGTCTGTTAGAAAAGTTCTGGTAGGTTATTGGCTAGAAAGCTAAGGTATCTTTCTTCTGACAACTTTGGGGGTAACTCGAAAGGGCCAATTACCTGATCGTCAAGAATACCCGCCCAAATATTTATTTTAAAACGTTGTTGGAAATGACTTTCACGAATGGTATCAGGATTTTCTTGGGCCCACGTGTGAGTATTATGGAAATTTCATATCCCGTCTCGCGTAAAAGTTCATTCGTCCGTCGCTAGAATGTTTTTAAACAAATCCGGATTTTCAATGTTTTTTGTGCAAAAACCACTGACAGAATGTTAGTCTGCGAGGATAGTCTCCTGGTAACAAGGCCTGCACTTGGTACATGGTAGGGATAAAGCAAATTTTCCAGTAGGATTCTATGGACTACGGTATGCGATAGTCCTACGCGGCGGCCTAATTCAAAATTCCTGATTGATTGATTTCCACGATATTTAAAATTCGTTCCTCCTATCTTTCACGAGTGCGAATATTAGTGGGCTGAACACTTCCTGTATCTCGAAGTCTTTGGTACACTTGCACAAATGTCATGTTGTCTAAGGTCTGTTGGAAAAGTTCTGGTAGGTTATTGGCTAGAAAGCTAAGGTATCTTTCTTCTGACAACTTTGGGGGTAACTCGAAAGGGCCAATTACCTGATCGTCAAGAATACCCGCCCAAATATTTATTTTAAAACGTTGTTGGAAATGACTTTCACGAATGGTATCAGGATTTTCTTGGGCCCACGTGTGAGTATTATAGAAATTTAATATCCCGTCTCGCGTAAAAGTACATTCGTCCGTCGCTAGAATGTTTTTAAACAAATCCGGATTCACTGACAGAATGTTAGTCTGCGGTGATAGACTCCTGGTAACAAGGCCTGCACTTGGTACATGGTAGGGATAAAGCAAATTTTCCCGTAGGATTCTATGGACTATGGTATGCGATAGTCCTACGCGGCGGCCTAATTCCCGAGTGCTGATTGATTGATTTCCACGATATTTAAAATTTATTCCTCCTGCTTTACAGTAGGTAACCTATATTTCACGAGTGCGAATATTAGTGGGCTGAACACTGTATCTCGAAGTCTTTGGTACACTTGCACGAATGTCCTTCTGTCTGGGTGTACGGGTTGGCGAAATCTGTCGCGATAAATCTGAGTTGCAAGATTTGAATTCTGACGAGCTTCACCGTAAACTAACAGCATGTGGGCAAACTCTTGATTCGAGAACATTGTAAATAAACACGACTACGTACGCGAACAAAAACAAAACAACACGCCCGATGCTCTGCTCGACAAAACAATAGTAATTTATCTATGCAAAACGATAACTAACCACTGTTACCGTTTGCGATCGATTGCCGGTTCGATAAGAGTGATGACGACGCGCTGTTGTCATGTGTGTTTTGAATATTTAATTTAATGAAACTTACTTACTGACTACAAATTTTGGCTTAACTTAGAAAAACTTAATGCCATTTATTTGTTAATTACCCAATTTAAAAACGTTTTAGATTAGATTATAAAAATTAGTAAAATTGTGGTGATTGTGGTCGATATAAAGCACTTAAAGTTGTAAACTATAAAACCATTTAGGCAAAAATCTATTGACTTTTGGACCATTTGTCATATGAACTTTTTGACTTGTTTTGACCTCCCTATTACCCATTTCAATAATGACTAGCATAACGTTTACACCCTGTATATACTGGTTTGGAGAAGAAGGTAGACCAGTGACTATGCGTACACTCTATCGCCGCATTCGAGCCTTTGGACTTTTTTCATACCGTCCACGACGCGATTCTGTCTGGGTACGCACAATGGTCGTAGAAGATAAGACGCCGCCGTGGAGAATGACGTGATATTGGATTTGCTGTTGAGAGGCATGTTCACAGGACTGTTTGAGTAATGGTTTGGAGGGTTATTGCCTATGGCAGCCGATTACCCCTTCTTTTTGTTCAAGGCAATATGACTGCTGCGCGTTATGATTATGATGTCTTACAACCCATTTTACTGCCGTATCTAGCGGGCCGTCCACACGCCCTTTTTTAGCAAGACAACGCACGTCCCCAAAAAGATCTACGTACTGCGGGCTTTCTTCAAGAATCAGGCGTTAATGTTTTGCCGTGACCACCCCATTCACCGGATTTAAATCCCATCGAAGATGTGTGAGATATGATGAGGAGGAGACTATCCACTTTGCACCATCCGCCACAGACTCTCCCACAGCTAATCCAACAAGTTCGAGTTGCTTGGAATGAGGTGCCACATTTTGTCGATGCCTAGACGTATACAGGAGTGTATTCACACTTCTAATGTCACCGAGTACATAACTTGCCCAGCATCATATAGCTTGAATTTACTAATTCTAAGTTGTTTATAATTATTCTGTTTATGTAGCCAAACGTGCAAACATCTTTCTACTACCACCGCTTGGCAGCATGGTTATGAAGGCGGAAATTATAAGTGATCGTCCAAATAAAGCACATGGTTGGGCGTCTTCAGGATTATGTTAATCAATGATTTGTTAAACTCAACTCAATTCATCACATACCATTATAGGTGAAATCAGTTTTCCACAGCACCTTCATCGTCAATCTAGCAAAAGTCTTCACATATATTTCGGCTTCATCTCTGTTTGCGTATCCAGTATGTAAAATAACACCCTCGTTAGCTTCGTCAAGAAACTTTACAATGTCCCTTGGTACATCTGCATCCTCTTCTACGTGCAGGCCTCCTATCTCAATCATGTTTGGCATGTGGGGGACAGGTTCTGTGATACCAGGCAATGAGTTGAGCAAAATCAAGCTAACATTTTTCATGGCATCGTCCAATTCTATTCCACTAATCCATTGGTTTAGCACTGCCCTTTGAAACGGTTGATCAAACGTTCGTCTGTATAAGTTAACATAGGAGTTCAAGAATAAGTTTCTTACTCTTTGCCAGAAGTTCATAAAACCTGAAATAATTGTTCATTAAATTGAGGAATTAGATATACTGAGATCATTTAATGTTAGATGAGTAAGTTATATGTAACCTTGTAGTCTTATTATTTAAGCCACTCCTAGCACAACTTGCGAATTTGAGGCAGAATTTCTTATTCAAGCACATGGTGAAGGAATAATTTCCTTTCCTCACGAGGGCGACGTACTGCCAGCAGTCGAAGAAGACCCGAGTATGTCAGTACGTAGAAGCAAGCACGGTAGGGCTATTACATAACTTGAAAAGTGACATTGTCTTTTTTGACATTATGTACTGTAGGTTTTTTATGACATTATGTAGGTTTTCGTACAAGACGTCAACTTGGGACTAGCTGTCGTTCACTTCATGCTCACCTGTAGCAAGCGTGGAATAAACTATTTGCACACTAGCCTACTTAGTCAACAAGTAGACATTTTGTCGTTTCTTTTTTGTTGGCATTATATAGGTTTTTTACGTAATAACCCTGCGGGAGTGCTCAAAAGTACAGCTCACCTGAGTTGTGTGAAACAATGTTACAGAGACACCGGAAAGATCCGCGATTTTTAAAGAAAATTTTATGGACTTATGGTCGACATTTAAAAAAGATGGTTGCACGAATCTACACAACTTACACGAGAAATATGTAAAAAAATCCACATTTGATAAGACAAGATATATCACAGTATCTTTTTAAAGTAAACTTGTGGACAGGGATCTTAAATGGCCAGTCCGTTCACCTGACTTAAATCCAATCGATTTTTTTGCTGGGGAGCGGTGGAATAAAAAGTTGACTCAAGCAAATCGAAAATTTAGCTGAGCTACAGAACATAATTTTATAAATACATTCACGAATTACTAAAACTGGCGTTACTATCTGTCTTGCTGTCACTACGTAGAATGAAACTGACCGTCACTCCGTCTAAAAACATATCGAATTAAAAGCTCTTCACAGGGTGTAGATTTCTCCGTCTTTTAAGGCCTATAATTTGTAATAGTACACGACTTTGTATAGTCAAACACAACATCCATGGCTAGAAATGCAAGTTCCGAAACCTGAATTTGAACCAGAAAGTCTAAGGCCCGTATCGTCAGTCGTCCGTATAATTGTAGGGAGCCTTTATGGCCTCCTTGATTGTCATAGTTTTCTACTTTTCCGTGTCAGCGCTCTATTTTGAGGTTATGTCACAAACATCTATTTGCATCAAATTGTGCTTGCTTTTGAGTTATATCATGTTTTATCAGCATGAAATTTCCTACAATTTAAAAAGAAAACATATCTTCACAACAGGAGAGCGCTGACGCTGACACGGGACAAGTGTAATCTAGAAATTTTTGAAGGAGAGAAAGGAGTATGACAATCAAGGAGGCCATAAACGCGCCCTACAATTGTAGGGACGACTGACGATACGGGCCTTAGAGCCGATGTGATATCAGTTCGATGCTCTAACGCACCTAGCTACTCAGCACCTACTGACACCTCCCACAGGTCCCGTGGCAAAATTTCCATTTAGATCTCTCGTTGTTACCAGCAAATGGCGTTTTGGTACCTTTGTATAAATTAAGGAAGGTGTACTCGAATATGACCATTAAGAAATCGTGGAATTTTGGGAAATCGAATTCCAGGCAGAAAATGTATCGCACGGTATTAAATCTAGTTATTTTACCTGTATATCCACTGAAGACGTTTGGGATAAATGCTGCAGGTGCAGGATTTGCAAAAATGTGATTTTCTGCTGCACTAGAAGGTCGTGGCGATAACAACACAACAGGTGCATTGAATTTTTGCCCCAGTCCAATCAGAGCATCATTTATTGAGTATTCTAGTATAATCAGGTCAAAGTGTTTATTGGACTGAAGTAACACTTGAAAGTTGTTGTCATTCAACATAATTTCAGAGAAAAATAAACCAGTGTCGTACTGATGGATCAGATTGAAAATGAATGATTTTTCTTGCTCATTGAGTGGTTCCTGGAAATCTGGAAAAAATAAAATTTACTATTGCAACAGGAGTTACCATATGCATTGAGAATCAAATTAGTCTGACGGCTTGAGTTCAATGTGTACGAGAGAGAAGTGTGTAGATATATATGTATATGTTAGAAACAGATAGCGAAGCTTATCACCGCGTTGCTAACAATATGTTACACCAGTTCCTTGAATTAAGATGCATACTGAAAATATGCGTTAGTTTTTTCTTTACGCTCAAATAATGGTTTTATTTTAAGCGTAAAAAATTTTGAATAGTGAATTGTGTCGAATCTGTTTGGGATTGATTTCCAATCAGTCCTAACGGCGCTCCATTTTAGGTCGAAATGAAAGGTCAGGATCGCCACAATTTCTGCAACATTGCATCATTGATTCGCTTGGCAACACCGCATCTCGAACATTCCAAGTCAAGATTTCCACCTCAATGATCATAGATGAGCGATTTTGGTCAGAACACATCTAGCGCTCATTGGGGAGTGTCGTCCTGCTTCGAAATGGTTTTCACCTGCGTACACGCAGGAAGTGATAATTTGTAATTTTATTATTATTTAATTATAGATCATTCTAAACCAAATTAAAACACTCAGTCGCATCAAAATTAAAATAAGCCTGTGCGAACATTTTCTGGTGTAACATATTGGTAACGCGGCAGATTGCAGTACCTTCTGCGTCACCATCGCTAGACAATTAATACAATTTCCCCCAATAAATTTAGAGAAGGAGGCATATTAGAGGAGCATAACAAACATGATGACCTTCGCTATTCAGCCGGCTTCGATCTCTTTCTGGTATATGTTGATACACACTTCTCGGTCTTCTCTCTCGTACACATTGAACTCAAGCCTTCAAACAAATTTGGTTTTCCCTGTAGAATGCCATGCAGAATATTACTTCTGTTCTGCTGGCTGCCAAATGAACCACTGAACTATGTTGCATTAAAAATTTACCCCCAAACACGTGAGCAGTAGTCGAGGCTAGGTCTAATATGGGTCTTGTACAGAGTGTGGAGGTCATGTATATAGGGTGTTCCTTAACGATATGCGAATATTTGAAGGTGTGAATCTACATGAAAAAATAATGTTAGTTTGCTTTATAAACTATTTATAAAAAAATAAAAACCGTTCTATTGTCTAACTTGCAAAATTATTATTAATTTAATTGGAAAAATTAAACACATTAGGGGTAATGAACAACAACTGATAACATAAACATAACATTAAAACCAACGAAATGATTACAAAAATTGTTGAAAATGGCACCCTTTACTTAGTATGCATGCTTCCGCCTGCCTTCTCATGGAATTGCGCACTCGTTGAAATATCCCTGGAGTGTTTTTTATTCTATCACAAGCTGCAACTATTCTTTCTCTTAATTCCTCTACAGTGTTAATGGGACTTGTGTAAACTAGTGTCTTAAGATAGCCCCACAAAAAGAAATCTAAATTGTTGAGGTCTGGGGACTTTGGTAGCCATTCTTCGGGCCCACCGCGGCCAATCCAACGATTTGGATAAACAGTTTGTAAATAATTACGAACCGCTACACTGAAATGCGCTGGTGCACCATCATGCGTGTACCACATATTGTTTCTTATTACTAATGGAACATCATCAAGCAGCAAAGGCAACTGTTGATGAAGAAAATTGAGGTCTGTCCGTCAAGTCGTCCCGGCAAGAAGTAAGGGCCAATAAAGTGGTTGCCAATAATTCCTGCCCATACGTTAATCGAAAATTGGTGTTGGAAATGAGTTTAGGTTACGGCATAGGGGTTTTCTTCTGCCCACAAATGATTATTGTGGAATTTCTGAATGTCATTTCGAGAAAAATCAGCATCGTCCGTGAACAGAATCATTGATTCAAATTGAGGATTTTGTGTAATTTTTTGAAGATACCACTGACAAAAGGTCACAAGCCGTGGAAAATCAATAGGAAGTAATGTCTGAACTCTTAAAATACGGTAAGGGTATAACAAAAAATCCACTAAAATTCTCCAAACAATTTGATGGCAAATATTTAAGTGTCTAACGGTCTTTCTCGTACTCGTTTCAGAATGTTCTCCGACAGCACTGCTTCCTCAATTTCAGGTATTCTCACACTTAGAGGTCTACCTTCAGATGTTCCTTTTCGGACAGAACCAGTTTCAACAAGACGACTATGAATATTAGAAAAGGTTCGACTATCTGGCAAAGTACGATCGGGATATCTCTGGTGATAAATCCGTCTGGCTTGCTCACCATTACCGTCGGCAAGGCCATAGGCATTTGAATAATTCACCTTTATTAACAAGATTGTAAAAACTAAATAATGAAAAAGATGTCACAGAGAACAGATTTGAATAACAGAGACTTGTCAGTTGTCAAAAGCCAGTGACATATTCCAGAGCAACTAGGTATTTATTACTAAATTGCATTCTTCAATTATTACATTAATTTTCTCGACAATAGAACGGTTTTTATGTTTTTACTCAAAAATGGCGCATCGAAGGAAAACAATTCAAGACAGATCATTTATTTTAAATTGAACGGGGAATTCAAAAATATTTTTTATTTGGCAAAAAACCATTGGCGTACCATTTTTTTCTTGAAAAAATCGAAGTCAATACCCGTACACATGCCACTGTTAAAGCTAAAATTTATTTTTGCATTGAAAAATAAGCGGTTCTGAAAATATTAATTCATTTCCATTTTTTTCCTAAAACTTCAACACCCCGAGTTTTTGTAAGGAAACATTTTTGGACCATAGTTTATAAAGCAAACTAACATTAATTGCTCTGATGATTCATAGCAGTTTTTGATCTGAATCTAACAAAACAGAATAAAATGGGCAGTTGGCCGTACTATAAATCAGCAGGTGCAAACACCTCGTAGTTTATTGATGAGCTTGAAACCATGCTTGGGATTCTAACATCAGTGATAAATGAAGTTTTCTTGGGTGAATTTAATATTGATCTGTTGAATAGTCAATCCCATAATTCTTTTCCTGTCAATAATCTTCCATTAGTCTTAGAAAATTAATCAAAGAATTGACAAGATTGACTTTATCTTGTCAAATCTTAAATGATCTAATTTGCATTTCAAATATTGATCATCAAGTCATCGTTGGTTGTCAGAGCGGTCCGTGGGACCTTAGCTCTTGAGTCACAGTGTCAGTTTGTAAGTCTGTCAGGTCTGGTAACCCAGAAACCAGATAATTTTAAGGATTCAAATATTGATGTTGATGTTCTATTTTTGGAAGTCACTTCTGTCAGTATAATTAGTGATCATGAACTAGTATCTTGCACATACTGAATATGAAGAAATTAAATACCTCTATGGCTCACACATACTGAGATTATTCTAATCTAGAAATAAATTAGCTTACATCTGAAATAAAAATTTCTTGGTCTATTTTGTATGATTTAGATAACAATGATGAAAAAATAGAGTTCTTCAATTCTACAATTCTAGCTCTACAAGACTGACATGCTCCTATCCTAATCAGAATCTCTTCCAAACTGTGTAAACCTTGGATCACAGAAAATATTAAATTTTTTCTTTGTCAGATGCAGCTTGTACAAATTTTGAGAAACAAAAACATTAGAAGCATTCGACTATAAGGAGATCAAAAATTACACAAGCGTAATAAGGCATAAAACAAAGGTGTCTATGGAGAAAATTTGGGACAAAGGAAGTAATGTTTGGAAGAGTTTGAGTCATCTGAATATGCATACAAAAAAGGAGAGTACTGGTATTCTAGATTCATTACGTAATGTTGAGTGATGAAAACTATAATGCCAGAACAAAATAGCAGCAAAAATGATGTTTTCAGATAAGGGTTCTCACTAGTGAATGGCACTTTAATATGAGCAAAGATGCTGGTGTAACCTCCAAAAAAGCTACAGAGTATATGTTTATGTTAGTATCTTCTTAGCATATTGTTTGTGGTACACCATTGTTACCAATATGACATTCTTACAATAACTTACTGAAGTATTTATATATTTAGCATGTATTAGTAGTTTCTTAAATTTACATTAAAAATAAAACTGTATATCTATATATTCTATCCTATATGGGATAGGTGCTTAGAAGCTTATAAGCCTATTGAACAGCCTCTTTTATCAGGCACTAGACGACTAAGGCTCCATATATTTTAAAAAGATTTTTAAAACTTACCCTTGATCAGATACTGAAAATATTCCAAAGGAAAATCAACATAATTCTTGATTGTATTATTTTGGGGGAAGTGACTAACAACAGTTATTTTATGCCCCTTTCTAGCCAATTCTTTCATTAATCGAGACCCCAACTTGAAGTTTTCTGGTCTAGGGCTAGGAAAAACGCCCAAAATTTCTGCTGGCTCTGCATAATTCACAAATAATGTTAACAATATCACAAAACCTGCTTTGATCATTTTCTGCTTTTTTTAAATCGTTTGTTTAGTCGCCGCTTTGTTATTTTCACTAATGTAATTTGCTTATATAGTCGGTCTTATCCAAACATCATAAATCTCTGTTCTCCAAGAGATATTTGCATTCTTTTGAAAAATATACAATTGTTTTCACTATCTATTATTTTTGTATCATGGATTTTCCGTCAGGTGCTGTCAATCTGACAATTCTGCGTTCCTTTTTTGATCGGAGCTGTGTTCGTCTTAACATGGCATTAACGGATATCGTTTTTTTTCTGGCACTTTTCTCAATTGTAAACCACTCAGTTCGGTATTCCACTTGTATAGATGATTGTACCATTAAAAGATGCTTTATATTTTTGCCCTTTACATCTTTGCACACGGGTGAATGTAATGCGGGTCCCACATGATGCTTCCAACGTTTTTTACAACGTTGTTTACCACGTTCGACACCCCACAATTGGCAAGTGTGTCTCCTACCGATGGGATGAACTTTTAATTAGTCTTGGACGTTCGACGCATGGTGGTGCCAACGTCTATTATCGGTACTACTCGTCGTTGCTTCTCAAGGCGGTCCGGAGGACCTTAGCCTTTAGGTCACTGTAATGTCAGTGTCTGTCGTCAATCTGTCAGGTCTGGTGGCCCAGAAACCAGACTAGTTGTAGGGGAAAGGGGTGAGGGAGAAAGAAAGGAAGGAAGTAGGAGCGAGAAGAGAAAGAAAAGGAATTGTTTTATGTAAATATATGTGGTGTGATAGATCTAAGAACTGTTACATTATACTATATAAATTTTTGACCTGTCTTGAACTGAATTTTGGATCTTTGGTTTTTAAAAAAATAATTTTTAAAGGTCTAAACATGAATTTAACTTTGTTCACAGTGCGAGTCGCGGCCTATCTATAGGCTGCGGAAAGATCGCTTGCAACGCCTGTGTTGCGCTTATCAGAGGAGTAATAATTTGTTGGAGTGACTTGAGCGCGGTCGCCAGGTCTACTTGTTGAGAGTTCAAAGCAGGAGCTGCGGCTGAAGTGGCAGGAGCTGAAGGCTTGGCTGTCATTACAGCATAAGATTTATGGCGCCTTTCGGCTATAACCTGAAGGTTCGTCTTAGGAGCGAACCTGCACGTTGGACTGTTGGCAGGATGCCCGTCCCCGCAGTTTGCGCAATTGCGTAGCTCCTGTCTTGTTTGGGGGCACAAATGTGTTAAGTGGTTCTGTGCACATTTTACACATTTGGGTGGCGCTGTACAGTAAGACTGAGCGTGCCCATACCTCTGGCAGCGGTGACACTGGCCAATGAGTTTATTATTCTTTTGAACCTCAACCTTAATTGAGAGGCCTAATAGTTCTTTTTCATTGAATAATTCATGTGATTTTTCGATTTTAGGTAGTATCACCACTACCAACGGCATGGGAGTGCCCAAACTGCGTTTTAATCTGATCAAATCATTATCTCTTCCTCGTTGAGTGACGCGGAAATACCTCGTAGGACAGCATGTATGTTTCTTTCCGATGGCAGAGGAAAGGTATGATGGGCAATATTTTGCTCTTTGAAATGCCGAATTATCTTTCTGTAATCGTCCTCCGTTCTTAATCCCTAGAATAATACATTGATAATTGACGTTTCTCCACTTTTCTGGCTCCCTCAGCACGACCGGAGTGATGCGCCTTGGTTGAAGCTGCTGCGCCGCTATGCTGGCAGAACCAGAAGGTGCAGCCCTAGTATAGGTCTGTATATGTGAAGTTGTTGTGTGCGATGTATCAATGAGTGGATGAGTATTAATTTGTGAAAAATGCGTTACTGTAGAAGCAGATTGAGCTGGTAAAGGAGGGAAGTCTTCTGTCGCATGTCTAGCCGTTGTTCGTTTTTTCCTTTGTCTGGCTGGCGTAAACCCGTCGCACCGTACGCTGTCATCCGAAAGAGCGTCGTTGTCAATTGGATCCTGATTTTCAGGTCTACGTTTAAGGCTGTCACTACGGGAATTTCTACTTTGCTGTGTATTCAGTGCTGTAACCGGGCCGTCAAGTGGTCAATACTATGATTGAGGCTCTTGATAAGATCCGCCTGGTCTGCAATCTGCTGGGCCTGCTGGTGTATCTGGTGGGCCTGCTTTTCAATCATAGTCGTCCGCCCCTGGATGGTAGAGTTGTCGCTGTCATCTGGCATATCTGGGTTTTAATCTTGTTTTCCAATTTTGGGTGCAGTTCTGGTAGAGTCTGCATTGCTGGAGGAGGACCGACCATCCTCCGACCCTTCCAGGTCCACGTCCATTTTTTTTCTCTGGCCTTTTATTCACAAAAATGAAAAAATTTCGCGGAAGGAGATTTTTGACGTTTACAATCAAAACCCTGTACGGGGCGATTTTTGTCTATTATCGCTGTCAGTGTAGCGCTTGAACCTTTACAACTGAATGAAAAATTATACAAAATAAACGATGAAACAATTTTTTCGAGTGCCGAAAAATAATCAGATCTGTCCTCAGCGACTAAAACTTAAGTCTGTCAGAAGTCTAAAAAATGACAAAAACGAAGTTTGACCGTTTTTTGTTTGTTTTTCGAGGATAGCTTCACCGCCACTGTATCGATTTTCAAAAACTGCAGAGCTTTTTCGTCATTTTCATTTTTCATTTTCAACCTAGGGTCAAAATTTCATCAAAATCGTGATAGTACTTTCCGAGTTATCATTTATTTAATCTTTTTCGTTAGTTATGAAATGGAATATTGCTCAACTAGTCTTGCATTGCAACAGGACATTATAATGAAAGAACTGTAAGCACTTGATAATTTCTAATTTACGAAAATACATATTCTTAGGCAAGCCATAACTCACCTGCGAAACGTACAAAATATTAGCAATATGAAAAAAGTGTTGTTATGGCAGCGTATGCTTTGTATGTATACTAATTTAATCCATTCTCCTCAAAAGTTAGTTAGCCATGTGGCGAACGCTGGACACATGCAATACATCAGCGCTCTCCCACACGATGTGGCGAATGGTCATGTGTCCAACGCTGTAAGGCATTCGCCATATCGTGTGGGAGCTGTTTAAACGTGCGTCATTTAACACTGACAGGTGACTGATGCATTTCAGTGTTGTGTCAAGTTTGTACAATGGAACACAGTAATACAAAATTTCTCGGCTTGGTGCTTGGCGCGTGGTATGTAAAAATTTCCGACTTTTTTTCAAAAACTGGTAATGGCAGATTCTATAGATGACCTCTTTGACTGCTTTGAGGAGTCTGACAATGTTAAGATCGAGGAAAACGAAGGTAGTGCATCGGAAAACGAGGAAACCTCAAATAGGTTAGTACCGTTAGGGCTTAACCTCAAACAGACCAACTTTTTTAATTCTTTCATAAAATCCTGTTTTTTGCAGTGGGGCCGTCAAGAGGAAAAATATCGATCTTGAAGGCGACAATATTTCGCTGAAGAAATGCCGATCCGATGAAGTCAATGTTGACGATATAAAGTGAGTATTTCTTTGCCCATTCCAACATGTTCACATTTATAGGTCGGCCGGTTCATCGTACCCATTTCAAGTTATTTTTTCATTCAATATGAAGCAATTGAGCAGGTATGCATTTTAATACACCAAAGTATTTGTACATGGTAATAGGTACTCCTATCTGAATTAGGTACATACCTTGCCTTTCACATAGTGTGAATCAAGTGTCAAATAACTTAAGAGCAGATTTAGCAGTGGGTCATGTCTCCCTACTGATCATATCAAAATTGGGAGATCAACCACTAATATTTTTATGATCTTATAGAAAATTGTGATATTAAAATGTATCCCAATATCAAAAAGTGTTTATGCATGTTTCTCACCATATTATTTACTGTAGCAACAGCAGGGGTGTCTTTTGTTCTCAGAAGGCTCAAAATATGGCTGAGAGTGACTATTGTAGTTGACTACCTAACTGGACTAGTACTTTGTGTCCACAAAAATTATACCTATTGATCTAGAAGAAGTGATAAATCATTCATTCTACAAGAAAGGAAAAATTGAGACCTGTCTTACCCCCTCACTTGAAAATGACTGTTATCCTGACTTGAAAGACTGCCTTGCAAAATCAAAGCTAGGTGGACAACTTAAGCCTGACAGATGTATGAGTTTTTTTTAACTGGAGAAACAGGGAAGGTGGGATTCATATCAGGTATCGAAAACAATCCTAAAACTTGTAGTTTGTAAACAAGGGTGGATTTAAGTATCTGTCTAAGCTGTGGTCACAGCATTCTTTGTCAGGAAGATGTTTGTCTCGCTGCTTATAAAAATATGGATATCTTCTTGAAGAGATATAAAACTCTGATGTATCCAAAAAAGTTTTTCAGACAACTCTAAGAACTTTTTGATAGCCATAGAACATTGCTCAATTTAGTTGGTAAGTCAAAATCACTCTAAAGATGATAATGATTTTAAGATTCATATAAGAAATTTCCTGATCCAAAATGCTTCTTGCAAAATTGATGATTTTCCAAATACTGATTTTAATGTTTAGTGATAGTTCAAAACTTATAAATGTGATGTAACATGTAAGTGGCTTTCATGCTACAGGGTTTGTCCGGAAAGTAATAGGACTGAGTCGATTTAAAAAAAAATATTGAGCCAATCATTACAATTCTTTAAAAACTTTTAAAATAGGCTCCTTCTGCGTCGATGCAGCGCTGCCAGCGCGATTTCCAAGCATTGAAGGCGTCACGGAAGGCATTCTCCGGAATAGCTTTGAGAGCCGCGGTGCATGCTGCTTGGAACCCCTCTGTCGTCTCAAAATGCTTGCCTTTCAACGGCCTTTTTAGGCGAGGAAACAAAAAAAAGTCCGGGTGTTGGATGCCGGCCTTGGTCAGGTAGCTGTTCACAAGAAAGGCGGTGTGAGCCGGGGCGTTGTCGTGGTGCAACTTCCAGTGGCTGCGATGTCTTCGTTTGAGTCTCCTGAGCACTTCCACGTAAAACTTGGCGTTGACGGTTTGTCCAGGAGGAACAATCTCATGGTGGACGATGCCTTTGATGTCAAAAAAGACAATGAGCAGTGTTTTCACTTTGGATTTGCTTATTCTTCCCTTTTTTGGGCGAGCAGACGCCGTCGTGTGCCACTCGGAAGATTGCCTCTTTGTCTCGGGATCATACTCAAAGATCCACGACTCGTCACCTGTGATTACGTTATTCAAAAATTGGAGGTCACTTTCACACATGTTCAAATTTTCTTGGCACACTTCCACTCGCCGCAGTTTCTGGTCGTCAGTGAGCAGTTTTGGAACCATCTTCGCGCACACCTTGCGCATGTTCAAATGCTGTGTCACAATGTCATGAACCACAGATTTTGGTAAATTTAACATCTGGGCAATTAAACGAATACTTAGGCGACGGTCTGAGTTCAAAACTTTGCGCACACGAGTCACATTATCGGTGTTTATCGAAGTCGAAGGTCTTCCAGCACAGTCTTCATCAGCGACCTCTTCCCGGCCATCCAAAACGCCCTTGTGCCACCGAAACACACCACTTCTTGCTAAAGCAACACCTGGGTAAGCCTGCTTGATCATCATTTTATTCTCCACTACATTCTATATGCAACAATTATAATTCCATAGCAGACAGTTCTGACATTAATTTTGATTGTATCAGTAAGATCGTGTCGAATTTCAGGTACTATTTTAATAGCTAGTTCTATTTTTTAAATTAGTTTTAGGTATACATTACATGTATGAATTATAAGTAAAGTTACCATGATATTGTCCTTTAATTGGAATAGTTCTGTTGGGCAATAATGTATAAATAAATAAATAAATAAAATAAATATCAAACGTCTCTGTCGCAGATTTACCAAGTTTCACACAGAATTTAATCGCGTACCTCTAATCTAACGAAAGCTGCATTTTCGGCTTGCACCACTCACAGAACCACGTCGCGCGAAAATGCCTGTCCTGACTATCCAAGTGCTCGGACACAACGGACCAGCCGCTCATTCGTTAGCTAGGAACGCCCTCTACCGAATCCAGTCGGTTCGCGCACGCTCCGAAGTACAGTCATGGCGGAAGAAAATGAGTCCTATTACTTTCCGGACAATCCCTGTATATGATGCGATTTTTTTGTTCTGTGTTATGACAATTGTAAACAATTTTTTTGTACTAGGATGAATAAATAACTGAAATAAAACAATTTGGAAAAGCTGACTGACAAAAATGTGCTCTTGTTTGAAATTGATAGAAGGATCCATTTTTAACATGAACAGTTTGTCAAGCTGAGCCTCTTATGCCTAATAGGGTAATTAATGTCTAGATATCAAAATTCGCGAGTTGGTTGTGGCCAAGAACTAGTGGCAAGGACATTAATTCCCACCAGATTTTTATTCTATTGGTCTAGACCAAAGGTAGAAACAACTATAATAATTTACAAGCTTTAGTAATATAAATCTATTCTATTATATCACCTTTATTCTAGTTTTGAAGAACTGAAGCATCGTCTGGTGATTCACACCATTGACACATTGGATTCATGTACCCATGAGGTCGCTTGTCCACCTGGCCATAACTATGTCCCTATGCAACAGTCTAAAGGAGAACCAGCCAAGACATACCCTTTTACCCTTGATCCTTTCCAAAAAGAATCTATCCTCTGTGTAGATAATAACCAGTCAGTCCTTGTGTCTGCTCATACATCTGCTGGCAAAACTGTGATTGCAGAGTAAGTATCAAAGTTCTGTTGAAATTGTTATTGGTTTAGCCTGTTTATTGATTTTACTTGATAGTATATGTATAAATGTTGACATATTATAGTGAATCAAAGTGACAGACATATTTTATCACCTTCCATAATTTTATACCTTTTATCTTAGCAACTTGGGGAATATGAAAACTGTATCACTTGTTCTTTCATTATTAAAACTATTGGAAAATAGAACCATTGGAAACATGACAGCAAATTAAGCAAAAATACAATCAAATGACGTCAGTGCGAAGTGCGCCAAAAATGCGGCGTTAAATCAAAGTCTTTGCCATTACAATTTTAAATATTTAATTAAAAAGATATACAGACATTTCAAAGAATTAAGTATGTGCTCAGGATATTAACGTAATCGACATGGAATACAAAAAAATAAAATAAAAACGTGGATATTCCGTATTGTAAAATGTATATTAGTTTAGGTGCTCCTGTAATACTCTTATGCTGATAAAATAGATATACACATATCCACTCTTCATTTTGTTAATAAAACTTTTCAACCTATCTGGGTCTACTAGGCTAAATTGAACTATATATATATTACAGTAAACATATTTTTAGATATGCAATAGCTGTTAGCTTGAAACATAAACAGAGGGTAATTTATACTACACCTATAAAAGCTCTGTCAAATCAGAAGTATCGTGAGTTTCTAGATGAATTTAAAGATGTTGGATTGGTCACTGGTGATGTTACTATCAATCCAAGTGCTTCATGTCTTATCATGACAACAGAGGTAAATATTTGGGATTGCAATTTGAATCGCAGAAATAGATTTCACTAAAAGGGTCAGATGCATAGTAATTCCTTGAGGTTTCCTTATTGATGACAAGGACGTCTTATTTGTCACTTGGAAGGAGTTTTTTTTAGATCTGATCTCTCCTTATTTACATTTATCATTTGCAATCTGACACTTCATTCAGAATGTGGTTTCCATAGGCATAGAACCAAAATTGGTGAATCAATGTACAAAGGGTACTATAAAAGTTTTGCAATATGACTTAACAAACGGACGCAGGAGGCTGCATGTTACTGCATGTTAATGAGTGTTTAGTAGCCACCAGCAGCACGTCTGTTAAATTAGTTATTCATTCGTATTGACAGTGTAAAGTGCGGACTATGGTATCGTGGTCACGTAGTGAGATAAGGGCAATTTTACGGTATAATTTTTCGCGTGGTTTAAGCATATACCAGCGCTTAGAAAAAGTGACGCTTGCATTAAAGAATGATCGTCCTCATCATACGACTATATTCAGGTGGTACAGAGGGGCAGTTTCTCTCTGGAGGACGCTGACGGGGAAGGCCGCGAACGTCAGTATCAAAGAAAAACATTACTGCTGTGAAGAAAATGCTTGACGAAGACCGGAGAGTGACATACCAACAGATAGACGAGACCTTACACCTTCATGCACCAGCAATTCATTCAATTCTGCATGACCATTTACACGTAAGGAAACTTTGTTCCCTTTGGGTACCGCATAGTCTGACGGGAGAGCAGAAGACTCGTCGTACGACTTGGTGCCGAAAGACGCTGAAAATGTTTGATAAAGGGCAATCTCAGCATCGTGACAGTGACGAGACTTGGCTCTACTATTACGATGTGCCGACCAAGGCTCAAAACAAAGTTTGTGTCTTTGATGGTGAAGACGCACCCGTAGCTGTCAGAAAATCCTGATCTGTTAAGAAAAAAATGATAGCTGTATTTTTCAAATCGCGCGGGATTGTGGAGCATGTCGTTTTGGACACACAGAAGACAGTCGCAGCTAAGTGGTACACGAAACAGTGGCTGCCTAAAGTCATAGCGTCTATGAAAAACCTGCGGCCGAAGTCAAGTATACAGTTGGTACCTCCACCATGAAAATGTTCCAGCTCATCGCGCCAAAGCCTGCATCGAGTATTTAACTACTATTGGATTGAAACTTATTGAGCACCCTCCTTACAGTCCAGATCTTGCTCCTTGCGACATTGCACTATTTGCGCATGTGAAAATGAAGCTAAAAGGAATACGGTTTTCTAGAGATTAGTTCCTTTTGAGAGCTTGGGACAATGAGTGTGCTGCACTCCCGGGTGAAACTTGGCAGAGCTGGTTTAAGGACTGGTTTTAACGGATTGAGAAGTATATTGAATGTTGAGGAAATTACTTTGAATGAAGTCAATAAATAAATCTGTATTGCAAAACTTTTATAGTACCGTTTGTATTTCTTAAAGAAAGTAGTGAAATAAGGAAACCTCAAAAATCATGATCAAAACAACAAGAAGGTCTCATATTTAACAAGACTGCCTTCTTCCTTGATAAATATGTATGACAACCATTTTTTTTACTCCTGTTTGTCCATATTGTCTAGGTAAATAAGGCGTCCTCACAATAAGGAGACCTAAAGTGATAGAATAAGAATAACTATGCATTGGCTCTTAAGTCTCGGAAGCTATATTTTTTAAACCATTTGTAGATTCTGCGTAACATGCTGTACAGGGGCAGCGAAATAATGCGCGAAGTAGGTTGGGTGATATTCGACGAAATCCATTACATGAGAGACAAAGAGCGAGGTGTAGTTTGGGAGGAAACGTTGATCTTGCTTCCTCACAACGTCAAATTCGTTTTCCTGTCGGCCACGATACCTAACGCACGTCAGTTCGCCGAGTGGGTAGCACATTTGCACCACCAGCCATGTCACGTGGTATACACGGACTACAGGCCTACGCCGTTGCAGCACTTTGTCTATCCTGTTGGAGGAAGTGGTATACATATGGTCGTCGATGAAACGGTTTGTAGAAGCAGAAACCGTACAAATGCATAGACTGCTCATGAAGTAATGATGATAACGCTTCACGGAATACTACAGGGTGTAAACGTTATGGTAGTCGTTATTGAAATGGGTAATAGGGGGGGTCAAAACAAGTCAAAAAGTTCATATGACCCATGGTCCAAAAGTCAATAGATTTTAAATGGCTTTACAGTTTACAACTTTAAGTACTTTATATCGACCACAATCACCACAATCTTAATAATTTTTATAACCTAATCTAAAACGTTTTTAAATTGGGTAATTAACAAATAAATGACAAAGTCAAAGCCAAAATTTGTAGTCAGTAAGTAAATAAGTTTCATTGAATTAAATATTTAAAACACGCATGACAACAGCGCCTCGGTCTTTCATCACTCTTATCGAACCGGCAATCGATCGCAAACGGTAACAGTGGTTAAATATCGTTTTGCATAGATAAATTACTTTATCGTTTTGTCGAGCAGAGCATCGGGCGTGTTGTTTTGTTTTTGTTCGCGTACGTCATCGTGTTTATCTACAATGTTCTCGAATCAAGAGTTTGCCTACATGTTCTTAGTTTACGGTGAAGCTCGTCAGAATTCAAATCTTGCAGCTCAAATTTATCGCGACAGATTTCGCCATCGGGTACACCCAAACACTTCGAGATACAGGAAGGGTTCAGCCCACTAATATTCGCACTCGTGAAAGACAGGTTACTGTAGAGCAGGAGGAACAAATTTTAAATATCGTGGAAATCAATGCAGATATCAGCACTCGGGAATTAGACCGCCGCGTAGGACTATCGCATACCATAGTCCATAGAATCCTACGGGAAAATTTGCTTTATCCCTGCCATGTACAACGAGTGCAGGCCTTGTTATCAGAAGACTATCCTCGCAGACTAACATTCTGTCAGTGGTTATTGCACAAAAACATTGAAAATCCGGATTTTATTAAAAACATTCTAGCGACGGACGAATGTATGGGGTTGTCCAAAACGGACGCAGGAAAGTAAACGCATATTAAAACAAGAAAGATTGATATTCAAATCAAGTTGGGTGCTTTATTTTGAAGGTTCATTTATACCATTTATGTATGAAAAATAATATCGCTCAAATGTTCACCACGACTGGATTTACAGACGTCCACGCGATGGTCGAAATTTTCAATGACATTTTGCAACATGGTCGGTTCTATGGCATTTATCTCGGCAATGATGTTGTTTTTGAGTTCTTGGAGGGTGGCTGGTTTGTTGACGTAGACTTTGCTTTTCATATATCCCCATAAAAAGAAGTCCAAGGGAGTCAAATCGCACGATCTTGGTGGCCATGGCACATTTCCTCTGCGCGAAATCACGCGATCACCGAAGAAGGACTGCAATCGATTGATATTGACGTTGGTTGTGTGCATGTTGCACCGTCTTGTTGGAAATAAACATCGTCCATATCCATTCCTTCAAGTTGTGGCAAAAAATAGTCCTCTATCATCACGTGATATCGCTCAGAATTGACGGTAACGGCGACCCCGGCCGCATTTTCGAAAAAGTAAGGTCCGATGATGCCTTTTGACCACAATGTACACCACACAGTCACTTTTTGAGGATGTATCGGCTGCTCTTGATACTCACGGGGATTTTCGTTCGCCCAGATGTGGCAGTTTTGCTTGTTTACCGTCCCATTCAAAGTGAAATGCGCTTCGTCGCTGAACATGATTTTTGATGAAAAATTGGCATCAATTTGGCGGTGTTCAAGGAGCCAATCTGAGAACGTTCGGCGCGAAAAATGGTCGGCCCGACGCAGCTCTTGCGTCAATTGGATCTTGTAGGCGTGTACATTCAAATTCTTGTGGAGAATGCGGAGCCAACTGGTTCTCGAAATGCCCAATTTTTGGGATCGACGCGTGGCAGATTTGCCACAGAACCTGTTGCCTCCAATTTACGCACCAGACGACCGATGGATGTTTCGTTTGGGCGGTTGTTGCGACCGAAATGTTCACGAAGCGCGCGAAACGTGTTTTTTATTTTTGCACCATTTTTGTAGTGTTCTGGAATAACTTTAATGCTGTCTTCAATCGAATACGACTCCATAGCGATCAATGGTAAACATTCAACTAACAAAATGACATGTCGGTGACAGAAAACAAAGATGGCGTCTATGTCAAATTGACGTTTACTTTCCTGCGTCCCTATTGGACAACCCTTTACTTTTACGCGAGACGGGATATGAAATTTTGATAATACTCACACGTGGGCCCAAGAAAATCCTCATACCATTCGTGAAGGTAATTTCCAACAACGTTTTAAAATAAATATTTGGGCGGGTATTCTTGACGATCAGGTAATTGCCCCTTTCGAGTTACCTCCAAAGTTGTCAGGAGCTTTCTAGCCAATAACCTACCAGAACTTTTGGAACAGACCTTAGACAACATGCCATTACAACGGAGACAGAATTTGTGGTTTCTTCATGACGGGGCACCACCACACATTTTTAGAGTCGTCATTCAGTATTTGAATGAACATTATCCAAATCGCTGGATCAGTCGAAATGCTCCTGATCCTCTAAAATGGCCAGCAAGATCTTCTGACCTCAATCCGATCGATTGGGAGAACTGGGGATGGTTTACGGGGCTGGTCCAATAACAACTGAAGCACAACTTCGCGAAAAAAATTTTAATGCCGCTAAGTCCGTTTTTTTTAATTGTTTGCATTTTACGAGTACATTATCAAATAATGAAATAATACCTAAGAGCCAAAAATAACAAACTCCATATTTATTTACACTGCGTTCCGTCGTAATTTGCGTCTGGCATTGCGGCGTTGTCAGATTTTATTTTACTTTAAAGTCGCTTTTCTCTAAAAAAAAAAGCCGTTTTGACCCCCATGTTATATGAAACTTTTTGCTTCTTTTAACCCCCTCTATCACCCATTTAAATAATGACTATCATGACGTTTACACCCTGTATATCGATTTCCTAAATCTACATACAGGGCAAGTTTTCAGTGTGGGCTCGGTCGATAACTTGTTTAGTATGCATGGTATCTAAGAAAGTTGAAAATTGTAGCAAACAGTATGCTCTTGAGTTAGAAAATATTGTTTCTACAGGGTGATTCATAGCTACGTGGTGACCCAAACATACATCTTGCCTGATTTTGTTACATAACTTTTCTTGGAGTCAATAAATATTCCAGATATTTGGAAAAGGAGCTACCTAACCCAATTTTTAAAGGTGGGGGCCGAAAAGTAAAAAATTATCAAGGAATTAGTAAAATCAGTATAATATCTAGTTTTTAAATATTAACACAATCAGAATCTTACTCTACAATTTTTAAAGTTGATCGACCATAATGAGGATGGATTCATAACAGGCAAATCTACTATTACCAACCTTCTTAGAGTCTGAGCAAGGCTGTTGAGAATATATAATACAGCCTATAACCAGAAAATACCATCAGAACAGATTGATTATGACGACCTGAATAATTTATTAAGTATGACTTGTCTAGAAAATCGAAGCATTTATTTTGAAAATTGCACTTTATACAGAGTGATTCACAAGTCGTGACTAAAAATGAAAAACAAAGGACCGCATTTTAAGGCGGTCTTCTATGTAACATTTCTTCCTTGAGGGCTTCATTAGAGTAAAAATAAAACATAACTTTGCCAAACTATCTTCCAAGAAACGTCGAGTTGGCATCAAGGCCTTCTATTGAAACTAATTGTATCTCAGCTCTTCATGAATGATCTAATTTGTTTAATTTTTACGAAAACAGTGCACTCTAGGAAAAAAAACAATAGTAATTATTTGTTGGAGGTAAAATACGAAAAATTGCGCGTTTCGAGGAAAAAAAACGGTGGCGTATCATTTTTATTTGGAAAAATAATGCCACCAATCCCCTGTATCTCCGCCACTGGTGTACGTTAATTTTGAGTAAAGACTTTTGAATGTGGACTATACTTAGGTAAATCCACATACCAAATTTTAGTTCATTCTAGTTAACGGTTATGAAGATTTAAAAAAAAAACGTTTTTTATTTTTAAACTTCAACACCTTGTGTCTTTTTAATAAAGCCCACGAGAAAAAAAAAGTTACAAAGAAGACCCCCTTAAAATGCGGTCCTGTGTATGATGTTTCATTTTTGGTCACGACTTGTGAATCACCCTGTATATTATTATTTTCAACATGTATAGTATTACTGTTCTGCTGTACGAGAGTATACCCAGCACAATTGGCTACTGGAGTAGCCTTTCTAAAGAAAATAATTTTATTATTTTTATTTTTGGTAGCCAAATCTACCCCAAAGTGTGCATTAATATATATATATATATAAAAACCTCTTCCTTTTCGCCTAGTCTCAATTCGTTGGTGTAACTTGATTTATTGATCCAGATATTGAAGCCTGATTTAAGTATTTTACTTGTTTCCTGTGGGTTAACCATTACTTTTTGAACAGCCTACGTAGTATAGCTGGTTTAGTGAATTGCACGTTCCAAATAGATCATATATAATATTTCGCAATAGGGTACATTCAAAGATGATAGTTTCAATGCTGCCATGGCGGTTCTACAAAACTCAGGAGATGCCGCGAAAGGTGATCAGAGAGGTAGAAAAGGAGGTATCGCAGACAAAGATCCGTCACAGACAGATATATTCAAAGTTATCAAAATGATCATGGAAAGAAATTTCGCGCCAGTTATTGTCTTCAGCTTTAGCAAAAAGGAATGCGAATTATATGCAATGCAGATGACAAAATTAGATTTCAACACAAGTAAGTAATAATTTGATATCAGACCAGTAAAATTACCGATCGCGTTCATCAGAACGAAGCGAATTTCACCAATTTTGATGTTCTGCTTTGTCATCTCACGGCCAAACTGTTGTGTTTTATATTGTTTTCTCACATGACAAACAACATGGTTCCCTTTAGAGGTCAAAGTAGTATTTCTCGCGTTCCATATCCAAAACGATCCACTTGAACATTTTATTCGAAGATTGCATGACAATATAAATATATTTTCTTCTTGTGACATATCAATTTGTTCAAAATTTGTAATTGATGTGAATAAATTATTATTATTAAAAAACATTAATTGGTGTGCTACGAATTCTGGCGGCTGGGTTTTAATTTTTTTCTGGGTTTTTTTGCGTTTTCGGGGACGATAAACGTGGATGACGTATCTGGTACATTAAAAAACGACAGATAACCTCATGCTCGCTTGTCTTTTCCGACGGCTGGTGTGTGCTGGTTTTTTGCGGTGTCATCTTGAAATTCGTAATGATGACTTCACGCTATCAGCATGTTACGGAACTTACAGACTACTGGAGGAACACACTGTATAGGAACACACTGTATAGGAATGTGATAATGAAAAGAAAAAACAAACGAACTGTCACCTAGAAGACAAATAAAATATATTGTCATTGTACAAGTATGGGATATTATCACCTCAGAATTAAAAAAATCTAATCTTGTGGCAAAAGTGAGGTTGAAAGCTCATCCGCACGGTTGACAATTTAAGGACCGCTGGTGAAATCCAAAATAGGTCGATGAAGATAACAAATGTCAGACAAATTTAAACTACGATCAGTTACATAGACGTCAACCTCCATTGGTGAAATCTGGCTTTGGTCACGGTATATTCTGGAGAGCGCGACCAGGGGTCAGTTCTTAAAAACGAGGGAGCATTATATCAACAAGCAGAAAGTATTATATTGCATATTCTGCAACGTGTGACCTTTATCAAATATACTAAGTGACATATAAATCCGAACACCCAAATTAAATGGTTTTATTTTAATAAAATTTTGTATAAGTACTTAATGAAGCATGATAAGTAAATGATAAAAATTTCAAAATGATTGCACTGCTTTAAAGCCCTTTGACCTTTAATAATGTGTGGATGCACCCTGATGTGCTACGCATTCTCCAACACGCCTAGGCATGCTTCTGATCAGGTGGTCAGTGTCCTCTTGTGGTATCTCATTCCAGGCAACCACCAACTCCTCTCGAAGTGCTTCTAGAGTCTGAGGAGGACGTTGCAAATTGAGCAATCTCCTACCCATCATATCCCACACGTGCTCAATTGGGGATAAGTCGGGAGATCTTGGTGGCCATGGTAACAATGTGACATCATTATGTTGAAAGAAGTCTATTGTGACTCTTGCAACATGTGGTCGGGAATTATCTTGTTAAAAAGTTGGATCTGCCAGGGTGTCAAAATAGGGTAAAAGATGGGGTTCTAGAACTTCGTGGATATAACGCTGCGCGTTCATGTTACCTCTGATGAAGATTAAAGGTGACCTGGAATCATAAGCTATAGCACCCCAAACCATAACTCCAACAGTGTGATGAACATGTCTTTCAACAAAAAACTGTGGATTCCTCCTTTCACCACGTCGCCTTCTAACCCTGGCACGACCATCGTGCATGCCTAAACAAAATCGAGACTCGTCACTAAAGACAATACTGTTCCATTCCTGATCCCAGAGTGACCGTTGTCTGCACCACTCAAGGCGATTACGTCGGTGTTCTCGAGTTAAAGGGAGGACCCAGTGTGGCCGGTATTAAAACAAGCCAAAACTTCTCATTCGTCGGTAAACACTTCGCATGCCAATAGGTCTTCCGTGTTCTGCAAACTATTCAATTGCAATGGACCTGGTAGTGGAGAAACGGTCCCTTAAGGCCAATAATCTTAGGCGGCGATCTTCACGGTCTGTTGTTCTACGGCGGCGTCCAGTGCCCCTTGCTCTTTGCGTACGGCCTTCTCGAAGCCATGCCTGACAACACCTAACCACAGTGTCTACACTTCTTTGCACTCTAACTGCAATTGCCCGAAAAGAAAGTCCAGCTTCCCGAAGTCCCACTACACGGCCCCTATCAAACGCACTAAGTTGACGAAATCGTACAGGTCTCCGTACTCTAGGCATCGTAACCGATCGTAAAGGATGTCAAGAACCAAAATCCGCCAACGTTGATTCTTTACTGCGGCTGAAATATTCATTTTTAGAGCGTTAGTGAATTAAAAAAAGCAGTATAAAAACCGGAATGTCCAACTGATAAGGCTGAAAATTTTTTCATTTGTTATTTACAGTAAGATAAATACATTCACCAACTTTTATAAAAATAAAACCATTTAAACTGGGTGTTCGGATTTATATGTCAATTTTGAATGCACCAATTTTCTGCATAATAAAGCTTTTAGTTTTTTCAAGTTATTTTAATTGTTTCATCACAAAGATGATTTTGTCTTTAGAGATAAGCTGATGGACGACGGCGATACTTCCGCACTTTTGCTTCTGAAAATGACCAAGGAGCGGGTCATAAGGCTAGCACAGACTCATGCTAATCGTACGTTTTGCTTGCAAACAGTCGTCATGCAAGATGTAGTGACTGTGGTATCGGAGGTCGTGGTCATCAAGCAACCTTTTTTACTGCGTGATACGCTTGTTTTGTCTTAGTTCAATTACTGTGACTCAGTTTATGTATTTTGCTTAACAAAAAAATGGCACCGACAGAATACAGAGCATGATCAATAATCTTGAGTTTATATTTGGTGTTAGAAAGTTTGAACGTGCTTCCTATAAGTTATCAGCAACAGGATGGCAGGCAATGAGAAGCTTACACTCTGCAGTAATATTCCACAGTATTAATTTATATAAAACTCCACCTTATACAATAAAATTATGTTCCAAAGTGGTGTTCACAATATCAATGTCTGGTTCAGTGCTCTTATTTCTCAACCATCACATCGCACTGCAGTGTTCAGTAGATTTTTTCACACTTTGTTTATCGCCTGTATAACCACGGACTTGCAAGTCCATGCCAGTTTTTAGAACAATAATTATTTGAGTTTTTCTATGCTCTTTCTTATCTGAAGATTAGGTTGATGTAGGTTTGGTTCTAGTCTCGTTTTTAACAAGTTCCTTCTTGCCATATTCTTATATTTCTGTATATGTTGTAATTTTTGTTTATCTCTTATACTACGGTTAGATAACTAAATTTGTGTTGTCTCTATTTGTTTTGTCCCTGGGTGAGTACTTTAATCAGTCCCAGACTGTTTAGTGGTCCATTTTGCTGTGAATTGTATTTATATTTTTGAGATTTTTTTTGTTCAATCGGTAGTTTTTGTAACTGCAAATAAATGCTATTAATATTATTATTAGTTTACTCATGCCAAGCAATTGGTGACAACGAAAACGGGTTATTTGGTACTACACACGATTGCATGTATGGCCGCATTTATATCAGTATTAGAGAATACACTTCTCCGAGAGGTAGTAGACCCACGCCCACTTTCGATCAGTAAAATACTCCCTCTTTTATGAGAATTGATCCTCAGGATTGACGTTGGTCATCAATTGTGATGTTGCAACACAAAAATGAGAAATGTTGCTTAAAAAGCACCATACTTTTTCCTAAAACAGCTGCCGAGAAACAATTGGTTGACGAAGTGTTCAATAACGCAATGGACGTGCTCTCTGACGAGGACAGGCACCTTCCTCAAGTCGAGAACCTTCTCCCGTTGCTTAGAAGAGGCATCGGAATTCACCACGGCGGTCTCCTCCCTATCCTCAAGGAGACCATTGAAATACTTTTTGGCGAAGGTCTTATTAAGGCTCTGTTTGCTACAGAAACCTTTGCTATGGGCCTGAACATGCCAGCTAGAACTGTACTTTTCACTGGCGTGAAAAAGTTTGACGGAAGTGAAATGAGATGGGTAAGTCGACAATAGTCGCTTTAATGTGGTAGATTTGATATTTCATTTCACACGATTCATCTGTAAGTACATTGGTATATTTGATATAGATTTCCTCCTGTTGATAAGAGCACGTTTTCTAGATCACGTCAGGAGAATACATCCAAATGTCTGGTAGAGCTGGCAGAAGAGGGCTCGATGATAAAGGTAGTGTAAAATATGTACCTTTAAAACAAATCAAAAAAAATGAAACGTAAATGACCGTATGGTTTCGTACAATATTTGTTTTGCAGGTATTGTTATTCTGATGGTAGACGAAAAAGTCCCTCCAGCAGCCGGTAGGAATATTGTCAAAGGTCTTCCAGATCCCATAAACTCAGCATTCCATTTAACGTACAATATGGTTTTAAACTTACTTAGGGTCGAAGAAATCAATCCAGAATACATGCTGGAAAGATCCTTTTACCAGTTCCAAAATCAAACTGCGATACCCGGTTACTATGAAGGTAGATTATAAAATTATAATAAAGGTACTCCTCCACATGTCTGCATCCCACTGCTTGCACGAAATAGGTTTCATGGCATCGGATCTACTGTTTCCACGGCAATCTGATTTCCGACGCGGTGGTAATCTGCAACGAGATTTTTAGTAGTATTCGTATTTTCATGTACTGAAAAACATATACTTCTGACGTCGTAATGTGAACGAGAGAGAAGTGCTAGAAGCGTGCAATACGTGTGTTAGAAAGAGATATAACCACCTCGTTGTCTAGCAACCGGAGTGACGAGGCCATGGACGCCATCGTCTTTCTAACATATATATTGGACGCTTCTCGCTCTTCTCTATCGCACATATTACGACATCAGCTAAGTTTGAATCTCACCCTATGATTTTCACAACTGTACAAGCTGTTGATCGTGACGCGTCCACTAATCTGCAATCTATATGCGTTTTCGCACAGCTTCGCACGCTAACGAGATTCTTCCATTTTTTGTCTTGACACTTGACTCAACCTTTTAATTATCATACCACTAAAATCTGTACTCAAAAATGCATATTTAACCAGAAGCTGCCCCATAGTTGACTTGAAGAAATAATCAGAATCGTAATCGTGTGAACCATCCACGATTTTCGACTGGTTCACTTTTCACCCTCTATTTAAGACAGGAATTACGAGTAGGCGTACCACGCTGACATCTTTTGTCCCGTCAGAACGCAAGTTTAGGATTGGCAATGGTCCGATTCGTGATGTCCATCGGGTGCGGATTACATCCATTTAGTGGAAAGACTTGCAGACGCGTACCTTTTGGAGTCGCGCAAAATAATGTTGTTTTTAATAATTATTTTCCATGCGTTCCAGATTATATGCAAAAGTTAGAAGAATACAATAATATGGAAGTTAAAAACGAACAGGAAATAGCAACATACTACGACATAAGGCAAGAGCTCGACTCTTTAGCTGTTAAATTTAGAACATACATAACCAAACCGGAATATTTGATACCGTTTCTTCAGCCTGGCAGATTAATAAAGGTTAGTTAATGTCAAACAGTGAATCAACTTTTTAACTAATCATCTATTTCAAATGAAGATAAAAACTTCTGAAGCAGAATACGATTGGGGCTCTGTGGTGAATTTCAAGAAAGTGCATGAAGTTGTACCTGGTAAAAAAAATAAACAAGGAAAACCCAAAATGCAGACCAAAGTTAAAGTGGATCTGCTGCTTCATGTCATATCGTCAGAAAATGAAGATGGGGATGCTATACCCAAACCTTGTACAGATGATCTGGTAATTTTCATGATTCTCATAGCTTTATTTTGTAGAATTTGTAATTTTGAAAATATCCTTTCATTTCATGCAAACAAGATGGTTGAACAACATAAAAAATGGGGAAGAATTGTAGTGTTATACATGATTTTTTTTGGAATATATATTTTATAGAGATATTGCTTTTAGAAAGGAGAGGTGGAAATAGTAAATGTAGATACTAGTTTCATAACGCATGTCTCATCTGTTAGAGTGTTTTGTCCGACTGACTTGAGATCTAAAGATAGTCGAAAAGGGATGTACAAAGCCGTGAAAGAAGTGAAAAAAGATTTCCAGATGGGCCTCCTCTACTTAATCCTATAAAAGATATGAAGATACAAGAGGAAGAGTTTGCGGATATTGTCGATAAAATAGAGAAGCTTGAACAGAAGTAAGATATAGTACCCTATCATAATAAATTGCAAATTTTTCTGAATGTAAATTGTTTTCCAGAATGTTCTCACACCCCATGCATAAACACGCACTGCTGAATACTGAATACCCTAAATACGAAAAGAAAGTTATATGTCTAAATGAACTAAATGCAGCTAAAAAGAAATTGTTAGACGCGAAATCTGTACTTCAAATGGATGAGTTGAAATGTAGGAAAAGGGTATTGAGACGATTAGGATATTGTAGTGACACTGACGTCATCCAGTTAAAGGGAAGGGTAGCTTGTGAATTAAGCAGGTGAGAAATTTGTGAGGAACCTGATAAATCCACTGATCTTTGTATGCTCTTTTTGCTACTTTTCCTTTCTCTTCGGTATCGACCAGATTCTGTCAGATTTGGCGGACCTACACTATACTATATATACTATACTCCAACCACCACGAAGGCCTAAACACCCATGGGGTACCGTGGGGCTATATGGGGATACAGGGGAAAGGGGGGAACGCCACTCGGAGTTTGGCGAGGGAACACGTGTGCATGCAACATGCACACATTCTGGCCCCGCCTACGACATCCGCCGGGTGGTACCTCTGCGTTCGACAGTGAGAGACCGTCTACCACCTTCGGTCAATCACAACATCCATAGCCAAGAGAAAAATTTCTCTTGGGACGGGATTCGAACCCGCACAACACACGGCGACCGATCAGGAGACAGAAGAGTCTACTACTGCGGCCACCGCTGCTGCAATATACAGGGTAGGCCAAGAACTCGTTAACATTTAAATCTAATACACCACCCAAACACATGCCGCGCGAAGGGCGGGGACGGGGCTAGTCGCTAGCTCGTTTTTCGGAAATTCAGTCGCAATGGTTCGCTTCACGGGGCCGCAACGCGCTTACTGTGTGAAACAATTTTATTTAAACAGCTCGCTCATTACTGTGAGACGCTTATTTCGCGTTGAATACAATTTACACGACTTAAGTCAGTGTCCGGGTGCTCCTTTGATAAAGAAATGGGTGAAGAAGTTCGAAGAGACCGAATCTACACTGAATGTGAAGCAAACCGGCGGCCCACGAACTGCTCGGAGCGACGAGAACATGCAGCAAGTTTCCGCTTCTGTTCAACGTGATCCAGATTTATCGACGCGCAAACGTTCGGCTGAATTAGGATTATCCCGCACATCATTACGCCGTATTTTGAGACTAGATTTGAAATTACATCCATATAAGATCCAAATAGTGCAGGAACTAAAACCTAATGATTTAAATTTGCGCAAGTCGTATGCCAAAACGATGTTAGCTCGATTCAGTAATTTTGACAATCTCTTATTTTCTGACGACGCCCATTTCCACCTCTACGGACATGTGAATAAACAGAATTGCAGGTACTGGAGCAGCGAAAATCCCAAAGCTAATCTCGAGAAGCAACTTCACTCTCCTAAGGTAACTGTATGGGCTGCAATTTCAGCAAAAGGAATCATTGGCCCCTACTTCTTTGAAGATTCTCGCGGCCATTCAGTTACTGTTCATTCTGCTGAGTATGTGAAAAAGTTACGGGAGTTCTTGGCACCGATGCTGCTGGAATTTGCTGGCTATAATCGTAACACATGGTTTCTACAAGATGGAGCCACGTGTCACATCCAACGAGTCCCTGCCGGTGGTCAAAGAAATGTTTCCGGAAAAGCTCATTTCCAGTCGAGGCGACATCCCATGGCCACCCAGAAGTCCAGATCTATCCCCATCATACTTTTTTTATGGGGTTATTTAAAGAGTCGTGTCTACATCAATAAACCAAGTACACTCCGTCAACTAAAAGAAAACATCAACGAAGAGTTGTCGGCGATCTCGCAGTCTTTATGCCGACGAGTATTCGAAAACTTCGGTGCACTTTTAGAAGAGTGCAAAACTCGTAACGGTGGTCATTTAGATGATCTAATTTTCAAGAAATGAATTCCAACTAATTAGCAATTTTTAAAATATGTCAAATGTTTGTTTTTTCATACGATTTTTTCAAATGTTAACTAATACATGGCCCACCCTGTATAATGTCATTTTGGGAATAACTTCAAATTAAAAAAATAAGTGATTTATTGCGAATAGAATTTGGATCTTTTCCTTGTATCAAACCAGATTCTGAAACTTTTTGACTTCTTACAATAATGTCTTGAGATGATGAAAGTATTTGCTTATCTACTGTATATAATCTATTTTTTTGTTTCGCACTATAAGATAATCATTAAAAAACGAGTACATTTTTGTATTGCATAATTTGAACTAACCAAAATTTAACTACAGAAAACTTTTTACAAGTATACGTTATCAGCTTGTTTTTTTCTTCAGTGCGGATGAGCTGTTGATAACGGAAATGGTTTTCAATGGAGTATTCACAAACTTAACACCAGCACAGGCTTGTGCATTATTGAGTTGTTTTGTATGTGATGAAAAAAGCAATGATTCTCCGAAGTTATCTGATGAGCTGTCTGGTCCATTGAGACAGATGCAGGTATGATGTCACATTTCTTGCAAGATATTTATCTTAGATATTAATGCGAAAACATTGTTTTAGGACTTGGCTAGACGTATAGCTAAAGTTAGCACAGAATCCCGTCTACCTCTTGACGAAGACGTCTATGTAGAGCGTTTTCGACCGTATCTTATGGACGTAGTTTATGCCTGGTGCAATGGCAAGAGCTTTATGGAACTGTGCGGCATGACAGATATATTTGAAGGTAACGCAGAAATTAATTTAGGTGATATAGCTAACTGCTGTCCTTGTACAAGATATGTCAATTAAGTGATCAGACTGGAAACGTAGCATTCCATCTGTCAAAACTGGTAACGCCGGACTTGGAGGGGGGGAGACAGGGGAACAGGTGATCCGCCTTCAGTACAAGTTTGAACTCTTTCGAGTAATTTGGTTGTCCGTAGCGATTTTTTGTGAACTGTTTTTCCCATTCGAGCAACGATGTGCTATCGGGTTTTGCTCCACACTCGGGCACAGTGCAACGAGAACTCTTGCTAAACTTCAACAGGCCTACGGAGATAGTATTTAGTCGAGAGCCCAGGTTTTTTGGTGTTTTAAGGCATTTTCAGAAGGGAAAGAGTCTATTGATGATGAACCACGAAGCGGAGGGCCTTCATCTTCAAGAACCCATGAAAATATCGACAGAATCCGGGATCTTGGGAAGAGTTAAATCTGACTCATACCACTGTTCATCAGATCAAGAACAACTGTGTGTGGCATAACGAGAATGCTCCTTGTCACACAGATATGTTAATAAACGAGATTTTGGACAGTAAAAACATTCCTGTGGCTCCTCAGCCTCCTTATTCACCTGACTTCAGTTCTTCTGAGTTTTTTCTCTCCCCAAAGTTGAAAAATGACCTAAAGGCAACTCATTTTGGGGCAGTCGAAAAGATTCAAACCGCTGTAACTGACCAGCTGAAAGCTATTCCAGTACTGACTAAATCAAATGTTTTTGATAAGTAACACAAATCCAGATGGTCAATTTTAAATGAAAACTTGAACTTTGATCTTTCTTATTTGAGGTGTTTGAGAATCGTCTTGATATCACAATTAAAACTTCATTCTTTTCGGTTACAGCAATCATTTTGTTGTATATACAGTAATGGACAAAAGTATATAGACAAATATGAATATTTACCTAAATACCTTTAGAAAAACTTCATTGCTCCATAAACAAATGCGTTATTAGTAGAAAAACTAAATTCCTTGTTTTTACATTATCTGCAATGAACACATTACAAGTCTGAATATAAGCACTTTTTTACGAGGGACAAAAATATGTAGACAAATTCTTTTCAACATTAGTTTAGTACAGTTTCGTGTCAGAAGAGGACTAGTTTGTGTTCATCAAGTATTGTGGAATAAGTTGAGTGATTATAAGACCATGCCGCGTGGTCCAGAAATTTATTTCGATGTGAAAACTAAGATCATTGAGTTATACAAAGATGGTCAACGTCAAGAAGCGTAAAGCAGTTTGGGCAATATTGAACAAATATAAACAAAAAGGTATCTTGGAAGCCTCTAAGAGAAGAGGTCGGCCTAGAAAACTAAATGCTAGATCAGTTAAATAATAAAAGTAATTTTGTCCAAAGATCCGTTTAAAACCCCAAGACAAATAAAAGCCGAAATCGAGACAAAAGGAATTGTCAGTGTTTCTACGAAAACTATAAGTAGAAGATTAAATGATTTGAAGTTATTTGCACGTCACCCGAGTAAGAAGCCGCTAATCTCCAGGAAAAACCGTAAGGACCGATTACAATTTGCACGGTTGCATCTTGATTGAAGCATCTGTGACTGGAAGAGGGTATGTTTCAGTTCAATATGTAAGGATCAGATGGTGTTCATTACATTAGACGTCCTAGTGGACAAAGATTCAACCCCAAGTACACTGTTATGGTTTGGGGGTGTTTTTCGGGGTTTGGGATGGGACCTTTACATATAATAGATGGCATTATGGATAAGTTTGTATACACAGACATACTAAAGCATGTCATGTTACCCTATATGGAAGACAATAAGCCCTTAAGATCAATGTTCCAGCAAGATAATGACCTGAAGCACACTTCGAATCTCGCAAAGAAATTCTTTCTGGATGAATAAATACCAGTTCTGAAATGGCCTTCACAGTCTCCCAATATAAACCCCATTGAAAATCTATGGGAATACTTAGATAAGCAAATACGAGATAAAAATTATTCAAACAAGGATGCACCTTTTGCCGCTTTAGAGCAAAAGTGGAGACAGATTGATGAATCTTATATCAACAAACTTCTACAATCTATTCCGAGACGATGCCAGACGGTGATTGATAATAATGGTTATGCTACAAAATATTAACACAAACATGGTTGGTTTTCTATAATTCAACGAACTTTGCTTCTTTTTTCTATAATTGTTTTGCTTTGTCTATATATTTTCGTTCTTCATAGTTCCAGTTTTTTTCAATTATTCTTTTATTGAAGGGAGTCTAATGAATTTATGTATAAGTGAGTATTATGTTATAACGAATTATGTATACAGGTTGGTGTATTAATAAAACAAGTTAAAAAAGAAATACAGCACAATATTAATTTGTCTATATACTTTTGTCCATTACTGTATGTAAAGTGGTCTTCTGAATACCTACCAGTAAAATGTCAATTTGTTGATTACAGGGTCCATCGTCAGATGTATGCGTCGACTGGAGGAACTACTCAGGCAAATGGTGCAGGCGTCAAAGACTATTGGAAACACCGACCTCGAGGACAAATTCAGTCAGGCCATCCGGTTGATCAAGAGAGACATCGTATTTTCGTCCAGTCTCTACTTGTAAGGCATTTTGCAGGTTCAGATCACCTTTTTTATTTTTTGTACTAAACGAGGGGACTGGAATACAGATAAATGATTTTTTGAAAATTGATTCCCAGGCGGAATGGTTCGAGATTTCGATTACATGTTTTAGGTTGATTTTTAATCGTTCTTCTGAAACCCTGAATGTATTTGAAAACCTCGAAATTTTTCATTTAGATGTGTAGAATACTAATTCACTAAATTTATTCCATGCAATCAATAGGATAAAATAATTGTTTCAATCCACTCTTTCATTGACATCATCTCTTGAATATATATATTTATCAGATTGCCACGAAGTTGTTTTAATGGAGCAAATATCGTGATGCTCTTTCAAAACAAACATCAGCGCGCGGGGCTCGAATTCGCACGCTCCTATTGACGATCTAGTGCTCGAGTGTGTTTTGACGTGGAGTAAACTGTTTATAGTTAATCTAACAGTGCCGTGTTACAGCTTGGACTCTTAAGATCGTTTACTTTTATTTGTATCCTTGAATTTATTTTCATTGTGTGAGAACTGTGATATTAAAAAATAGACAGACCTTCTTAAAGATATGTTTTGCATTTATTTTCTTTGCTTCTATATATTGTGATAACTGCTTTTCCTCATTGTCCTTCATCAATGAGAAAAATACATTTTTCGATTCAGTTTGGTGATTACTCCTGCTAAAGAAATCGCATAGGATATTTCAAAACTAGAACAACGCAATTATATTAATAGCGTTTATTGCCCAACAGATACAGAAGCTCTTTACAGAGCAATATAAAATAAACAAACTATACCATCCACAGGTGTTTTGTGAAATATTCTTATAAATACACTTTAGTTCCTTGAGTTTACAATTAAATATGTCAACATGCTGCAGTATCTTATAATGTGAACACATTACTGATAATCGTGATTTCAACATCAGATTTGTCCTAGCAGCAGTAGAATAAAATGTTAATGATTGTCTTGAGCAGAGTTCCCCAAACTTTTTTGTGTCGTAGACCCCTTGCCATGTTTTTCCGTGTTGGGTAGACCCCCTACTTACCTGATATTGATTTCCTGTAAATTTCTAACTGTAGTGAAGTTTAGTGTTAAAAACTTAAAGTAAAAAAACATGTTAATTTATACATTTATTAATTGAATTTAAATTAAAACTACTCAAAATAAAATTTTGTATCTGTTATGTAAAATATACGTAACATTAAATAAACAGGTGTCTGACCAATAAGTGCCGGCATTGGGAATAAGTGCCCGCATTGAAAAAAAAATGAGGGATAAAATAAAAAAAAGTTTTTTACTTAAAACAGTACAATAAGCTAGTTCGCTTATTAATTATAACATATACGTATGTTCTACAATAATTTCACTGTTAGTTTGATTAAATTCCGCTTCTTATACGTTTAAGTTATCTAAAAATAGGCAAAAAATTAACGAATTTTAGTGTGTACCTATCATTGAATTTTCGGAATAATTAAAAAAAATATTTTCTATACAGGGGGGTTCTTTAAAAAAATCAATGGCACTTATTCCCAATGCGGGCATTTATTGGTCAGACACCAACAAACATAAAATAAACTAATAAAATAACATAAGCAATAAATCAATATTTTTAGTGAGAAGGATGAACCTGATGCTTTAATAATAAATTATCAACATTTGGCGTCAATTTTGTAAGGGTTAATCTTAAATCTCCTCGGCTAATGATGTCCAGTCTGTTTCTTTTTTTTCGTTAGGAGATTGGTAACAGCGCTGAACCCCCTTTCCACTAGGTATGACGATGGAAAGAAAATTAAAAATTTCCTCGCTATATTCCATAATACCGGATAAGTAACGGGTATGTTGTTTTGCAGCCAGAATTGCTGATATCCGTTTTTAAACTGAACCTTAAGTTCTTCGTTTGTACTTAGTTCAGTCAGTTCCTCTTGCATTATGACATTCGTTTCTTCTATGTCACCATATGGATTAATTATCCACGGTGGTATTACCATAGTCAAAATATCCTCAAACCTAGATTCAAAATCTGAATAGAGGGCATTTAAATGTTGAACGTAAGTTGAAACGTCGTCTTCCTGGCAGCTTGTCTGTGACAAATTGGGGAACTGAGAAAATTCGCCCCGTCCAATATTTTGCTTCATTAGTTTAACTCTGGCAAGAAACGCTGATAAGATGGACTTTGTTTTAATCAAATTTAAACTGTCGCCTTGTAATTGCAAATTAACCATATTAAATTTTGTAAACAAATCTGTTAAATAGGCGATGTCAGTTTTCCTCTTCATTAAATTTTCTTTTAAAATGTTATCTTTAGTATCCAGAAATTCTAAAATAGTCTCAAAAGGTGCAAAAAATCTTGTCAAACATAAGCCTTTCGACAGCCAGCGTACTTCAGTGTGAAGGAGTAATTGATGAAAGTGCTCGTCATTTTCTTCACACAACTGCGCAAATAACCGCGTATTCAACGCGTTGTTTCGGATTCGGTTTACTGCATCAATGACTAAATGAAGTGATTCATGCAATCTAACACTCAAATTTTTAGCAACTAAATGTTGTCGATGGATGACGCAATGTATTGCTAACACCCCTGACACATTTTGTTTTAAATAGCTTATAAATCCACGATAACGTCCAACCATGGCAGGTGCTCCATCTGTAGCTACTGATATTACATTTGATAAAGGAATTGCTTTTTCACCTTTAGTGTCGGTTATCAAAGTTCTTGCGAAGAGCAGTTCTTCGTAGATTTCTTGATTCATAATAAAACGAACATATGCCAATAATAATGCTGCATTATCAGGTAAAGTTGACTCGTCCAGTTGTATAGAGAAATGGGTCGTTTGCAAATAATTACATAAGAAGCTTTCAATATCAGAACTCATTTCATCAATACGTCTTTCAACAGTATTGTTGCTTAAGGGAATTCTTTTAATGATATCAGATGCAAGTTTATGTAAAACAGTTTTTAAAACCTCTTCAACGGCGGGCAAAATTAACTTCTCTCCCATAGTATGCGGTTTTCCGGATTTTGCTATAAGTAACGAGATATTGTAAGACGCCCGCAAACCATCATCATTTCTTTGTGACGTCGAAGCGAACATTCTGTCCAGTGTAGGTCTCTTCTGAAATTTATCTTTGAGTGTTTGAAAGTATTTCAAATCTTTCTCTGTTTTATCAGGGTGGCATCTTCTCAGATGATCTTGCAGTTTAGATGGTTTCATAGCGTCAATGCCCAAAACTTTGTTGAAGAGTTTATTCGAAGTGGGGCTTCGCCGATAATGGCTTGGCGTGCCTTTCGCGTTCACTTCCAGCTCGGGCGACATGATCTGGTTCCCGATAGAAATTCAATTGTTGAATGGATGTCAAACTTTCGAGAAACAGGATCGGCATTAAAAAGAAAATCTCCTGGTCGATATCGAACAGCTACAAGGCTAGCTAATGTAGCAGCTGTGAGAGCGTCAATTCAGCTGCTCTGCACGTAAGCACGCAGCTGCTTTGCGATTATCAAAACGGAGTGTTCGGAGAATCCCGCATCATATGAATCCCTATAAAACTGCCATTATAGAGGAATTGCGTGAAAAATACAGTGAAACCAGTACCATTTTGTGCCAAGAACTGTGCAATATTCCTCGCATGGACGTTTTGATCTTCAGTGATGAGGCCCATTTCCACCTTTCGGGCGAAGTCAACTCTAGACGCTCTCAAAGAGATGATAATCCAGGAAATGCTGCCATTCCGCCTGACATGATCTGAACAGAGATGGAAAATTATCGGGAGAGGCTCACTCAGTGTATCAACAATGGAGGCGCACACTTGAGTGATATTATTTTCAAAACGCATTGACTTAAAATGGCAGTATATACGTATGCTTATAAAAAATAAAGTTTTTTTTCTATATATTGATAAGTTCAGTTTGTATCGGCTCTCCAAATCCGGGAAGTATTTCTGCCCCACCCTGTATTATCAATGTCAAAAAGGTTTAGCAAAAGATTATACTTAGTTCCTTATTCTATTTCAAAAACTTCCTTTGACGTTTATCCAGTCTCATTGTGACACTAAGATAGTATAGGTTCAAGATATTTGAACAGTATTCCAGTGCACAAGAAAAAAATAGACATTCAAATGCTGCTTCACTACTAAATGATTCTAACGATGAGTCCATGCATTTTGAATGCTTCAGCAATCTTGTTAACAATATGATTAATGGAACTGATTTGCGAGTTGGATTATACTTCTAGGTCTTTGGTGGTTGAATGATGCACCACAAAATACCATCAACCTTGTAATCAAATAAGATCAATCTATTTTTAGCACACTATAAATGAACTTTGTTGAGCATGTTCTGTAACCTGCCACAATTTTCTATAGCAGTTATTTCACAATCGACTTTAAGATCATCATTATGATTATAAAATCTGCATATAGGGTCCTGCAATAGGAAGAATTGGGTAATTAAGATGGATTAAAGTTTTGGGCAGGACTATTAGCAAGATACCTAATGACATTAGGGGTTGTTTTTGCCAAATATTAGTTTTGTCTTTTCATCTCGGCCCGATATTTTGAGTTGTATCAATCCACTCTCCAAGTGGGTCAGACATAAATTGTTCTTTATTGATCCTCCATCACATCACAGTATTATTTTATCCTGGCCAAGAATATTAAATAGCATCTATTTATTTAAGGTAATTTTCTAATACCAGAGCATCATACAGAGGGCAGGTTCAGGTATATTATCAGTAAGGCAATTTAGACCCTGGTGTGGATGAAACTCCACAACAGAGATAGGTGATCATTCGATCCTAATACTTATTTCTCCAGGCTTTGTCTAACAAAGGGGCAGAACAAATACATACATTATGGTTTCGTCCGAGATTGAATTTCTCGGAGAGAAATGCAGCTCACTGACACATTTTTGGCTATATCCTAAAATGCTCAAAATCTTATCCACAGAAACCGAATTTCGTGTGTGTTATTTTTTGCGAATGATTGCGTCGCTAATGAACCGATTTTAAAGAATATAACCATTAAACCTACTATGATTCGTAGCACATCGCATCAAAAACATTAACTGCTGTTTTTGCTGAAATCGCGAGGATTTAAGAAAGCTGACAATAGACTGAGTGTCTAGTATCCCGTATTCGAATATCTTCGCGATCGATTTGATTCCCAGTCCTACATTATAACAGGCCGTTTTTAATGGGTAATCCAAATTTTAAGGTACATACTTTATTTTTACGTACTACCTGGTGAGGAAGTTGTAATCGCGAAGATAATAGTTTTTTGGATGTTATATGACATATACATCATGAACAATCATTTTCGTACAAGGTTACTACTAGGTTTCTTGTGAGTTCATCAATAACGATCCTCCACTGCGACTCTTTGATCTATAGTGGCTAAGGTTACTACTATGTCAGGGACGAGAAAGTCTTGTAGTTTTTGGCGGCGGGAAGAAGGGCAAAAAAGAAAAAACAAAAATCGCTCAAACTTCGTTTTTTGACGTTTCAGAGACCATCATTTTCGGTAAAAAAAATTTTATGGGTTAAAAATTGGGAGTTAGGGGTTGCAGGGTGAGGGGGAGGGTATGTCTCAGTTTTTTTACGTTGATACATTTATACACCTCCAACCGCAGTAATACTACACACTCAATAGACATATTTCACTCACCATGTCGTCGTACCCTTAAAACTTAGAAATATCCCCAACAGTCGTGTGTCGATACGGTTGATGGTCGAACGTCGCAGTCGGCAGTCGCTTCCGTGCTTTTGTGGGCTTCTATGCTGTAAAAGTCAATATCGTCATTCACGCGGGATAAGCCACAGCAACAAGCTGGTGCTCCCGCAGGAATGTCTCCCAGGGAAGGGGGAGTGTCATTTAATTTTTTTACATGTCTGTAGGTAACTTGTATGGGACATAATCCTTTACAAACTGATCACAGCATTGCATGGGAAGTACAGAGTGAACTTACTTGATGGCATTTTTTTCTAATTCTCAATTAAAGAATTTTTGATTGAATTGTATTTAAAAAAAAATACTAAATTCACATTCCAAGGACACAGCCAACTGTTTATTTTCTGGACTAAATATACTAAGTGACACATAAATCCGAACACCCAGTTT